GCCAGAAGAGCAACACAGCAACTAGATTCCGAGCTGCTGCGCGTTTGCCACAGAGGTGAGGAGATGTCGGGGAGGTTCCGCGGCCGCGAAGGACCCTGATCACCGCTTTTCCGGCTTCCCTGTCGAGGCGGAATATCGCCAGGTGCCGTCCACCAAGTGCGCGGCTAGGTTGGATTTGTCCCGAGGCAGCAGGTGAGCACCTGCAACGGGACAACCGATTCTGATTCGTAATGGAAGATGTTGTTGCACACTGCAAGAGGTAAGGTACGGGGCAGGATCGAAGATCTGTTTTGAACGCACGACAGCATTATGGACATTTGGAGGCAGTCCCATCCTGCGGGCGTCGAATCGAAGAAGCGCGCATTGTTGCTGGGCAGTGCTTTGACGGGCAAACAAGATGCCACAGCGCAACCTTGCAGGCCCCATTAAATATCAGGTACACCTTCTGACATACCTGTCAAAAGTTCCTGCGCTTACCTGCGGCTTTGTTGGCCGTCGATGCCTTCTTGCCCATTCCCGAACGCAATGGAAGGTGCAGCTGGGCATAGCCGAAGCCACATGACACAAAGACCCAAAATTGAACCAAGGATGACTGCTAGGCCGCTGGCCTTCACCTTCGATCCTTAGCAGTGCTTTGACTGAGGGCAAACATCTCTCTAGGCTCTCAATAGGTCTCTCCAAGCTCGGGCACCCTTACACTGACTCGAAGCTTCTCTCTGATGGAATGGAATGGGGGGGGAGGCACCCAGGCTGCGCTTGAAAGGGCTGGCTCAATAAGGGGTTGCACCCTTGGATCACAACCAACAAGGACATCAACAGAACTTCGTATGCTGGCAGCTGGGCCCGATGAGAAGACTCACGAGAGCAATCGCCCCTTCTCCGGAACCCTTGGTTGAGAACTCGATTTCCCGAAACTCGGCCAGCGGCTCAATCGAGAAGCTCGGGGCACGCTCCACAGTCAACTGCGCAAGAGGCCGAAAATTCTATTTGGGTGTAGCTTCAGCCCATGTGGGCTTGCAAAGTATGCTGCGACGAGCCCCACGATACTGAGCCATGGCTACATTCGGCGATAGACTGCCCTGGGATGTGAGAGCAAACTCCGGCTTGCACACCATCTTGCACCTCGTTCCAAACATCCAGAGCCTCAGGAATCATGGCAACCCATACGCAACAAAGAATGTAACAAACACAATAAGAAGTCGCCAAATCGGTCTGCAAGTCAGCAAGAGACTTCACTCGGGGCCGGCACAGAACACCACGACGAAAGCGCTTTCGAACAAAGCAAGACATTGGTGTTTTTGGCGAAGAGCTCTTTACATGTAGGTATGGCACATCTAAACATCTACGTGAGAGATGCAGATCAGAAGTCATGCCCACTGCTCCATCCCCAAAAGCCCCCAACCATGCCGGCGCAGTCGAAGCCCGGCCCCATGTTCCTTGGGCACACTCTCTGGGCTTGGGGGGGGGGGGGGGGCCCTACCATTGAGGGTCTAGGTTTTTGTTTTAGGAGGGTTTGAGGGGTTGAGGGGTTTAGCTGAGAAAGGGTTTGGGATTCGAGGGTCCGAGAGACGGGCCAAACTCAAAGGCCTCATGACACCCAGATGCAGCTCCCGGCGACAGCAGACAAGAGCGTGCATACCAAGGTATACCAAGTACCCCAAACCTCAGCACGACTGGCAACTGCCCGGCCCCTAACAACAAATCAGGGTTCTACGGGGTATGGTATGTGGTAGGGGTTGTATATGGTGTGTACGGATGTGTAGGGTTATAAGCAGTAATAAGCAGTCATATTCTATTGCACCTTGTAGACGATAGCTCTAAGCCTTGACCGAGGGTCGCAGTCGTCGCCGGCACGCGCACGGTGACCCGCCTGCCAGAACATCTCCCAGCGTAACACATTGAAGGGCCAATGTAGGGTTTGTTTGTGTGGAGAAATCACAAAAAAAGTCCTAAGGAAGAAGTCTTACCAGCGCCACTCATTTGTCTTCCTATCGCACAACCCAAAGAGGCAGGGTTTGGGGTTCAGTGCGTAAATTCGAGCGTCTAGGGAGGACGTCAGTAAGCACGGGGCAAAATACAGCAGGCGGTGGGGCAATTCTGAACATGATTCCAATCATTCGTCGGTATAAGTAGCAGGAAGAAGGGCTGTTGAGACTAAACTGAAAGCCACGACAGTGGCTAGGCCCTTGCCTGCGACTTTTTGTGACAACACCGTCGAACATCTTCTTGAGGTCTGCCTTTGCCAGCCTGACTAGGGGGGTATAACTTCTTCCAGGCACCGTACGGAAAATCCTCTCTCATGTCGCTGCTGCAAGCAGACACCACAACCCAGAACATTTAAACAAAAAGCGCATCAAGGCGTTTTGTTTTGTTGGATGCTGACCTGTACCTCCAACACAGGCACTCCATAACACTCCGCTCTTAGCTTCCTTGCACAAGCTTCTGATTCCAGACGTCGCGAGGGCGAGGCGACTCAACAAGTGGCGTGCGAAAAAGGGCTGAGCTGGCGGCTCGCTGAGGCTGTGCTTCTCAGCGAACTTCTGCACCTTCAAGAAGGTTTTAACAGCACAAACATGCTACGGCTAGAATTAGGCTATAAGTGGCCCTGCAGATGAACTGGCTGATGCTGGAAGAGCAGGTGCCAGACACATCACACAAGCTCTGCCATCTCTCGCATGTCACTGGCATTGGCAGTCTCCACGGTGGATGAGCCACGGCAGCCACATCAGACTCTCCCCCCAGATAACATAGAGAAGTGCTCAAGCACAAGGCCTCGTTGTGCCCCCACATGGCCTCACGGTTGAGCTTCTGAAGTCCCTCTCACTTCACACGGATGACCTTCTACTCAGTTACTCAGTTACTCAGTTACTCAGTTACTCAGTTACTCAGCTACTCTCCTCTTGATTTCAAAGTCCTCCAAATCTCGCGGCCTGTTCAGCTCGCGGGAGCCCGGGCCAGGCACTCCAAGTTTTGCTGAGCCGAACCAGGACCGGGGGATGCTCTCAAGGGCCCCAACTGTGGCCAAGATGGCGCTTTCCTCAATTGAGGAGCGCCCGTAAGATCCCGTAAGATCCCGTAAGATCCAGACATGACCTGCCTGGCAAGCGCCCTGTACACCGAGGCTCTTTTCTGCAGCGCAGATGAGTCGCAACGCTGGCACAAGAAGACTCTGGTGCGAGGTGCTGTTAGTACAAGGCAGACATCGCAGACAGGGTCCAGAGCTGAGTGATCAGCCGAACATTTGGGTGATACTCTCATACTCACCGTTTTTGGTGGCAGCAAAGACTTTTTAAAGAGGCTTTGCAAAAGAGGCAATTCACGCGACCTGTGGGGAGGACTGGCAGCATGATGAGCAAAAACAACGACCATTCACGGGCATTCCTGGGTGGGCTTCCTTTCGGATCTCACTGTTGGCCCCTTGCCCACGGCCTTACTGGGAAATCCGTTCCAGCATGGTCTCTGCATTTCAAAGAGAGCAAGCTCGGACTTCCAGCGGCTCGGAACTAAGCATCTGCCTGGGGCACTTCTGCAGAAGAAGGGGGAAGCTAGCTGTTTCTACAATTTTTTGCCTGTCATGACAAAACATGAGGAGTCATGCTTTGACGGCGATCAAACTCGCCAGGCCCAGCTGTCAAGCAAAAGCTGCTGGGAAGCAAAAGGCACGCTGGAACGTGAACGATCATGAACCATGACCCCCAAGCGGAGCCAAAGCAAGCATGCTAACAAATAGACCGTTGCATTTCCCGTGCTCAGCTTCCCAGCTTGGCTCAGTCCGAGCTAGGGGCAGGGGACTCGGTGACGGACACATGTGGCCTCTGGTCCGAGCCTCCAGAAGTTCCTGCGGGGCGCCTCAGTACCCTTCGAGGGGCGTGCGCGGCCTTGTGACCTCTCCAAGGCACAGAAGCTCATCTCTCTCGAAAGGGCTTGAGCGTCCTAGTCGAACATGATGAGAGCATGATCTCTTCTGAATGATCCGCGCTACGAAGTTCACAAAATGCAGCTGCTCTTTTGCAGAGTCCGCGAGCTCGATATCCGCAAAGATTCTGCTGAGATTCTGTTAACAATGGTCCCGAATTTGCGGAACCAGCTAGCTGCGGCTTAGGACATCATTTAAAACGTCACAGCTTCAGCCAGTGCATTTCTTAATCTAGATCGAAACCTGCTTGGAGTCAAGGCAGGCATCTCTCTCCCCAAGAATCTGGTTCGTACCTTGTTCACATGTGATCGTTGCATCATCCTTGTGGCCGATTATTGTAGAAGCCGCAGCGGATTGCAAAATATAGCGAATGCCAGCTGCCCTGCGGAGGCAGCGTGTTGAACGTGCCGCCGGCGGAACTGCGAAGAGCATCTGCGAACAGCAAAGAAGTCATCAAACCATCATCAAACCATCAAGTGACCTCTGCCATAAGGACTATACTAGGAATCATTGTCTGCCACCTTTCCTTAAGGTGGCTCTCTTCCCTTCGAAAGCCATTGTGAAAGAACTCTTGGGAAGAGGCTCTACGGACCTGTTGCGCACAGGTGCTTTTATCGGAATTCCACATCAGACTCTATGACTCTATGAAGGTGAAGTCACGGTGAAGTGCGCAGCAGGCCTGGGGAAACTGAGCCCGGGCTGTCAAAAAGCATACACCTCAGGGTGCCATTTTCTGCCACCGCACTCGGCTGAGCAGAACCGAAGAGTGCAGCGCGCAAGGGCGGAACTCGATAGTCAAGACTAGCGAGTTCAGCCATCGAGTTACTGTGTTTTTTTTTTTTAGGCAGGCTTGTGCTCCCCAGCAGATTTTCCAAGCGGTGAAACCTTCCTGTTTAGCTGGCTCCAAGCCTGTGTCCACGGCCCCCCAAAAGCCAAGTTGGGAACTTTGGCAAGGCCTTCTGCAATACGGGACCCAAACAACCGCGACGGCACGGGGGCTGTGAAACAGGAGGAGGCACAGCCCAAAAGGGCCCTTAAGGGCCCTTTAGCCCCCAAGAATCCCTGCAACCTGTTAAGTCACTCCTCAAATGGCTTCGGGCATCTGGCCAATACTGCTTCTCGGACGGCTGGTGGGCGTTGTGGCAGTAGATGAGGCCGGCCCGACCCCATCAGACAATCTGAGTTCCAAGCGAGGTTTTTGCACGTTCAGGCCGGTGGTACTGGGAAAACGTCGCAAACCAGAGTCACCAGAGTTCGACACGAGCAAATAGAATCCAACTACAGCCATCTCGGAAGGTGAAAGGGCCCATGTAGTACACCTATCAACTTATCCTCATCGTGCCCAATGCGTCCCAGCGACCTCGCGTCGCACGTGTCGGTTGCATGCGACTCGACCATGGAACCACCCCGACGTCGCTCATCCGTGGCTCTGATGTGCTGGTACCTTAGGTGCTTGGCGCATGAGCGTGGTTTTCGTTTCTTTGGGTCCTTAGCCAAGCCTGTAGACCTATTGACTAAAGTATCAGATGGGAACAAGAACATGCGCGGGCATCATCAGCAAAAGGGGGGAGCCCTGGTACCATCTGGTAACTGTACCGGACACTCACAATACGATTTTTGGGAAACTCGATGTTCCCAACAAGGAAGGCTTGTTGGATCTTTCAGCTTCAAAACTGGAGAATTCGACGGTGCCTTTGGCCACCCTTGTGCTGGAAACCCTTGGCGCGCTACGTGCGAGGGTGCTGCAATGGGCAAAACATGTGCTTCAGGATCATGAGATGCTCACAGGATATGCTTTAAAAAACAGGCGCTTTGTGCGGTCGAAGAGGCGTGGAGTTTTCGAAAACAAGCTGCACATCTTTGTCTCCGCGTAGGACGCCCAAGACCTCCGCGAAAAGAACCTGGCCGAGCATTCAGAATCATTCAGAAACTCGATCGGGGGTCGGAGACATGTTCCGCGCCATTCCGACTCAGTTTGAGAGCCCATACCACCAGAAGCCGGAAGAAAACCTCTCAGCAAATCACAGCCTCCAGCTTCGTTTCAATTCGCCAGATGTCCAGGGCTTTCCTGAGATGCAACGTTCCAAGCGTGATGGAGGCCTGAACTTGTCCATGCGACTGCGCGCAGAGCCTCTTGCTCTATCGTACCGTGTTTCTTGCTCTTAATCGTACGGTATTTGCATACGATGCCAGTGACGCTTCGTGAAGGCAGGCTGTCGCATCCCTTGCACCCCAAAACCTCCCAAGAAGAAACTCTCCTGAAACTCTCTGTGAATCTTCCAGGTTTTCTCAAACTTGAAAAAGGGAGGTGGTTCAATAGGTCGCAGATTTTTTCTGCCCAGGTGGCGCACCACCTCGGAGTCGTGCTGCCCCTTCGATGAATTCCATCCTGAGCTGCGACCACTGGCTGGGGTTTAGGGTTTAGGGTTTAGGGCTTAGGGCTTAGGGTTTAGGGTTTAGGGTTTAGGGTTTAGGGTTTAGGGTTTAGGCTTTAGGCTTTAGGCTTTAGGGTTTCGGCCCGAAGGTCTGTCATCTGAGGCTGGATTCCTGCAAAAGTCAGGGTCAGGGTTTAGGGTGGGGGGGGGGGGGGGCAATGGCCTTGGGATCACGCTCACGCAGAGATGTCTGGGACAAGCGTCAGCGTGATCTCTCCATCCCCATTGTCTAGGAACTCGAAGAGGCTCATCAAGTCATGGTACTCCAACCTCAGGCGAACGCTGCTGTAATTATGCTCACGGAGACACGCCTCGTGATTCCAAGCCGCCCAACATAATGTTGGCCCCGCTTTAGGTAGGGGTTTCCAAAAGCTTGCCGGGATTAGCCTCATGGCCCAACAAACCCTAACCCGCATCTGATCGTTTGACACGAGAACTTCTTCTCACCTCGGCTTCCGAGAAGTGTCTAGGATCTGGTCTCCTTCCCCCAACCGGAAATTTGTGGGCCACGCCCCGCCCCCCTGTGAAACCTGCCTCAACCGCTTGGAGGAGCCACGATGCCGGGGCTTTCCAGGCTGCCCCCTCCCACAACCCCTTGAAACGTCTCCTGGGACTTTTCTCTTGAAAGTTACAACTTCCATTTTGGAGCACACAGTACTACAGTACTCTACGGTGTGTCACAGCTTCAAGCGAGCAGTCGCAGTCAGCACCTTTTGCTGTCGGGCTTGGCCGTGAACATCGGTGGACAGGGCAATTGGAACAGCGTTCGCTAACAGACCTCATCATAGTCATCACTATCCTCTCAGCGAAGTAGTCGAAACCACCAACCACCTTCAGCAGTAAGGAAAATCATCAGTTCAGCAAATGGCTCTTTGCATTTGTTCGTTCACAGTGCTGCATGCAGCTGGCTCTGTACGAGTCACCGAGTCCGGTGAACAGTTTCCATCACAAGACTCAACGATCAGCCTTTCAATGATGTCCTCCAGTTTAGTCGGAAAAGGTCCCCGAAGCAGAGGCCGGTACCAACTAGTGGGTATGGCATGCTTGGATACCCCCGTCGACTCAGTTCAGTTCACTCAGTCTTCACCTTGCCGTGAGCGCTTCACTGCCCGTGTAGCAGTGTGCTCATGACTCCGATGCGCATGCCAGTGATAGCACCGTCAAGTTCCAGTTGTGGGGAACCGAGGGCAGGGCAGTGTTGGCAGCACTTCAAGTTTGAACCGTTTCGTCATGAGATTCAATCAGTCCCGTGTTTTGCGTGTTCTTTGTTCAGGTGCTTAGGGACCAGTTGTTTCAGAGAAAGCCAACCAGTCTTTGCAACAGAGTTGCAGTTCTTCAAGTTGTACATTTCAAGCAGTGTAGTTTTTCAGCGAACATGCACACATTAATTCGATCACCGCGGTGTCTCAGTTTGCGGCCAAGGAAAGTGTGCTGAGTCCCTCCAACCAACTCGCCAGTGATCTTCATGATTAGTTATTTCAGCAGATCCTCAGGAAACTGCTTCGTCCGTGCTTTGTCCCCCTCGATCAGTAGGTCCACGTACGCCAAACACAAACAGTGAGCCACTTTCATAACATTGCAAGTTGCCATGGGACTTTCGCGCTCGAACTTCAGTAGCTTTGTTGTTGAAGCAAGATGATCTGGCCACCGTTTAGGAGCTTGCCGCAGTCCGTACATGGCTCTCGTCTCCAGCGTTCGGCGTTCAGGGTAGAACGCAACAGGCGGCCAAACACTTCATCAGTCATGACCGCATGGAGAAGTTCAGGCGACATGTCCGCTAAAGTCAGTGTCCACTGTTCGCACCAGTGCCAGTATCACTAGTAAAAGCCACGTCATCAGTGAAGGAGCCCTAGGGAACAGTGAATCAAGGTCCAGTTGCCTGGAGTCTTGGAAACATCCCGGCAAAGATAGTCTCATGCGCAGTTCAATGTCTGCTTTCCAGCGCTGTTGCACCTTCCAGCTGTTCAATAGCGCAGTTCTCAACAGGAACTTCCGCGCACACTCCGACGTCCTTCGTTGAGCCCATGGCACTTCTTCAGGGAACTCATAACTCATCAGTCGAGTCCCAGATGGGACTAGCAAGTTCTGCTTCAGTGACAGCTTCCTCTTCATCACGGTTAACTTCGATAGCAACAGTGGTGCCGTCTTTGTTCCGTGCTTCAGTCGCAGAGGTTCTGAGGCCTCACTCAGCTTCAGGATCACGTGCACTCTGACGACTTGGCTCAGTGACGCCTCCTTGCTGCCCAAACCAGTTTGGACGTCTCTTGCAGCCAAAGCAGTTTTCAGGAGCAGCGCGTTGTGGATGGTAACCTATACCTCCTGAACTCATGACGTGCATGGCGCTGCACCAAGTGACACTCCTCACATATACGGGACGTGACTATACCTGCGCAGTGTGTCCCCTCCGGGAGCTACGCCCCTCATTGGGCTGGAAAGACAAAGACATACAAACCAGCAGCTTCTCGAAGGTTTGACATGCTTTCGGGGCCAATAATCGTGCCACGGCACTCGAGCTGTCCCATCCAGAACTTGAGCATTGGCGAGTTCACAAGCTTGGAAAACTCCTGTGTCGCATGGAGTTACGTAGCATGGGGGCCAGATGCAGCAGTACTGCAGTACGAGGTCTACTCGCCATTTCGCCGGAATCTGAGGTCAAGCCAGCTAGTTCCTAAGCTGCACCTCCCATAGTGAACTTTCTATCCGAACCACACGATGCTGCCCTGCCATGCGCCATTGCCTGTCTACACACGCTGACACTACATGCCTTTAAGTGCACGCATGCCTGAGTTTTGGGACGTGGCCTCTTTGTTGATCGACCCATCGCCAGAAGAGTCCATACTCCTTGGTCTTTCGACTTGTCGGTACGGTCAATGATATGTTCGACCGTGAAATCTGGACCTCCAAACCCCCCGAGAGCTGTTTCAAGGGGTGAGGCCTTGAGGCCTTGGACAGCTTCGCGAAGCATGTAATGCCGCAGAGCCGCTGGAATAGCTTCTTTACCTCCCATGCAAAACTGTCCGTTGCTTTTCACGATCAACACTCACAGACCCCTGCTCCCTTGCGCCTGACACATCCTGAAACCCACAGAAGATTGTCTTAAACCCGATATTGCCATTGCAAGAGTAATTACATGGATCTGTCGCGGCGCCAGGCTACGTCGGCGGGGCTGCACGGTGGTGGTTCCTCAAGGTTCTACCTGTTCCTGGCACCCGAATCATTATTTTGCGGCTCTTTTCCCCAAGGGCCCCCTGAGACTGAGGCCTTGCGAGTGTACAGGGCCACGTCCCGCTCCTTCTGCTTGAAAGCCAGCTCTTCGTCAGAGCTTGCAGTTTTCATCGTCTGCCTCTCGTAGCAATGCACATCTTCTATGTTTTAGACACGAAGGACTCCAGGACTGGGAGGAAGTCTGACTTCTAACCCTCTCGCTCACGCTGCATCTCGTCTTCATCTGCTACAGCCCGACATTCTCGCTTGGTTCTGGTCTCATGTCCGGGCCTTTGGAAGAAACCCGAAATGGAGGGCAACTATGGGCTCTCAAACTCTGTGCACACAACATGTCGCTCCCAGCGACTCTTCCGAACAAACGACCAGGAAGATCTCGCCTACCATGTTCCTGCAAACATCTGCACTGCAGGGAAAAATCGTGTCGGAAGGGTTTAGGGACTGACATTGCCAGCAAGTTGCTGCACGAACACCGCGTTTACAACCTCAGAAAGGCGGTGGTCTAGGATTGGGAATGGACGAAAACCAAGTCACGGTTCAGCAAAAAGTTACGGCCGCCACGTTCACCTCAAAAAGGACATGTACCGGCGATCAGTGCTGGACAAGCAGCGTTGAGGACTGCAAATCCAAGGACCTCATAGAAAAAGCGAAGAAGAAGAAGAGGAGGAGAGCTTTAAAGCGTTGACATAGAAACGAAGCGTTGAAGTTGCAAGCGGCTTAGAAAAGATAGACAAGTTCGACTCAGCTCCCGGCACACCGGTAGAGCAAGAAGAAGATGGAGAACCATTCCTCGGTTTGGATTTCGCCCAAGCTCCCACGGGCGAAGAAAACAACAGGAGCCTGCAACTTACCCGCCAACCCAACGCATCCAGGACACACTGATGTTTTCCACGAGCACCCTACATGGTGGGCTCCAATTGGCGAACAAAATCTCGAACATCGTCAGGAACCTGAATGAAGTTTAGGGGTGGCATGGGGTGGCAGATGCAGCTGTTGCTGCGTCACACCATGCTTTTTTTGACACGAACGCGATGAATGGTCTGAAATCCCGCGATGTACGCACGAAGGCACTCCTACATCTCCTACTATACCGGGGGTTTTGACCACCTGCCGGCCTGGAAAGGAGGGATCCCCTTCAAGCCAGTGGAAGCCAACGTGAAGTTCTCTATAGCTGCTGCAACGTTTACGATAACAACGAGAACAACCAAAACACTAAGCATGCAAATGGGCCCACTTCCAGCCCCTCCCCACCCCAAGGGGGAAGTAAGCTTTTGTCGACCGGTGAGGCACCAGGCTGCCGGGCGATGTGGTCGATAGGGTACCCACAAGGGCTTGCAGCAACCTCTCGTCGCCATGACGGAGTCTTGGACCGGATGCAATCGCCCCCACCTCCCGGCCACTCCCCACATGCGATTCGTTTTCGTTGTCATAGTCCAAGTTGCTCCCTAATCGTCACCAAGATCGCTCGAGCCTTGACTCGCTAGCCCAGACTTCTTGACCGTTCAGCAGCACTCTCTCTCTCTCTCTCTCTCTCTCTCTCTCTCTCTCCAGCAGCGCAACACCGATAGCATTTCATCGGCAACATGCAACCCTCCGCACCATTCCGGGCTTCTTCCCAAGCCACCCCAACAAGAAGCTCGTCCATCACCCGCCGCCATGAAGCTCGGTTTTCGTTGCACGCTTGAGCCCGGTCGGCTTCCCTGATGGCCGTCACTTCCACAAGGCCAAACATTGGACCCCTGAAACATGATGTGGTTGAACGTGGTTGAACGATCCCCGGTGGATGGAACGGCCTCCCTGAATGACCTGAGCGCACTCGGAAGTTAGAAGGCTTGCGCGCCTTCAGAAGGGGCAAGAGAACCCATCCCAAAACAATTCTTCATAGCATGAAATCGATATGCCCTTCAATCACGTCAATCTCAATCATACGGCCATACGTCGCAAAGGGGCAGACTTCAACCTTCAGTGACATACCTGCGCCCTGCGACTTCCAGCTTGCCATGGTCACGACACATGACGAACGATTCCACCTTGAAGCAGCGATAAGCAGTCTGAAAGCCGAGGCACGTTCGAGTGAATGTGCCGTAGAAGCGAAAGACTTCCTCCTGGGACAAAGAGGTGGCTGGCAAATCAACCAAGAGTGGTTGCTTGAAGCACCAACACAAATCAATCGGGTAAGCGGGCAAAAGTGCATGCGAAGTGTCCCGGAGCAGCATGCTCTGGGTCTCATCACTGATGAAATCTCGGCAAAGGGTGCTGGCAACCATTCCTGCGACATGGCATGGCATCTCTTCTTGTGCAACTACAAGAACCCCGTATGAAGATGTCTGGACATCTTCTCGTGGCCTCTTAGAAGTATGTCTAGAAACGGTCTTGTTACTAGTTCTCCACTATCCTACCTCCTCCACCTTGCACTGGCACGGAATACCATATGCGTGTGTCGGTGTGCCCCGACAAGGCGTAAGGCGTGGTGACATGAAACATCAGAGAATCAGAGAAACACCATGAAACGAAGGCAGCTCAACTCATCGCTCCAGCCACGCACTGCACGAAGGTGAGGAGGCAAAAGCTCCAAAACAGCCTGGGCACGCTGTGATGCTGGTTGACTTACACCGGGGTAGGGGGGGGGGGGGGGTAGGGGGCGGTTGTCAAAAACGCTTCCTGCGGTTGGGGAACAGCTCAGACGATCCCAGAGCCATCCACGCAAAAAATAAGACAAAATGCACATGCATTATAGATGTATATACACATACGCAGCATCATACGCACATGTATGTACAAGAGTACATTGCGTGATGTGTGTATATGTATGGCATATACCCAACCTCTCAGGCAGAGTTCACCCATGCCCTTCGACTTTATTAGCCTCGACAGCCCGACCCTGCTCCGCTGCGCCTTCGCTCTCTTTTGGATAGTGCCATTTTTGTGTGCTGGTTGTAATGGGTGCTTTGTTAGGCTTTTTGGGTGTGCTGGTTTGCTTTTTGTTTCTTGGGTTCGCAGATGTTCTTGCAGACCTGCCTGGGGGTGTTACTTGAAGCCTTGCTCTAAACTTGAACTCAAGCCAGAGGGGCATGTTCGCACTGGCACCAATGCACTTGATGAGCAACCTTGGTGCCGAGATCTAGCTGGGGTGATAACGGCTGGCTGAAGGTCTATGCATACAGCATTCTGCTATTATTCCCCCTCTTCCACGTACTAAAAGAGTCTGGGCCAACCGAAAATCAGAGCTGCGAATCGTGATGTAGACCGTGAGTCATTGAGATTACACGACCGGTCTGCATCTTGTCGCCTCTTCCCTACTTCTGAGGGCGGCGCGTGACAAAGACAATAAGAGCAACATCTGCCAGACTACGCCAACACGGCAGAGCGACTGGAGCGATGCCAGGACGCTGTTCATGGTCACCATTCCTGGAAACCAGGTGTCATGGAAATGAGGCGCTGCGTCCCCGAGTCCCAAGTCGGGGCGGGGGGGGGGGGGGGGGGGGGGGGGGGGGGGGAGGCAACTCCCAAAAAAAACCCCACACATCTGATGGATGAGATCCTGGCAAAACCCTCTCTGGGTCCATTTATGGGTTCCCACCGTTCCCACCCCCCCTTTCTCCCCTTTCTGGTCTCGAAGGCGCGGATGGCCCGTGCCAGTTTGCCGATCCGGAGAAGCCGGAACAAGATGGGGTTCACCTGTGCTTTGGGCCAAGTCAACCATGAAGACCACGGGGACCCTCCTATCCTTTTGCGAACTCCGGTCCGGTTGCGGCAGGCCCCATGAACCACCATGGAATCGGTGATAGAAGGCACTAATAAGCCCACCATAAGCCGAGCCATCAGGAGCCAAGGAGCCGGAAACGCATTCCCGTAATAGACAGCAACCTCGAAGATTGAGGTCGCGCTGACCTTTGAGTAAGGAGCCCTGTGTTTCTCCTCGTCTACGGGTACATGTACATCGATTGTCTCTGTAAGTCCTTTATCGAGGCAGGTCTGGCTCAGAAAGCTTTCTGCTTCTCAGAGTTTTCAGAGGTGTCGTGTCAAGATGTGTCAAGATCGCACGCTGTGCTTTATTTGTTTGTCGCGCGTCCTCCGTCTGCTTCGCAATCCGCAGCCTTCCCCGATGCACTGGGAGATCCAGCATCTGCATGAGAGACATGCCTAAAAGAAATAGGAATTGCAGACCTAGCGGCTGCCACGTCGATGTAGTTCAGCGGAACCTGATCAATTCCCTGGGGAAGGTCGAGGCAAACCTCAAACCCTTTCCCAACAAATGCCGCTCCCCCGCCGCAAGGGGTTGCACACAAATTGCCAAATGGCACTTCAGAGCCAAACCTACATTGCTCTAAGTTGAACCCCATTGACACCTCTTGATTGTGAGAGGCGTGCCTTCCAGAATTTGCACTGCAACACGCTGGCGCGCACCATGACGTCCAGGGTGAAGAGGACGGTAAAGGCCAGGTCACCCACACTTAGCCCACGGAACAAGCTCTGAGAAGCAGCTCTTTAAAGAAGGAAACAACTCCTGGAGGTCAATTTGAGAGCCTATCGCAGAACTCAGAAGCTGCTCTCTTTCTCTCTCTGCACCGAGGCCACGTGAAGAAGAGCTCCCAGGATTGCCAGCTCTCGTTGGACACTTCAGTGGTGTCATAGACACCAATTTCCAAGCCCACGAGGTTCCTCGGGGGGGGGGGACATCTCACAGCCACTCTAAGTTGCCTTGCTGTTCGATGCTTCTTCTAAGATGCTGAGCTTTCAGCTTTCTTTCATCCTTTTTTTTAGGAGACAGAGCCTACATTCATCTCGCCACTTAAACAGGTCCAAGCATGCTACTGCTGCGTTCATGCATATTCACTGGGAAAAGAATCCTCGAAGGCTTTTCTGCCATGCACATGCATGGGCCCCTGCCCTTTAAACACACACCCAGCAACTCCGACCCTTAAATCATTTACGTCCCTAAACTCTTTTGAAGCTGGACTTGCTGACTGCCACACAACCCTTTTAAAATTTTAAGCACGGACTGAGGCTGCCGGCAACACCTCCAGACAACCCTAAGCCCTAGACCACGATCTCTTCCAAGCCGGAGGCACCCTGAGAATTGCAACTCCCAGGCCATCCACAGCACGTTCACGCCTCAGTTGTGAAAGTCCAGGTTTCGGACCCTGTACGCTGTACCTCCTCTTAGCAGAGTGCATGGTAAAGTGTAAGGCATTCCAAAGAACTCCTGACCTCCAAAGTGCAAGCCAAAGCTCACAGGAGCCCTGCTACGCACATCCTCAGTTCGATGCAACTTCGTCCGACCGCAAGGGCGGTGCAAGGAAGCCCAAGGAAGCCCATCTTCTGTGGTGTCTGCCAAGCGTCTCATAGCGTGCTGACTGTAGAAAGGCCTGCACAGAAGGGGAGCGACACAGTGAGCTTGAACGCATGCGGCCGCATCCCTGGGCCTTCAAGCGCTTCCACTTGGACCTGCGCTGCTCCTCCGACGTGTACTCCTCCACGCGTTTTCCACCGTGTTTTCACGTGTGGGTGCATTCAGGTTTGCTGCGAAGTATGCGCAGTGGCACCTAAGTCAACCGAACAGCAGGAGCATCCTCCGACTCGTCGTGCCCAAGGAGGTTTCGCAGGTCAGGTGTCGACGTCTCCTTGCATGTGAAAGTTCCATTACCCGTATATGTATGTGTAGGTGTATATACATGGAAAGAGACACATGTGTATCCATTCCATCCACCTGAAGCATCCACTCCCTAAAAAATCCACATCAGGCCCCCCAGCCGATGCCCCCCCCCCCCCCCCACAGTCGACTCTCTCTCCCTTTGCCTAATTGTGGGAAGAAAAATAGATTCGCCAACGGACGAGCGGCCACTTCTCCAGGGAGGCCCAAACAACCCGGAGACCCTAGCCTCCCTCGTCTGGGGGCCACATGCTCAGAAGTTTGGGGCTTCCAATAGCCTTCAAAATCTTGGCCTCTAAAGGGCCCCAGGATTCAGGGGTCTGAGCCGAGCAATGTCACTATGCTGGGGTCCTCATCTGGCTGATTGATGCTGCTCATGAACTGCTCTTGCAGCTCTTGAAACTCCGGCGCGCCTGCCACACGCAAAGGGAAAAGGGTACAATCTGTGGCATCTCCACATAACCTTGAAGCAACTCCTGCCGAAATCCCTGCCTTCTTCCAGCATGGCAGGGACCCTGCTCTTCCGCTTATTCTTGAGGTTGTTGAATCCTGCGAGAATCTGTGGGCAGTCGCTGGATTCCCCCCCGACACTCGAGACGTGAAAACTGTCAAAGTCACTCTAAATCTGTCGCAACGGCCACAATGTCACAGAATGTCACAGAGTCACAGAGCTCCTGACTGCGAAGCTTCACTTGCCCCGCTGTTGTCGGACACCTGTGGCACAGCTGCAGAGTGCAGGCCCACTGACGTCACTGACGTCCATGCCATGCTCTCGTCGAAAGAGTCGCAAGAATCAGCTCACGAAATGGAGATCTTGCCTCATGGGTTGCAGACTTACAGTCTATCGGAGTTCTGTTCTGTGTGCGGGCGGACTGCGCTCTGCATGGCTGGTGGCACTAGCTATCCGCACAGCCCGCCCCGCTCTCATAACGGTACCACTGTACCATATTCCGATCCCAGGGGGTCGCAGCTTGCCTCGGAGCACTCCGACCCTTGGCGATCGTTCACTCGCACTTTCCTTAGTCGGAAATTGTTGCACGTGCGCACAAAGGAGATCTGAGCGCTGCGTTCTAAAGTGCGTCCGAGGGAGCTGCGCGGCCGAAAGATGCGAGATCCGCCTCGTCGGCTTCTGCGGCTCCCTCTGCGGCTCCCTCTGCGGGTCCCTGAGAGGCAAAAGTACTCTTGAAGTAGCCCTGAAGTTCCAGTGGCACGGGACTGAGAGAAGCTTCCCAGAAAGGACGTTGCCATGGAGAAACTTAAAAAGAAAGGAGGCGCACGAGCGCCGGCTCCCCACGAAAGGCCTGGGCGGCAGCTTCGATACCTCCATGACATGCTGCCGGAGGAGCTGGTCGAGTAGCGCCACGAACCTAAAGAAAGACAAAGGGGAGGGAGAAAAAAATGTAAAACAGCAGGGGGAGAACAGAGAAGAGAAGAGAGAGAGAGAGAGAAGACTCCAGCACGAGAGGCTCACCGAAGCTCTCTCTGTGACTCACCAAGCGGCGGAGGCGAGGCATTTCCTCTCAGATTGCTCACGTGGCTCGTCTGAGAGCCTGAGCCTGTGGAGTGCCTCGGGCATGACACACTCCCGATCTTCCGATCTTCCCCGGTCAGAGTCGGGCGGGGCAAAGGCTTCAGAGCAAACCCGAGAAAAACCTCTGAAAGCTTTAAAGGGGCCTTGAAACAGCCTGTAACAGCCCCAAGCCCGGGCCTGCAGGCTCAACGGCAAAACAACACAGAGAGAGAGAGAGAGAGAGAAAGACCGAGACACACAAAAAAGAAGATGATAATAAATAGTACTAAAAAAACATGTGTAGGAATGTAGATATCTATATATTGAATATACTATAAAAAAAAGTACATATATGTATATCAGTGGCGCTTCTTGGCTTTGAAAGGGGTGCCGAGATGCCTGTCGCCCCAGGCAGCTTCTTGGTCCAGCCTGGGAATGGGCGGCCTTGGCATCGGGGTCGCATTGGGGCGCTTTAAAAGGGGTTTGTGGTTAGGGCCGGGGTAGAAAGGTGACCGCGAACCGGAAGTGTGTACTCCTTCATCATCCGAGTCCCTTCCGGATCAGCTGACAGTAGACAAACATGCAGGCCGAGCAGCTGTCTACTTCGTACATTCGGCATGCACAACATCTCCGGCATTGTGCTCCGGGCTGTCCCAATGTGTACCAATCCGCTTCAGGTTCATAGGAGGGATCTAGCCCTGTAAGAGAGCCTGTCACATTGTCTGTGCATTGCCCGGCTTGAGGCAGTGCGTGGGCCGGAGTCCATATGGCAAGAGGCGCACTGTTCGTTGCTCTGCTACAGTAGGTGTTCCGTGTCTTTCTATGTCTGATCTCTTGTCTTGAGCTGGCATGGCACCATACATCAAACAACAGCATTCTCTTCGCGCAGTGTCGCCTACGAAAAGAAATCCTGGGCACTCGAGCAATCTTGGGCAGAGGGGCCCTAGGAACCTACCCGGCCGGGAGCGCCTCATGCCTTAACCAGAGCCACCAGAGTCACTAGAGTTGCAGTTGCACCCCGCGGCAACTTCGGCCTCTATGCCCCTTTGCATCAGAAGCATGTCCTCAGAAGCGAGAATTTGGAGAATAGGAAGGGGCATCGTGTGATGAAGACACTTGTCGGTCTCTGTCAAAGCCAGAGATGCGTGCTAAAAATATGATGTCGCCAGCCGTGGACTTACTCGGAATATCTCGGAATGAGTGGAACGCCAATGCCCCCCAAACCTCCACAACACGACCCCTCTCACACGAACACCTCTACTCGGCTTGACCCACTTTCAAGTGTTCTGAGCCACGGGCCACCTCTTTTGGTAGGGCGCCCCGGCCCAATTGCGAGAGGTCCTCGGCTGCGCGTCAGCTGCTAGAGTTTGGTACACCATTTCGTATGGTGGACAGCAAAGCCGTCGCGGCTATGATCCCATGATGCTGCAACGTAGTGCATCGTATCTTACAAGTACCTATTATACCCTTCCCGGGCCAAGGTCCATGGTGTTGCGCTGGGTGTTCGCCAAGCTGAAGCCCACCCTGAGCACCGTGGCATCTCACTGGATGGACTGCCCAAAAAATCCCACACGTGGCCTCTTCTGCTCCCAGTCATAGACTGTGTAGTATCCTCGGCAAGGACTGGAAATTCTTGAAACACACCGCTGTTGCCTAGCTGCGCAAGGGAGCCCAAGGGAGAGCAACATCATCAGAAAGCTGGGAATCAGTGCTGTCCGAGTTGAGGCTGACACTTGGGCCGTTACAGCAGGTCGTGGACTCCTTCACACCTCCCCAAATCGCCCTTCAAGGACAGGCGGCGGTGGAGCACCGGCTCACCGAGGATGAACAGCTTCGGCCCTAGAGGGGCTGGAAGATTCACCTGAAACATATCGCCAAACAGAGCCAAACCCCTTCTTTAAGGGTACCTATAGGCTTCCTTAGGGCCTTAGGGCTTAGGTCTCGTCAGGGTTTAGGGTGAAGGACCGGAGGACCAGCGCGCCAAAAAACTGCTCTGTTTTGGGCGCAAACGTGTGCTCGCGGACCGGTCAGCTCAAAGTGATCAGCTGAAAGCCGTTTGGCACCACGTCTGTGGATCCCCAGGTCACAACCGTGTCGTTGCTGCACGGGCACGCAAAAGCACCTCGCGGCCCTTTGTTGGTCCACGAAGTTCCACAAACATCCTCTGCAAAACGTCCATGTAATGCCTGCTCGGCAGCTGCATTCACGCTGCTGCCCCAGGCCACAACCGTGCCATCTAACATGACAGCAGCCCAAGCACCCCTGTTGCAAGAGACGCGCTTCACCTTTTGGAGCCTGGGCCAGTCAACTTCCACATCGCCCCAAGAGCCGAGCCGTCTCGCTTCAAAGCAACGAAGCCAGCGGCGCCTTCGTTGGAGACAAGCGTGGCAACGTCCACAAGTTGGCCTTTGATTGCAGCCACATCCCCTCCATATCGTGGGCACCCCCATGCAAAAACAGTGTCGTCCGCGCGGATGGCAGCCATTGCGCCCCAGCTATTGCAAAAGCTCTTCACATTGCCAAGGTCGGCTTCGATGGATGTGCTAGCACCTCCAAGATCGGATTCTCCCCAAGTTGTACCTGTGCCGTCTAGGCATGCTCCAGCGAAGGCATATGTGCCAGCAAAGATGCTCACATACTGCAAGTTGTTGGTGATTCGTTGCCCCCAATTTGTCTCTACCGAACCATCGGCCTTGAGAACAATCGCGAGGTTTGCGTGGGGCCCGGATTGAAGAGCCACATCGACCACTTGTTCAAAAACGTCATACTTACCACCATCACGCCACAGGATGGCCTTGCTGTCTGAGAGAAATGCGCAGAACATGCCAACACCGGCCTGGGTGCGAATGACAGTCTTATCCTGCAAATACCTCTCAACCGCACGGTTGCCTGCTCCAAAGTGGGTAGAGCCCCAACTGAAGACCTTGCCATCTTTGCTCAATGCAAGAAAAGCGTACCACGTCGCGCACACATTGAAGATATCCCTCTGCAAAAAAGAGTCATCTATAGGACTTGTCCTATTATTCGTATCTTCCAGAACACTTGTACAGCCACCCAACCGCATGTTTCCCCAGGCTATAACAGCACCTGTCTGCGTAACAGCAGCAAAAGAATATTTTGCAGCACACACTTCTCGCACCTGTCCCAAACGGGAGCGAAGGGCTGGGGAGATGAGACCGCCACTGTCTGCGTTACCCCAAGAGATGATGTCTCCCGACGGAGTCAAGGCCGCAAAGGCCCCTGCAGTTGCGAAGAGACGCGGCATTTTGCGTCAAAGCGTCACTTCCGCTCGCAATCCAATCGCTTAGGGTACTTCTTGGAAACATCTGGATGCCACCAGGAGTGACAAGGGTACTGCGAAGGCCTGCTGTGCCTCGCCATTGTGCGACTTCATAGACTGGTTTGTCGCAGGGAACGTCTTCTTCCACCAGCACGCCGCCAGATGCACTGCGAATGGAAAGCCGCAAGAACTGATTCTTCGGCAGGGAATGCGGGCGTTTCATGGTGTCAATCTAAGCCTGCTGCAGCTACGCCCACCCCACTACTTACACCTTCCCCCCTAATTACCCCACTCCCTCCCCCCCACCCCACGCAACGGCTGCAAACAAAGCAGGCTCGTGAGCGTGAGCTGCGAAAACCTGCGGAAGGAAGCTCCTAACAGCTACATTGTGGAAGATGATAGTATAGCACAATAATATAATGTGAAGGAAGAGACTGTACTAAAACAATGAGTGCGAAAAAGATGTAGATAAATATGAAGAAACATATATATATATATACATATATATATATTTTGTTTATATTTATGTTTATATTTATATTTATATATACATTTTTTTCTACGCAAATAATTCGTATAGTCAGCCCATGCTGAAGCCGAGCTGCGGCCATGACCCGCGGGCTGCAGTTCCGCCTCACGGGAGCCTTGCACACGTGGGGGAAAGTGGCCAGAAATGGGGAGGGGGGGGGGGAGGGGGGGAGGGGGGGGGAGGGGAAGGGGAGGGAGGGGGGGCTCCTGTAATCAGGGTTATATAGCATTTGCGGGTGTGCATGGTACCTACTTTGGGAAGTACCCAGGTTGAGCAGCCAAATTCTTTGGCATTCACATATGTAGAACAATAATTCGGGACAAGTCGTACTGAGCGTGTGCACGAAAGCCTCCTCCTTGGCATCCTCCTTGGTCTCCTCCTTGGACTCCTCCTTGGCATCCTCCTTGGCCTCCTCGTTGGACTCCTCCTTGGTATCCTCCTTGGCATCCTGCACGTGGGTTTACACATTTCGCAAATTTTATTATTTCCTGGTTCTCCAAGCCCCTCTAGCATCCCTTGGCTTCGCATCTGCCAAACATGCGCGGAAGGCGCCTCCTTCTCTGCCTCCTGGGACTTCTCCCCGGACTTCTCGACCGCTTCTTGAGCCTCTGATCCGTCCTGCGAGGCAAATGGTGTGAGATGATGTGAGATGCGTGAGTGCCTTCTGCAACGGAAGCCATGCCGGGAATCTTGTAAAAAAAAAACTGTTGCCGACGCCTTTGGGCCCAAAGCCCGAAGAGTCTGTGTTGTTCCCGGAACACTTCCACTTCCACTGAGGGTCCTAGGAAAGCCAGAGAACCGCCTTCGCGATGATCTTCCAAGGAACACGGGACAGCACCAACATTCGGGGGCAAGCTGACGGCACTTCGTTTTTGCAGCTACAGATACAGATTCACGCAAAGCCGCCTGGCGCGGTGTGTGAAACATACTCAGGATAGAAGCCCAGGAGGTGCAAAGGGTTAAATGAGGCATTTGCTTGAAGCACTTCACTCTTTGCTTCGCCCCCTTCCTTGTCGCGATTTTTTTGGCACGGCAGCCTCTTGGCACAGGCCACCTCTTGAAGCAAGAGCAGTTGAGAGAGCGATACATGTTTGCTCATGGGCAATCTGGCCAAACAGTCAGGCAAAGGTCCCGCTGTGCACCCACGAGTGGCCAGAGAAGGAGTGACAATGCAATGAAGCCATGCCATTCTCACGGCCTGAAGTGGGGCACCTCTCCTGACGAGCCTGAAGAGTACCCTGAAAGCCGCACTCAGGTCCTTCTCTGGCTTCTCTTCTTGTCCGGCTTTCACCTCGTTCTCAAGCTTCTCTGGCCTCAGGTCTTCTTCTGGCTTCTGGTCAGCACTGGTCAGCCCTCTCAACCCTTGACCTCTCCTGTTACTCCTCGCAAAGAAACTTGTAATCGCATTTGCAAAGAGCGCTTGCAAAGGCCTGCTGGGAGGCCGCGGGGTTGCACAACACACGCACTTTGAGGCTGAATGAAGCCTCTCCTCCCCTCACAAAAAAGGCGACAAGAACACAACTCGGTGGCCTCGGATCTTCGCTGTCCTGCAGAGCTGCCAGAGATGAAGAGAATGCGGTGCTCGCTTGTTTTTCTGCGTGGGTGCATGGAATCACGTCATTCTGCCCATGGGTGGCCGTTACTCAGGCCCGGGTTCGGGGGCGAGGAGGCGTGCCACATCATATACACATGCATACGTGCAGATACATGCATGCATGCAGTCGTGCGTGTCCTTGGCATCCGCCAGAAGAGGCTTGCAGTGGATGATGAGGTTCAGACCCCACTGAACGCTGTTCCCATCAATCCTGGTCAAGGACAAGGCGAGACCGACGTCAGGGCAGTGATAGGAAACATGCGGGCATAGGCGCAGACTGAGGCGACACAACCCGAGGTGGAGTACCGATGACCCATGGATACCGGAGAATCCCGCACTTCCGTCCCCCCACCCCTGTTGGGATGCTTGGAAGAATTCAGCACGACACAACAGGAAGACTCTGAAACCTGAACAGGGTTTCCGGGCCTCTTGACGCAAATCGTTTCCTTCTTGGCGAACACTTCAAAGCGATCGGGGAACTGGTCCTGCTTATCGGCAGGGCATCAAAAGCTCATTGCAGCCCTCGGGTCCCTTGTACCACGAGGGAGGAGGCAGCAAGGGTGAGGATGTTCACTGCAAGAGAGTACACATTTATGCAGCGCAAACATGAAAAAAGGGCGGCAGTCGGCTCTACGGGTTCGAGCTGAGGCCTTTCTCCTGTTGGCTGCGTCCACGTCGCAAGTCACGGGGACATGAGGCCTTGCATTGGATCTTAGAAGTGATGGTCCATTGTGGCCCCTGCAACATTACGATTACTAGAAGCCACATACGCAAAGTGAATTCTAAGTTCAGCAAGCCTTTACTAAAGTTTCAGGAGTTGGGGTGTGCAGAGCAGCGAACCCTCCTCAAGCCGGAAAGGGGCGCTTGTCCAAGACGGACTTCAATGAGCTTTCCTGCTTCTCGCACCCTCCCGTCTCGGGCCCGTGTTTGGGCACCCGAACTGGATGCACTTCTCCGTCGTCTCGCCGAAGTGACTGCCAATCACCAGCTCCTCTGGGTTTGCACTCAGCTGGGGGGGGGGGGGGGGGGGGGGGGGGGGGGGGGGGGCCTGTCTTTTTTCGAAGGGCAAGGCAAGGCAAGGCAAGATATAAGACTATAGTAATGCAACCATATAAAATAGTACAATACCCTTTTCATAGAAAAATACGAATTCGGATTAAGGGAGGGTTCATGGAGCCCGCCTCCATGCCCTCCAATGCTGTGTGGGCCACCTCTGTGCATCGGAGGACGAGGTCCGCCTGGGCGCAAGCGGGAAGCGTGGAAGTGCTTATATGGGGGTTTCCGAATTTAGGGAAACATAAGGGAACCTTATTGGGGTCCCGATTATATAAGCAAGGTATGGGGGATTATATCAGGGGTCCCCTTTTGCATCCAGGTCTCACGCCGGGCATCACCAGATTTACTGGGGTCCCCTATTTCCGTAAACCCCCCATATGGGTTTTAGGTTGCGTCTGTTGCAGGTCTTCTCCCTTTCGAACCTGATTGAGCACTTAGAACAAACTTTGCCAGGTCTCCTGCTGTTCTCTCAATTTTGCCCGGCTGAACACAAGGATCAAGTTCTTGTCATCAGGCTCCATGTGTAAGTTACTACTTGAGGCCTGGATGCTATGCTGAGGGACCCACCTCTTCGATTTCGTTGGGCACCGAGCGCGGGGTGACGCAAATCTGGCTGTTCTTCGGGCGAACCAGGAACCTCGTTCATTGACGCTTTGGAAATGTCTCAAAACAGTCTCTCTGATGCCCTTACTTCTGTGACACGGCGGCGATCTGCCGGAATGAACGCAGCCAGCGAGGACTCTGTGCCACTCTGGCAAAGCGCTGCTCTAGGCATGTCAGAGCCAAGCGGCTGCTCTGTGTCCTCACACTTCACCTGCGCGCTTCGCTGGACATCCCTTGGACATCTCCAAAATACAAAAACACGTCTGGGTCTGGACCCGTGGCTCGGCCCAGTGAAAAACAAAAACAACTGGGACTGAAGATCTATACATTTACCTAAAATTTAAACATCAAAGTCTACGTTCCTTCCCCGCCTCCGCGAAAGGCTGCACACACCTCTCGCTGCCATCCTGTCGGCCGAGGTAGATCGCCTCCACCCCTGCGGCTTCAAGGGATGAGGAAGGCATCCTTTTCCTCCACCGTTCCCCTAGACTGAAAGACCGTAACCTTTCCTCTCATAAGACTCTAAGATGTCCCTGGAGCGCCTTTCTGCTTTGGCCCCTCAAGGCCGGCGGTATGGGGGTTCGGGCAGAGGAACTCCAGATCCAAGCCTAGGCTCGGAGGCATGTGGAGACGGCTCTGTTCGACATGCGCCGAGGTGTTGAATCAGATTTGTACCGCCTTAAGCTCAGTCAGCCAGGGCCGCCGGGATGCCCCAAGAAGCTCCTGGCTGATCCACTCGCTCAACGCAAATCTCCTCACCTGGCGAGAGGGAGTTGAGCTGACCAAAAAATTTGGGCCAGCAAACTGGGGGGGGGGGGGGGGGGGGGAGGAGCTACTTTGGGGTGGATCTGACCCTTTGCCTCATGTCATGCCAGTCGACACGCTAAACTGCAAAAAAACATTGTGGGCTCCTTGTGATTTCGCTCAATGGAGGAATGGCCAAGCAACATGTGCACTGTGCAAGCAGCAGAATAAGTAGAACAAGTGGTTCAGAGCCAGAAGCTCTGGGCGCACACCTTTCGCGGAGACGAGGAACTTGTCATTGTAGATGTCGTTGCGTCGGTTGGCTGCCTGAGATGCACTGGCAAACCTGTGGCCAAGGACCACAGTATACGAACCAAGGAAAGGCCACCGCCCCGATCAGATATGCGTGTGTTGCAAGTCAGCACGAAGCGATGCAGCACTTATGCCTAGATGCCTCTAGTCCAATACCATTACAGCTCTAGAAAGCTGCATGGGTCACCTCGGCCACAAGGCATCCCTCGGCCAAGAAATGGGCGAGCTGGGCAACGAGCTATCAAGGCTTGCACGCACTGCAGTCACTACAGGCTATGCGGCTATAGGCCATAGGCGCATGTTAGCTGCTGCCTCATGAAGCTGCTGCAGATGCAGCTGGGGCGCTTCCGGATCGCACTGCACTGCGTGTGGCGGCCTGACTCACCAACAGACCGAACAGATCGGGCGCATGCAGAGAGGAAGTGGCGGCCGTGCCATGACGGAAGTTACAAAAGAATCTCCTTACTAAGCCTTCGCAGGGTTTCAGAAGAAGTCTGCACGCTCAAAATATTGAACAGAGCCTACAACTGTAACTATGACACTATGAAATCAACCATTCCTACCACGTCTTCCATCCCGCCTGACACACCTTGCCGAGTTATTCTTGTTTGCCCCGACGTAGACAAGGTGGTAGCCAGGTCTAAGGGCGGTCTTTGCCTCGACACAGGCATGATCTTCCATCCTCTGGCACGAAAATGGTCACAAGACTTGTGGCAGTGAAACCCGGGCTCGCTCTTTGTTTCTGCTTCTGCTTCTTTCTTGTTCTGCTCCTTCTTCTCCTTTTCTCTGCCCTTCTCTGCCTCTGTTGCTCTTTTAGCCAGGTTTGCAAACCACGAGCCCGAATTGCGAAATGTTTGCCACGAGTTGAATGAAACAGGGGACTGAAGTTCCTCCGTCCCAATAACAATACCGCCTCAAGCCCGATGCACTCCTGACAGGTCTCTGCTTGGTGCCTTCTGTGTGAACCTTAACAATGAGACGCTTAATGGGGACAGTAGTTGTTAACAGGGTTCGCCCGCCTTTCTTCCTCTTCTTCTTCCCAGCGAACGGGTCTTCTGGGGAGGGAACCCCGGCCGCGACGGCCCGCTGTTCAGCTTGTCCAGGCGTGAGGGTGGATTCGTGTGATCCCATTTTTTCCCCTTTCTCTCTCTCTCTCTCTCCCCCTCTCCTTCTCTCTGACTCTGTCATCTCCTACTTCGCAGCTTCTGGGGACTGAGATGAGGTCTTCTTTAACTACGCGATTAGGAGGGTCCTCCCCGCAGTTTCTCTGTCGGCTTTTAGTTAGTTCCCAGCTGGATTCAGCCGGAGTACGGAGTGCAAATTCCCAATGCAAGAACCTAATGGTGCCCATAAATCTTTCGAAGGGCTCGGGCTTTCAGGGCATGACCGTGGAACGCCTCATCATGGCACACATTGGCACACTATTTCACTGTTCCTGCGACTAGGGGTCTGCCTCTGAGTTTCAGTGTCCTGGACGATGCAATAAGGCAATAGATTGCGGTGACAAGCCATGCCCAAGACATGCTCCGCAGAAGACTCGGACACCAAAGCACTAAACTACTTCGCACAGGGTCGACAGCAGGTGCAGCCGCTTGTGGGGAGCCTTCGAACTCTTCTTTTTCTTGTCCCCTTCATCGTCGACAGTCACTCCTGCAAAGGGCCCCCAGCATCTCTCAGCTCCAACCTTCTGATGCTTGTAAGGCTCTTCTAAGGGTTGAGGGTTTGGGGCTTGCAAGGACCTTTCCTAAAGCCATAAGGAAAAAGCGCGGCATGCTCCTTTCTCGGAGCTTACAGAGACGCCCTCGCGCAGCGGCAGCCGGCGCATGTAGCCTTTAGTAGATTAAAAGGCAGGAGCGGGAGTTCTGTGAGAGGATCCCTCACTGGAGCTTACATTTACTGCATGGCGTTGCAGATTACGCTTCCAGACGCTGCGAACCGCTACTGCTCTGCATATGCAAGCGCGTCGTGCTGCGGCCAAGCTGAATCCTCGGCGGTGCCTTCAAATCTCTGTCATCGAAGCTCTCGGATTTTGCCGCGACGTGAAGCGCAGCTGTTAATTGCAGCTCGCGCTAGCACCAAAACCCAAGCATGCAACCATCAACCCTCTTTGCAAGCTGAGCACAGCCACCTTCTCTCCAATGCTTAGTCTTCACATTCTAGATGCACCACACACTCCAGAATCTCTCCGTCAGGTAGCTTGCTGGAAGCAGCTCAATGGTCTTCCCCGGCAGATCGATCTCCTGGGCCATTGCAACACGGCGGATGAACGTCCAGATCACGAAAGAGAAAAAAGCCTTTTACCTGCCTCTTACATGGCCCAATCCCGCCATCATGAGATTGAGATAGTTCTCCTGATCCTAACAGCTGAAAGAAGAGGATCCCCCCCCCTCGCCTGAAAATCACCCCCCTTTCCTAGTGTAGAAGGCTCGTCCTGTAAATGACAGCCTGTTAACATCGGTTAACCCACTTGTGCAGTACAATGCAATGCAACGTGTTTCCCCTCTCTCTCCCCCCCCCCCCCAAGAGCTCCCGAGCTCCTGTGGAAGGCTTTCTGAAAGACTAGCGGCAGTCACTGGCATAGAGATACCGGCACAGAGATTCTGGCGGAGAATTTGATTTTGATATAGATTCTGATGTCAGATCCCTGCCGAGAATCCACCGTTGGGCTCTTGGCAAGGCGGCAGTCGAGGAGGTCTCCTGCATCGACCTGCCGAAACAAGTGTCCCCTTAGATCGCGCGAAGCCCTGGTGTCAAGTTGCATGGAATTTCCGGGCCTGGAGCATCTGCGACAGCTCCTTCGCATGGCCAGAAGCTCCGGTGACACTTGCTATCACAAACGGTACTATGCACTTCTGAAGCTCCAGGCGGGGATCACGGGAGCATGAAGAAAGGTCAAAGGAGGGTCGGCCGTCCTTGTCGTAAGGACCAGGAACACCCAAATGGCTGGTCCCTGTGTCGACCACTCCCCGGCAAGTGCCATCCTGCTCGAACAGCCACAATAGTTTCCGGTAGTGCTTCGAACAGCAGCGCTGCGAATGTCTCAGTGGAAAAAGTTGGGGATAAGTGTTAACTAACCCGTATACAACTTCATCTCTTCAACCTCGCGAAGATGTTCCGGTTCAAACCTGGCGAGCTTGCCAGCTCCCGTGCAGCATCCAGCAGGGTTGCGCAGAGGGTTGCGTCTAAGGAGTTTAGGCTTTGTTTTGGTGCTGAGGCCGCACGAGGCTTAAACAATCCGGGCCCCTGCAGTGGTTCATACTGACGGAGCTCTTTCGTCTTCCGCGCCCGGCTTGACGAGGTTGCCAAGTGTGTGGGGTCTCCTTGAGTGTGTGGCGTGAGTATAGATGTGATGTGGGCTTCGCCATGGTGATGCTGGGAGGTGGGGTGTCAAGTGTGAACAACTGCGACATGACTTGCGGGGCCGAACAAAAGGTGGCGTTTTCATATGTTTTCGTGGTGGCCATGCATATGCCGGCCTTCGCTGGGGGCCGATGGTCAATTGCCCAGGGGCCCTTCAGGCCCCATCACATATGCCTTCCCTACAGTCGCTACTTCTCTACAGGCACTGGCACCGGCTGGGTCGCAAAAGGTCTTTCCACGTCTCTCACCACTCTTTTCATTTTTGGTTGTCCCAATGAAAGCACGTTTCGTGGGAGACAGGGGCTGTTGCCTTGTTGGGCCTCTGCAGGTCTACTAGCCGGCGCCTTGCAGAAGTCCAGCTCAACACCGCCGACACGAACCGCCAGAATGGGCACGATCCTAAGCCCAAAGGTGCAAAGGCTCATTTAAGCTTGCCACTGGCCCCATCCCCTCCCCGCCCCCCCCATCCCTTTTCATCCCCCCCCCCTCCCTCCCCATATGAGGTTGTGTCAAGTCGTTAAGGACCTCGGGCCCCATGTCGAAAGGCAGAGAGACCTTCTTCCCAAGATGGGAGCACTGCCTTGAAGCGCGTTAAGGAACTAAGGAACTTGCACCCTTGCCTCTCACTTAGTGTGACAATGGAGAACAACTCGCAAAAAAAGATCGGCAGCCAAGCAGCCAGTAGCCGAGCTCTGGCATGTAGACCTGACAGGCGACGTTTTGGAGACACGTCGGTGACACTCTGCGACAGTCCATTTCCACAAAAGGCTGTGGAAAGCACACCGGAAGGGCCAAATTACTAGACTTCTTCTCATAGCGTGCGAGATGTTGCGGACTATCTCGTGTAGTCTGGAACTGGTGAACCGTCCTCCGGTACGGTACGGGCACCCTGGAACACTCGCCCTAGGGAGGCTTGATCTCTCCGGGGTTGCTCGATGATGGGCGCAGCATGCACGACGGCGCGCTGAACGAACAGATTGTGCTTCTAGAGGCCGTGAACTCCAAGTGGAAGATAACTTTGTAAGAAAGCGCTCAACTCATGGCGCAGGCCTAGGGCCCAGGTAGTGAGCACCATGTGATGCGAACCGCGTGGCTTTTTCAGACTTCACGGTTTCACACATCCTTCGAAGTTCACACGAAGCCGCCTCGCTCCAGCTCACAGGTTCAAGCCTCGGAGCGCACGGTATAACTTCGTAACGCAGAACTCCTTTGACAGGCCAACCTCCTGTTACACTCCTGTTCCTGCTAGGGCTGCTAGGGCCGCTAGGGCTGCTGGGGGGGGGGAGGAGCTGACAAAAATTGGCAGAAACTCGAGGAGAGGGCATTCGCCGGGAGTCGGCGCCGCCGAAGGCAACCTCTGAAGGCTCCACGTCCTCTCGCAGGGAGGAACACGTCAGACATCTTTCCTTTCTTTCCTTTCTGGCGCACCTAGCCCCCTCTATCTCGCACTCTCGCTCTCTCACCCTGCCCCTGGGACTCTCTTTTTCATAGAGCACACGCAAATTTAAGTGCGCAAGCGCGGCTTTTTCTGACTTCTAACAGGAGCACTTGCAACAAGGCGAGCAGCATGGCCTTTGCGTGCGCACCAAGAATGGACGGCTTACATGGCTCAAAAGAACACCCAACACGGGCCTCGTTGTCTGTCAGGAAGACGCCGAAGTGCGGCTTCTGTGCCATCCCATTCCGCACCAGCCTCAGTCGATGGAAAACTGCCCTTCTGCGCGTTCGTGTTTGCTCGGGGAAAAAGCAACCTGGAGTGCTGAGTTGCTCTGAAGTAGACACCTGCACTCCGTCAGGGCCTGTGGCTGCTTCACGCTGAACTGACGGCATGCTGAAAGCATCCCTTTTTCATCCTTCATTCCGAGGCTTGTCGATCTTGTCGGATGAAGGGCCGGAGGTTCCGGCAGAACTTTGGCTGCTCAAAAGTCAAAGTGGCAAGATGCAACTTGCTCTGGTGCTCCCGGATGGTCGACTGACAACCCGTCGCAGCGGTCAGCTGCCAGTTAATTTTGCCACTTTGTTCCTTTTGCGCAGAGATCATGCCGCTCAAGATCCACTCAGGTCTACTTACTAATAAGTCACTAAGTTCAACAAGGATCCTCAGACGCCCTCGATTTCGACCGAACCAGCTCCCCCACATGAAAAGAGCTATCGACTTGGGCGCCCGCCCCCAAAAGATTCTCTGGGCTTAGAGGACCCAGGCTGCTCAAATTCGCCATGGGCGCGCAGTGGGCACCTTTGGCCCTGATACACGCATGTGAACGGATAGAAGTCCATCAGCTACTCGCGAGCTCTCCAAACTAGGCTTCGGCTAGCACATCTAGGCATGCGCGTGCCTTGCCTTGCATATACCACAAACTTCTGAACTAGTAGTCTTAGTATAAGCATCACAGGCCATACCCTTGGTCCGACTTTGCGACCTTTGCCTGCAATCCATGCCACAGCATTGCTCAACACGCTCGCCCCTCTTCTCAGTCAGTGCCCTGGACTGACATCAGCGGCAGCATCGACGCCTCGCCTGCGGTTTCAGGAATCCAAGGGCCGGTGAACTTCAATGGTCTCAGAGAACTTGGGGAGATTTCGAGAACTTTCCCTCTGAGCCCCCCCCTTTCTTCCAAGGGGCGTGGCAAGCTCCAGCGGTGCACAAGAAGAGCCGCCGTTGCCTGACAGGCTCTCCGAGAGGAAGATGCTTGGTCGAAGCCGAGCATACGAACCACTTAAGCAGTTGGCCGTGGATAGAGCAGCCCTGCAATGTCTCGGAACACAAACGAAACACTGTGGCCAAGAATCACGGAGTCGTGAAATGTGATGAAAATAGGTTGGAGAAGAAGCCGGCAAGCCCAGAGCAGGATGAGCTGCACCATGCTGCACCCCACTAGAAACAGAGCCATAGATCATCGAGACAAGGTGCCATGGTCAGAAGGAAGGCAGCAGCAGCTATCAGCTTCACCGGCGGCACGCCCTCCACCTCACTGCTTTTAGAATGATCCAGAATGCATCGTTGCAAGCAACAAAGCCCCCCCCATTCTCTCAAAGCTTCAATTGATCCACTGCCAAGCCGCCGCTGAGATGGAGGCCACAGAAGCCACGGACTCGAGGAGGGTGACGTTGCGAAGCCTCCATTGGGGGGGGAGGACCGTGCAAACGGGACAGAGCAGAGCAGAGAAAGGGGAAGTCGGATCGAGAGAGAGAGAGAGAGAGAGAGCGTCCATTTGGCATCGCTTCGCACTTCGAACTTCGAGCTTACTGCTTTGGTCGGCAAATTCTGGGGCTCTCTTGCGGCTTCAGTGTTCAGGGAGTCTGAGAAAAGCGTCTGAGAGTCTGAGCATCCCACGAGGACGAAGTGAGGCTCCGGAGTGGGATGTCTGTGCCTGGCAGTGGGGCACTGCGAAACAAGTCGGCACGTGCGACCCCTGATGGCCCACGATCGGAGCCCTGTCTCGCCAGAGGGATGCAAGATGTTGGGCTAAGAAGCCTGTCAAGAACCTGGCGGCAACTCTTGCCATGGGGCCTCTAAGGCAAAAGAACGGAAGCCAAAAGGAATCAGGACTCTCGTCGATGATAGACGAGCCAAACCTCCCACCTCCCACCTGGAAACATCTCCATGAACAAAACGATTTGAAATCTCCCCCCCTTCTGGACCGCCGCTGAACCCATAAATGGCCGATGGTCTTGCCGATATGGCCGATGATATCCACAGTTTTGATGTAGCAGTCTAGTCTAGCACTGGCTGGCCAGTGGTGTCGACATGAATGCTTGAAGCCTCAATGAGATTAAACAGCAAAGCACAGACAAGCTCCAAAATGGCAGGGGTACAATAGCCACTCGAGGCACAGCGAACGCAGCCAGACTGGCTGAAGCAGTCGGAGTCGCGGCGGCAACTGGCGAGGCTTTCAGGGAAGCCAGGCACCACGGCGTTGATCTTTCAATGTTTGACAAAACATTAGATCGGTGAAGTGAAGCTCTAAGTTCGCGGAATCAATGGGCCGTGATTGTTGATAGGTTTGTGCGGAAAATTCTGCCCGTCTGTTTCAGATAGGTGGATTGTTGCTCTCACTGCAGCACCGCCCAGGATAGAAAGGCTGTCATGGCATCAGTTTCCGAGTCCTCAAGGAAGTACGAGCTCAGCCTAAAGTTTACAAAGTGGCAATTAATGCAACATCAACTGCACTGCCTCAAAAACACCTGGCCTCAAGCAAAGCCTTGCAACCAATGTGTTTGAAGGAAGAAAGCACATACTCGCCTGCCCTCAGTTGCTTACATTGCGACCACTGACCCCCCCAAGTCGCCTGGGCCCTCGCTGGCCACTGGTGCAGTGGCCACCTCAGCACGGACCAAACAAGGAATGTCCGAAGGATGTCCGAAAGATGTCCGAAGAGTGTCTGGCGGAGGGAGGGGGGGGAGGGGGAAGGGGCGGGGGGGATGTCTGGCGTCGCAGGGGGGGAGGGGGGCCAGGCATGTTGGGACGTCAGCTCCGATGCCTCCGCTTGTGCTTCCGCCGCTGACTTCGCCATTTCCACACACAGCATAGAAGCCTCAGCTGTGTATCGTCGAGAACCGAGAGTACCACGTCGAAGGAAAGCATTGGGAAGCTGTGGCTTGGTTTGTGCTTCTACCGAACTGCCTTCTACCTGGCTTCAGCGTTGCTTGGTTTCCCCTTGCCGCAAGGACTGCCCCGATGGCCTTTGGAGAACACTTGTAGGGGACTCCGATTTCATGCCACCTGCCTAATTAGCTTTATTCCTCAGGCAGTCCACTGGGCCTCCAAACCTCTGTAAAAAACCAAGCGGAGAGTGGTGTTCGCCTACCGCAGCGGCAGCGAGATGTGACCCCCGTTCCAGGTGCTTTGGTGCTTGTTGACGTCTACTGGCTTTCGCTTCTCCCACTTCCCTTTCAGGCTCTCCCAATCTCTGTTACACGGAAAACCCTAAACTTCTGACCGAGGAAGCGGTTCACGTCGGCCAGATGCCATTTGCCACTCTTGTCCTCCAAACGACTAGACAACTCCCTACTTGCATACTTCCAGAGTGTGCTCTTGCTGCTACCTGCTGTAGTACGAAAAGATTATATGATGTGCATATATATATATATATGAAATATGATGTGTGCATAATGTGAAAGAATTGTCTAGAATACCTGTGACACTTCTCGACTTTGGATTCTAGGTCTCGCAGGCGCCGGCCTTACATTGCACGGTATTCACACATCAAGGGCTCCTGGCAAGCAGACAGCTGCACCTGCTTCTGCGTGCCCTTAGGTTGTCCACGCATGTCTGGCTCCCCCTTCTCACTCTTCTTCTACCCAGAGGAGCCCCCCGAAGCGGCTTCCTGTTGTTTGCGCCGTGGGTGCGTCTGATGGTGGTTGTGTGGGATTGGCTTCTACCAGGATCGCTGTGTTCTCCCCAAGGTTGGCCGATCCCTGTTGTTCCGCGAATGGCATTGTCTCCCTCAGGATGTAACTTGCTTGGAGTAGGTAGGACCATCGGTTGGTGCTGTCCTGGGTGTTCGTCTTCTGTTGCCCCTTGTGCCAGGTGGATGACGTCGGCTGCATGGGTGTGGGGAAGTGGTGTGGCTGTGGAGGTTGTTCGGGAGGTTGGCTACACAGGGGCGCCATCTCTCTTCTTCTTCCTCCTCTTCTTCTTCTTATTCTTACTCTTCCCCTCTCTCTCGCTCTCTCGCTCGCTCTCCCTTGCCTTGATGTTGCGGCAATGATGATCCCCCATCCTCATCGCTAAGGCTCTAGCCTATGCGGTTCTGTAGTGCAGACCAGAGGCAAACTCGAACACGCAGTAGCCAGCGCGCTGCAACTGCCTCATGCCGGCAGCTGAAAGAAAGTATGCCCTCCTGGATCCAGCTGTACCAAAAACATTGTGCTACAAACTCTGCTCAAAACATGCGAAACGCAAGTTGAAAGCGAATGCGACCCAAACAAAACGGGACGTCGCCGGGCAACGACGCGGTGTCCACCAGGTCCAAGTTCGCGGCGCGGGCGCCGTCCATCACCTGCATGAACTAGCGCGCGAACTGCGCATTTAAGCCCCGTTAGCATGGGATCTGTACTGTCTATACATTGGAGGGACCTCGACATCCCTGCATAACGGTGTGTAAGGGTATCCTCATGTAGACCAACGCCCGGCCGGTTTTGGCACCCAACTTTGGAACTGCAAAGACCTGGCTCTAGGGTCTGCAGCTACCCTGCCCCATCCGTAACTTTACCGCGACCACCTTCAAAGCTAAGCTACAGGCTGCCTACAAGCCTCTCGTTTCCGAAACTCTTTGACTCAAAAAGAAAAAACCTTCCCCGGCCTGCAGTGGACCCTCCGAAAGAGCACAGACCTGACATTGGCCAAGCTGGTGCTTCCGAGCGTTTGAAGGGAGACCCGTATGCTCCTGCAAATAAATTCGAATGAACGATTGGAAGCAAGGCAGCAACTGTCTCTCCGCCTAGCCCCTGCCACTACCCTCTCCAGACCCCCCCCCCCACCCCTTAATCTCCCTACCTGCCGAAAGAAGTCGTCGGCATCGTCCACGCCCGCGCATTGCCCGTGCTTCTCCCACTCGTGGCGCTGAAACCTTGCCCATAACAATACGTCTCCTGAAGCCTCAGCCCTGAATAATCCAAGATGTCCAAAAATTGAACCTAGGTAACCTTGGGGTTGGCTGTGAGGTTTGGTCGTCAACGAATGCCTCATGTCGAGGGCCTACGAGGTTCAATGCATCGGAGATTAGGTGATTAGGTGGGGGCACGAGACAATTGCGTGGCTTCTTTCAAGGCTCCACCTGTACCAGCAACAAAGTACACGCTATTCACATATTCACTGAAACCACTCAAATGCACAACGACGCCCAGTGGCCCATGAATTTGCTCCTTTGACCTACCGTTTTTTTCGGACATCAATTCACGAACTACCAACAACCCGGCCAAGCTGCGACATTGCCGAGTTGGACGAGCCCTGGGTGTCGTAGCCTGGGCGTGAGGACCGAAACATTCTGCGCATCTAAGTTCGTAAGGCGGGTGGGGGGGTTCAGCCACAGGAAATGGAGCACCATTTGAAGCCTTGTTGCAGGACAACAGGTGTGATTTCAAGTGCAAGTGCGGGAGGAAGAAGCTGAACAAACAAGCAAATAGGGACTCCACAAACGAAGCGCTACATCCCGACGCCAGAAGTTCGAGGCAAGGGGCATGGGTAGACCTTTCTTGGGGAAGACGGATCCTGCAACCGCGCCGAGGATGAGATGCCGCAAGAAAGGCTTCTCTGACGACCGAGCTTCCAAACGCACGTAAGCACTGCAACGTGCCCCGCGAGTTGCACAAAAAAACCGGCGCAAACCTGCAAACCGCGCAAAGAAGAATGCAAGATGCACAAAATGCAAAAAGCACCGCTCTCCTCAGGGTACTCGCACTTGGAGGTGCCGAAGCTCGGGGTCTCCGGCCAGAGCCCATGGACCACAGGACTTAGCGACTTGGTTTGGAAGGGGGGTACCGGTGAAGTATACTAGTTATACTTCTTCTGGAAATCTGAAGGGGTCGAGGATGCCACTACGTGGCTGAAGGACTTCAATTCAAGAGGGGCTCGGAAGGATGGGCGCAATCCCCTGAGCCCATTGAGGGCACGTCGATCCTGACCCCATCGCGTCATTCAGCAAAAGGGCTGGGCGTGATGGTAGGCGCCACTTCCCATTCCCGTCTCCAGCGCCAGCACGCCGCACACCTGCAGCATTCTTCGCAAAAATTCCGTTTCGGGTTCTACGGGTCCTTGGGCTGAGAATCAAGAGCTGGGAATGCGGTGCATAAGTGGGTTTCCTTAGAAGTTAGCTGGCCCGCAAACCCATTCGCAACCGGAGGCGAAACAGTTGAAGGTGCATGTGTCGGGAAGCCCGAAGTAGCCCAAGGTAGGCCAAGGTAGCCCGAGGCATCCAAGCAGCATCCACATCCTTACCACATTCCAGCCGATGACCATGGCTCCTCACATGAGCGCACTCACAAACATCTCACAGGGCACTTGAAGACACCCATTGCCCAAGCTTGGCAAGCCATCAAGTCAAGTCTTCCGGGTGTCGTAAGAAGACTGCGAGTGGCGCGCCTTTAGCATCAATTACCCCTCTGCCCCTTTTGAGCTCATAAACTCATCCCCTTTATCAGCGTAGACTGTTTGGAAAGGGGTGGGAGGGGGGGAGGGGGGGCACTCACTACATAGTATAAGGAGGGACCCCTAGAATGGACCCTTAGTTTTTTCCCCTACACATATACAACCCTCTCTTTTCCTTATATGCAGTCACCTATACACCTAAGTAGCCCCTATAACCCCGAAATAACCCCCAAGGTCCCCCCCCAAGGTCCCTTATTACAAGGGCCCCTTCCTTTTCCCTGATGAGCGATACCTTGCTGCCAGGATGCTCAATGGCACTGCAGACCCCCCTCGCCGGCTGGCCCTGGTGTTCGCGCCGGTACTTCTCAGCCTGCTTCTTCAAATTCTCCAGGCAGCCTCCACAAGGCTGCGAAGTGTCACGTTCATGCGGGTTGCTGCCCCGCTGAAGGAGAGAACACAGGATAGGGCTCGACCACACGCGATCCTGCTCTAGCAATCCGGAAGTCCTGCTGCGTCAAAGTGTGACAGCCACAGGCTACATGTCACTTGTGAGCAGGCCGTGTCAGGAAAGAGCAAGCCTGCCTTGCAGGGTCCTCGGATGCACAATGCTTGGGGACTTCCGTGGCATGCGCATTTCCGTACAAGCAAGCACACGCTCCCCTTACGGACAAGAAGATTCCACCTCTAGACCATTGCATCGAGCATCACTGCCAAGAATGCGGCGAGGGCCGATGCCACAAGCAAGCGCACCATGACCAACTCACTGATCCACCAAGGGCTCTTGTAGCCCCGTGAGAGCCGGTGAAAAGGCAGGGCCTGCCTAACACACAACACAATTAAGTCCGGATGGCAGCTGTCGCAGAGCCAACAGTGGTGCAAAGCTGTCGTATAAACGGCCACGAATACCCGAACACCCAAACCCAAATTGGCGATGTCCCCCTGGCACAGCTTTCATCGAGATGATCCCTCGAGGCAAGGTACTACAACGCCTCCCAAAACCGCTCATGGCTCAGGCACACATTGTATCCCACCGGTCGCGCCTGAAAGCCCTGTATCACGCCTCAAGAGTCCCTGCAAAAGACTCCATTCCGGATTCTATGAAAGGAACCCTGGACCCAACTAACATCTTTCGAGCCTGATTACGATCCCTCAGCCCCGGGCTTATTTTGCAGCAGCTCTTCTCATTCGTAGACCCAGCGCTTATACCAAAACCAAATCAATTTAGCTGATATCTCACGCCACGGGGCATGTCGAAGGTGCTGAAGTTTCGATTCATGGCCAAGCCATCCAAACTCAGGCCCAGGATGCCGTCCTCACACATACCACCACGGGGAGAATTTGTTTTCTTTTTTTTTTTTTTTTTTGGGGGGGGGGGGGGGGGGGGTTGGGAAGGGGGGTTTGAAGCTTTGCTCATGTGGCCTTTGTGGCCCTTATGGTCCCGTGCCTTTGGCAATGCCTTCTTTGGCCATGCTTGGCCGGCGCTGCTCTGCAGAGCTCAGGGCCCAGCAAACTTGAAGGTCTTGAAGGGCACCGTCGACATTTCCACCGCCACAATGATGTTCATCTCGACGCACATCGGGCCTTGCAGAAGGTCATCCCCCCCCCCCCCCCCCAAACTCTTGTCTGCAATGGGGGAGGATTGGGGGGGGGAGGGGGGGGGACTTCTTGTAGGAGATACTCTCTCTAGAGAGAAAGAGAGAGTGAAAGGGAAGAGGGGACGCCTTTCTCAGCGGGGCCTTGCCCTTTGTGGCCCTTAAGGGCCCTTCCCTACAGCTGTCAAAGTTGTGTGCAAAAGCAAAAAACACCTCGTGAGCCCTCGACCTGCCCTTCAATAGATGCAGCAAAGTAGCTGTGGTCCGCAACAACTTCAGTTCCCTCCGTGTTGCTGATATCTTCGTCCTGGCAAGAATGATGGGGGGGCTTGAAGCAGAAGACCCATGGGACAAAGCCGTGTCCTGAAAATTGAGGTTTGGGAGTTTGGGAGTTCGGGCGGTTTCGCTACGCTGGCTCTGAGGGAAGCAATCTTGTCCGTTTTTGATTTGGTTTTTTTTTTTTTGGGGGGGGGGGGCGGGCGAAGCCTGGGGAGCAACAAGATATCTTGACACATTTGATTGACTCGCGACAAAATTTCGACAACACGCTACTTGCAGATGCGCTAGCTGCTTCCACTTCTACAAAACTTCCACGCCCTCATAAGGTCTTGCCTCCAAGTAGTCGTGGACCAACGTCTCCTGTTTGATCAGCGCCATGATCTCCTGGCGTGGTGCCCACCACTTCGGCTGCACCTACGCTGCGGACCTGGTGAGGCCTGTGCTCATGCAGTTTTTCAAACCTTGGCCGGCAACCGGTTGTTTTGGTCGTGCGCCCGCGTCTGGGATGTCAGATGCTGCTTTTTCGCACAGCACCGGTGACTTCCTACAGCTGCGCATTGCACAGCACACCGCAGTCGGATTTCTCAAAATGCCATGTCTTGCTTGTCCAGGAGTTTCTTGGCTCTGTGCAAGGGCTACATGAGATAGGGTGAGATATACGGGTAGAAAGCGGCCCTTGCCTGCCAAGAGCCTCTAGGATCCTATGTCAGCGCCTGAGATGGCGTAGGAGCCTTTTTCGCAGCCTCTATTTGTACTAAACGATGCTGGATCTTTAATTGGGATTGAGGCTGAGGCTTAGACTCTTAGAAAGTTGGCGGAGCGTCTCGGGATTTCCGAGGGCTCCAGGCTGTCTGCCTTTCAGCAGGAATGTATAAGCGTAAGATGCTCGTGCATTTGCGGCTTTGGGCACGACAACTGCGCGCGCCTGCGCTGGCAAAGTTTCTTGGCTCTGTTGGAGCTCGTGGCTTTGCAGACTTTGCCAGGAGTCTGCGCTTCAAACACACATTCTGGGACGGTCCGGGCGAGCAACGCCATGGTCGATTGGCGCAAGCCTGCCATGGCGGTACCTCGGCCTTGCAGAACGGAAGTCCAAAGTGCTTCAAACGCTAAACTGGCTGTGCGCGACCATCCCTTCATTGCTCTTGACACCTCTCTTGGTGATACACAGGCCAATTATCTCACATCCGCGGCTGTTGGAACACTTTCGCGCAGCTTCAAAAAGTAGCTCACTTGCATGTTTTTGCCTGCGGCAATCCATCTGCACTGCACTGCCACCTGGGGACACATTATGACGCATTGCCCTCCGCTTCTGACATTCATCAAGGCACCCAAAAAAAACAGAGATCTTCACAAGCCCAATAGAAACTGGCGCAAGTAACCCTGGCAGGCCTCTTGCATCCCCGGTCGCAGCTGACTTGGATGGAAGACGTGCTGCAGCGGGCTTGAATTGCTCAAGAAATTACGGGCGTTGGCGGTGCTTGAAGAAGAAGAAGAACTTTCACGCAAGCCCGCTGCAGGGATCGGTGAGCGGTCAAGCTTCCAGGCCTATCCCGCAAGTCGCCAGCTCCATTACTAAACTCCTGGTCTAGGAACGGAGCCAGGGCAGCAAAGATACAATTCTCTTCGAGGGGCGTTACGCCAGCTCGAACTGCAGCCCTGTGTAGCCGTAAACCTACAGCAGCCCTTTGACACATCGTATTACGCCCTTGTTGCTTTTCATCTGAAGGTTGGGGCCCTGTTGCGCCTCTGTCTATGCTTTGCTGGTGACTTTTTGTGGGCCGCTGTGGGCCGACTCAGTGACTTGGCAAAGTGCACACAAGTAAAATGTCTTCGGCCTGCTGAAACACCCTTTGATCATCGGATGCTTCGCAATCGCAACAGAAGCCTTAGTTCGGCGCTTGAGCCTCCCCCCAACTCTGTACTCAAGAGACACTTTGTCTGCACTGCAGGACAGGAAGTAGGAAGCACTTGGAAGCAAGACATAGCAAAACAACCCAGCCATTTGAGCACCTAATTTCTGAAAGCTTTTGTCCATGATGGCTAGACTCACAGGTTTCACGTGTTGATTTGGCTTGGTCCGGTTCCCTGGAGAGGAACGGAAGTAACGAAAATGGAGGCGAACACCAAACAAAAGCAGGGACGGTTGTCTGTTTCTAAAGGATTGTCCAGGCGGCACCGCGCCGGCCCCAAGCAATGCCACGGCCGGCAGCATCATGGGCTCGAAGGCCGTGAACCTTGTAAGAAGGAGAACGGCAACTGTGGGCAAGAATATGCAAACCTAAACCCTAAACCCTAAACCCTATAAACCATGTGTAAAAGCACTCCTCTCACAGCTCTTGAAACTGCGACATGCTCTGCGACTTGTGTCCGGGGCCCTGGCGCTTTGTTGGGCCACTCGGAGCTTTTCTCCGCCTCTTCCATCCCTTCGGCTTCTTCCATCCCTTCAGCCTCTTCAAGGAAGGGAAGGAACCAAAAAAAACTGGGGTGTCAGTAGAGTTCCGAAGCCTCATGTGCCTCTGATGGCGTAACTTAATCGCTCGCGAAAGGCACGTGGCGATTGAAGGAGAGTCACGGATGGGGGGGTGGGGAGATGGTTCCTTCACAAGGACTTATTACTAGGATGACAGAAAAGAGAGCCCATGAGCTTGCTTGGGGATCGCAAGGAGTTTCTTAGTTTATCCTGACTTTCTCACCTTTTAGGCGAATCCCCCTACATTCATTCAAGGTCTGCTCATGTTTTGGCTGGAAGAAAACAACCAACATCCAACGACCAACAGCCAACACCCAACAAGCAACCACCGACCACCAATGTGGTAATACCGTGGTAATGCGAGCGAATATGCAAAACCACGAATGTGAAGAGCAATGATAAAGTGTCTGGTCTGGTGGGAAATTTACCAAAACTAAGACATGGCAAGTGCAAACGAGCAATTAGAGATAGTCATGTAGTACGTTATCGATGTTCTCATGTTTGAAACCATGCAATTTGTTTTGGGACAGCCAACATAGCAAGGACTATTTTGCTCCGTGTGATTGCTGCGACTGTGTTCTTGAATAAGCTGCCCTGTACAAAAAGACTCATTCAAACGACCTGGTTCGCCTCGTCATAAGCCCATTGAAGCATTGCTTTGGGAACAGTCCACCGAGGAACCCATTGGCCCACGAACGTGTGCCCTGCATCACTACAGTGCCTTTTCTTGCATCATGGCTTCGGTTCTCAGGGTTTAGGGGCTCAATGCTTTTGCAGTCTTGGGGCTGGCATCTCTCCCACTTCCTCCTGCATCCCGCTGGGGCATTCCCTCACTCGCTCTTCCTGTCGCGTTCTGGTTCAACAGAGGCTGGTATGTCACGCATTTGAAGCCTAAACTCAGAGTCCTCCGGATTCTCGTCGGTCATGGCCGTGATTTGACGACTGAGCTCTGGCTCCGGTTCTGGCGAGGACGGCGAGGACAGCTGGCGCGACATGATGCCTGACTCACCGATGAATGGGCACAAATCTCCCCATAACAGCCTCTATAGTTCTCTATTAAACGCACGTAGACAAAACACTGAGTGTCCTGATTGCCGAGAAGAGGCAGAGGCCAGGTCCTTTGAAGCTTGTCGGTCTCACCATTCGGCTATCTTTCGGACCTCATCTGGGTCAAACAAGAAAACCGAGCTAAGCCTGAGACGAGAGACGACAGAAGCTACGAGGAGCCACAGTGTGTCAGGCAACGCTCTTGCAGCACTGTTGCGTCTTCATGCCTTGGTTCCTGTTTCAGGTAGAGGCTTGTATAAATTCTCAGGCCATGCAGCCACAAATGTGGAGGCAATCTCCCTCCATTTTGAAGATATAGGGGATCCTGCGCAAGTGCAGACGACGCTTTTGAAGGCAGAAACACTGAAGACCGTGTATATCAGACTAAAACAAGATCAGCATTCTGAACTATAGATATATATATATATATATGACTTATATATATATAAGGATATACATATATACAAATATATATATATATATTTATACATATATATACATTTGTTTACTTGTTTTGTTAATTCACTTATCGATTTACTTCTTTACTTGTCTAAGAAGAGGGACCCTAACAGTGCCTGGGCGGAGGGCAGTCGGCGCCTCCGATGCCGTGGAGGAGCTCCAAGTCCAGTGTGGCAGGCGAGGTGCTGCCTTCACAGCTCTGTTCTTCTCTTTGAATGAGCTAAGAATATCCCAATATAGTAATCGCAAAATATCCCAATATATGGTGATCCTTTGAGAACTACATATAGATACCCATGTACAGTTTAAGATCTGGCAAGGGGCCATCCACATGGAATTTGGCTGGCAGGCTTTGGCCCATCACCGTCACCTGGACATGTCCAGGGATCATATGTGGACCAAGAGGGCCATGCCCTGGAAAAGAGGTGTCCGGAAATCAGAAAAAATCCCCCGGCGACCTAGCTGTAGCAGAGACTGCCGGAACCTTCCTCCCAGAGCTGATCCGGGCAAAGTAGCTCGGCAGTACGGCAACGCCCGTGCCGAACGATGACTGCAACAATGACTTCGACGGCGAAACATGGTGAAACCTAAATGCCAGCACGCACTCACCACCCATCTTGCCACCCCCTGCCCCCTACTCTCCCTCGGGAGGGGGGTGTCTCTGAGCAGAGAGGAACACAAGAAGGGAGGGGGCGCGATCTAATGGATGGCGGTAGCAGGATTTAAAACGGGAGCTTGGGGGGAGGGAGGGGAGGGGGAGGGAGGGGAGGGGGAGGGAGGGGAGGGGGAGGGAAGGGGGGGGCGAGGGGGGGGGGGAGGGGAGGGGGAGGGGGTTGTCGTTAAACGAGGGTCCTGAGACGCCGACAGAAAAACGGTGTGACATCACAAACAGAAAGCCATAAAAATGCATTGAGAAGGTCGCCTCAGCCGTGCCATTTGGGGAGAAGGCAATGCTCTGCTGATATCCTCCCAACTCCTGAGTGTGGGCCAAACTGAGGAAAAGGCCTGCAAACTCAGGCCGTAAACTCGGAGGACAGCCATTGCATGCAAGCATCCCGGCTGGTGGTGCCTTCCCACGCCCCTTCGAAAAGCTCATCGAAGCGTCCTGATGGGCACAAGCGAACGTGCCATTAAGTTGCAGCATACAACAATAAGCGCCTAACATTGCAAAATGCGTACGTCCAGATAGACCCGAACACGGATGTCGCAACCTCTACACAGAGCACCATCGAGCCAAAGCAAAGCCAGCACGCGACCTTCTCCAATGGATTCCGGTATCGCCGCTTTGGAAGACTTCTTCTGAGGCTCTTGTGACCCAGTCTCCTCGAAGAGGGTTTAGGCTGTTACTACGGCTGTTTCGGCCTACCTACCTTCCGGACCTTCCAGATGGCATTGCGTGCCATCCCAGGTGCTATCAGCTGCTATCCCCTAGCGCATCTGTGACAAGCACAAGGATTGAGGAATCCAAATGCGACCAAGGCTTCTCGTTTGAGAACTTTTTCAGGGAGGCCAGTTGGTAATAAGAAAGATGGTTCAAAAGCATGAAGCGGCGTTGCAGCCGTCATGATCTGTCAATGCCAAGCCTTTTTCCCGAAAGCATCGCGAAGGGTTCTTTTAAGTACATAGAGTGAATTGCATAGAGTCAAGTGCATAGAGTTGAGTGCATAGAGTGAAGTGCACAGAGTTAAGTGCAGAGAGTGAAGTGCATAGAGTGAAGTGCATAGAGTGTGCATTTTAGTGTGCAAGAGAGAAGTGCATAGAGTAGAATTCACGAGATTTTAGTACAACAGAGTGGAATTTACGAGATTTTAGTACAATTTTCGTACAACTTCATAGAATTCACGAGATTTTCGTAGAATTTAGTAGACCTTCGTACCCAGTCCTACATTTCTGAATTACAATTACTCTTTTTCAGGCGGTGGGCTGGGTTGACGGTCGTCAATCGGGATTGCAACCCTCTGCGGGTTTCGGCGTGGTCGCGGCGCTAAAACCGTCGTTTCTTTACGTTTCTTGCTGTGCGCGGACAACCCTCTGCGGGATTCGGCGTGGTCGCGGTGCTAAAACCGTGGTTGTTTTACGTTTCTTGCTTTGCGCGGACAAGCTTTTTGCGAGCGCGCGTCAACCCTCTGCGGGGATTGCCGTGGTCGCGGTGCCAAAACCCTCGTATTTTTGCGTTTTTTGACATACAAACGCAACCCCTCCGCGGGTTTTCGCGTGGCGCGGTGCCAAAACCCTCGTGTTTTGCATTTTCTTTGTGACCGAAAACATCCTTTGTAGTACAACAGTAGTACTGAATAGGGCCGGCGCGGGCTTTCAGGACCGTCCCCCTCTCAGAATCCTCGTCTGTAGTACAAAAGTTGTACTGAAGAGGGCCGGCGCGGGCTTTTAGGACAGCCCTTTCCAAATCCATCTCTGTATACAAAAGCAGCACTGAACTCGAATTCCGGGGCCTCGAAAACCTCGCAAATATCATGGGGCTCGAATTCCGGGATGTCGAAACCCTCGCAAATATAGTGGGACTCGAATTCCGGGGTGTCGAAAACCTCACAAATATCGTGGGACTCGAATTCCGGGGCCTCGAAAACCTCGCAAGTATCGTGGGACTCGAATTCCCGGGACTCGACGAAACCCTCGCAAATATCATGGGACTCGAATTCCGGGGCCTCGAAAACCTCGCAAATATCGTGGGACTGGAATTCCGGGATGTCGAAACCATCGCAAATATCGTGGGACTCGAATTCCGGGGTGTCGAAACGACGAAACCCTCGCAAATATCGTGGGACTGGAATTCCGGGATGTCGAAAGCCTCGCAAAAATCGTGAGAATCGAATTCCGGGGTGTCGAAACCCTCGCAAATGTCGTGGGACTCGAATTCAGTGCAGAGAGTCAAGTGCATAGAGTCAACGCACGGCAAATCGATGCTTTCGGGCCAATCGTCTTCTAGTTCGCATGGAGCTGGATCGAAGATTAAAAAACTATAAAAGCCCTGCACCCTGAACGCCAACCCTTAGGTCGATTTTGTCCCCGGCTCTCAGAACTCTCTAATGACTCTTCTTCTCGCACCCCACCAGCAGCGACGGAGCGAAGTCGTAGGAGGTCCCAACATCATCCTCGGTCTTTTGCTGCACAAACTGTCCACATCGGCCCTTAGAGTCTTAGAGGCCTTGCACCACGCGCATTGCACCGGTCAGCACATGCAGCAGAGCGCGTATTCCCACAGTGGAACCAATGTGCGTTGTGAGTTACTCCGGCAAGCGCAGGCAGCCCAGCAACCCCTGCTCCCCCCCCCCCCCCGATGTTCCATTGACAGAAGTAAAAGCCCCAACATCCAGCAAAGTAGAGCCCAGATTCGGCAGCTGACTGGCTGCCAGCCGAGCTCTGCAGCAACCTGCTGTTCAAACGGGCATGCGAATCTTGTCACAGGGTTGTCCCCCCACAGAGCTGTCTTGCCACAGATGCTATGACATGCTGTGTTGCTTATGTCTTGCCCTTTCTTAGCTGCCCTTCTGGCGTTGCCGGGGAACTGGGAAACGCCGAGCTTTGAAAGATCTGCCAGGTTGGCGACGATGGCCAGCTTCGAGCCTAACTCCAAGAAAACTCATCTCTGCCCATCTCTGCCCTGGGGTTCGAAGGTACGGCGCGACGATTCTTTCTCAAGGGCATTCAAGAGCTCTAAGTCCCACGCAGCTCTTCAGATGGGGCTCGTGAAGGCAAGCGGCCAGCATCACTTGTTGGCTGCGTCGATCCGTCCGAGAAACTGGTCTCTGATCGCTTGAAGTCCTCGAGTGGGCGTGAGAGTGGGCCGAAGGATCGAAGGATCGCGTGGGAGGGCGCTCTGGGTGGCCAAATAGCAGTGGCAATTGGCAATTGGCAAAGAGAGAGGCAACACATGACAACACCTCTACCCGACTCAGTACAACACAAGCATGCCGCCATACGAGACGCGCCAAAACATGAACCACACCCTGTCATTGGCAGATATTGCCTGGTAGTGAAAAGCGCTTTTGGGCTCTTGGGGAATCTGGGAGCATCCTCACAGCCTCGATAAAACGCCCCGCAGCCTCGAAGGCTGGAACCGCGTGCTCCTTTGCCCTTAGGCTCTTGGGCTCTTGGAGACAGTGCAAGAGGCGATCCAAAAAGGGATTACTGGCAACAGCGGGTGTTTGGAGGATTTTTTGGGGGTCACAAACGCCGAGTCGCCCGAGATCCTCTTCAATGCCAGAGAAGCGCAGGGCTGCGACCAAGCGATGTTCCTTTCCGGCTTCTGATGACACCAAGCTCGCGGAAGGGACGCAACATGAAACATGCAAAACACGCACATAACTCTCGCGCCCTCACAGTGCAACAAACGCACCGGGGCTTTCAATTGCCAGGAAACACATGCCAAATTCCCTTCGAAGCCTTCCGCCCTATCGGCTTGAAGTGGTTGGCTGTTCGGCTAACGATGTAAGCAATGTAACATAATGTAACCGTGATTTCTTCAAACTCCGATGTCTTCTCATGGCCAGGTGCAGCGCCAAGTGTGGCAGAGCGAGGGACCACGGACCTGAGTCCAAAATCCAGTTCTGGTCCCTCTGCTGCCCTTAAGCCCCCGATGCCCCAAACCCTAGCCGCGTGGCCTTATGGCTCTGGGGCCGTTTGTAGGGGGGTGTCAAGTTAGGGGTGCACTCCAAGAGACTCGCTAAGTGTCAAGGGGCAGGTGCAGCGAGGCCTCCACAGCTCCCTTGCCGCCCTTGCCCTGCAGGGTGGAATGCAGCACCTGCGCCGTGTGAAAGTTCTTAGCTGACGGAAGACACCAAGAAAACCCAGGTACTCATTTGCGGCTTGAAGAGGCACAAGATCGACACTGCAGCAGCACTGCAGGCTCACAATGCACGTACTATCCAACCCAAGGGAGTTCATCTTTCCATGCAGCGCGCCTGAGCTGCGGGCGCCGTCCATCCTGCCAGCATTGACATTGAGGATGTGGGCAGGCGAAAGCCCCCAACACCCCTTCTGGCCCAACAGAAGCCTTCAGTCGCAGATGCCGCGCCGTCTGCCTGGCGCACGACGTTCCGCAAGTACGAGGTGAAGTCCGCCTGCTTGCAGCAATGCAGCCGTAATCGTGTGACCCATGAGAGGTGTCGGAAGCATGGCGGCAACTTCCACACGTCGAACTTCATGACAAAGCTGCCCCCGGGTGCCGCCCGCTTAAAGCAAGCCACTAGCTAACAAGAGGGCAAAGCATGGCAAACGACCGCCATGCCGTGGCCTGCTGCTGCTTGCCCTGTACGAGGTCCTTCAGAGAAGCCCCAGCCACAGGGATGTCCTGAGAAAACAGAAAAAACAAAACATTCCCCGTTCACGCCAAGCCTTGTCAATCTCAGTTCGTCATATATAGTCAAAGTCGCCAAGATCTTCTCCAATTTGGAGAGGTCGCCGGGAGACTCCGACAGGATACGACCTAGGGTGCATGATGCTTCAGGTAATTATAAGTAGGCACAACAGCGCAAACCTGAAGCCACAACTCTTGAGCACCCCTGTGGCAATCACATGTCATCGCCGTATTCAACAGACATGTTTTGCAGGATGTTACTTCGGCATGCGCTGGTATGTAGGAAGTGCAAGTGCAGCCCGGTATCAGGCGCCGCGCGCGTCCAGCGTACAAGGGAGGAGAACATCGAAGCTGCTTCGAAGGATGGAGATCATGCCTTGAGGAATGATGTTTCAATTTACAGCATGGCTCACATACTGATGCATCCGTTCCATGGCTTAAGGCAAAAGATCATTTCCTGCTATGGGGGCGCCCACATGATGCTAGCATCACTAGCCTGATGCCGACGGCTCCAAACTCTGCCAAGCTGCCAGCATTGGATACCTAGGAATGGCGGTGACACGCACGAAAAGACCGGCAAGGGACATGCAGGAAGCCGACTTCAAGATGCTTCAAGGTGCCAATCTCCAATCTATCTGCAAAGTCGAGAGGCGCTTACCTTGCGAAGTGCACCGGTAAGGGCCTTGTGGTACTCGTCTGCTCGAATTAGTACGAAAGCTGCGCAGAAAGCGAGCTTCGCGCCAAATGTCAGTGCAAAGAAGACCTTCCTTACATCTGCAAGGGTGAAGAGGGTGAAGTGTGCTCTTGGAGCTTCATGCATGTTGTCTGATGATTATCTCTCGTGTCTAGCGTGTGCGGTCCCTCTGCGTCCTCCGAGACCAGTAGTATGGCATATGCCCCAAGACATGCCGAAGCACAACTCGCCACACAGGAGTCGCAGGATGCGACAATCTGCTAGTGAACTGACCGCGCACCTCATGACCCCATGCATTGCCATGAGTCCGCTCCTGCAGAGCATCAATGAGGCCACTTACCTGAAAGGGGGGGAGGGGGAGGATTTCAGAAAAATGCCCGTGGATGCTCTCAGCACGAAGACGGAGTTTCTTGGAGAAGCTAAGTTCTTCAAGGCATTGTGTAAGATGTTGTGATCCAATTCTGAGGATAAGGCATTGTCAGCCCGGCCTTCTAGTACCGGATGTGACTACCGACAAACTAAGGAACTGCTACTAACTGCAGATCCGGGAGCAGAGGCGAGGTAGACCAAGCCATAGAGGAAGAAGTGGAGGATCAGACCCGAGGATAGCACAGGGCGCAAAGCTCTCCCTGGCAAGTCCTTCGGGGCCGTGTTTTCAAAGTCGACGCACCAGTTGAACATGTCCTTCGAAGCCAAGACGTACATCGCCCAGGAGGTCAGGATCAAAAGCCACTTAAGTGCAGAAGAGCTGGTAAGGGTGGCTGCCCAGCACAGGATGACGTATACATTGGTCAGCAGCAGCGGCCGAGAGATTTCACGGATGGGACGCCCCAGGCTGCAGTGGCCGGCAAGAAGGAAGACGATTGGCATGTCTGTCGTCCATTCCTGGGAAGTCTCTTATCAAAAGAGCAGGTTGAGCCAGCCCACATTCAAAAGACTCAACAGACTCAACAGACAACCAAAAGCAAAGGCACACGCACAAGCGTGTAAAAGAGAAGAGAACGAGGCTCCAGATATTGGAGGGTGTACACGGGACGGCCAGGTGCTGTGAAGCCATCAGTGATGGGCATGACATGGGCAATGGTCCAGCTCATCCGAGAGAACATGCTCTCGGAAACCGCCAGAATACCAAGCATAAGGGCCAGCAAGAACGTCGGCAGGCTCTTGCCTTGGCTCCGGGTGGCTTGTTGGCTCCATTTTACACACAAAGCTTGTTTGTATTTTCAAACGATGAAAAAAGAGATCATGCAAGTTCTCTGCGACACAGTCTCGAGCTTTCTTGGCAGACAAGCGGCTCTTGAGGTGGGGAATCAAGGCCTTAGCCTGGCGAGTTCCAACGTAGGTGGCAACCAAGCTCAGGAGCTCGTGACCCAGAAGGGCCAGGAGAACGGCGGTGGAAACGGTGTGGTAGAATCGCGGGTGTCCACGCCTCGCTCGTGTCTCACACGCTGCGAAAAAAGGGATGTCGCATGCGCGCGCATGCGCGCGCGGGGGGACTCAGGGCACCAAGACTGTCAAAACCGAAAGAGCTCTCGAAAGAGAAGAACGACTGGTAGCTTCCATGGCACAGGTGCCGAGAGCATTGGTCTACGGACTCACATGTGGCGGGCGCCACCCAGAACCATGCCAAAGTCCATGTTCCTGCGGTCGTGAGACACCTTAGATGTTAGATCGGCACAGACCGAACTAAGCTCTCCTTACTCATATCCCCTGCGTCGGAAGTGGTATATCACATCATATGAAGCACATGTAGCCACGTGAAGTCACAAGACTTCTAAGCCAGGTGATGTCATATGATGTCTTTTGCGGCCATGGCACCAGGTACCCAGTGTGCTCAGCCAAGTGGCCCTTGCCATGGCTAAGCGGAAAGGTGGTTCTTTTTGAGCCCCTTGAGACATGACAGCCGCGGGGATTCCACTTCAAGTCAGGGTGGCACTACCAGTACCGGACGGCGCCACGTGCATGTGCGACATTGTGCAAGGCATGTGCCGTGTCTAGCCGCCCTTGCTCACCACACGAGCACGAAAAGTCCAAGAGTTCTCGATCTTAGAAATGGAAGCCATGGCATCAACCGCACCGACACGCATTGACCCACTGGCCAACTCGGACACGCCCATGCCTGCCTTCTGTCGTCGGGACTCTGCCAGGAGCAGACGCCGCTCATCGGCTGTCTGGCCCTTGCCCATGCAGACCTTTCTGGGGACTTACAGCACATGGACAACACAAGCATGACAGTGTACAGCTGCTGTACTATATCTACAACATCTGCCTCCTAGCATAAGTTCATACCCAAGGTTGCCAGAACCTGAAGACCTGCCTGAGCCATCTGGCCAACCAAATTTCGAAGCGAAGCGGCTGTGTCCTTGGCAAACTCTCCGGTGATCTCACCGGTACCAAAGCCGATGGTAACCTGCGAGAGAGCATCTTGTTCAGATGTTGACCAGCACTGCCAGCAGGCGATGCTGGCACTTCCAGTTGCTCAATCTTAGACATACTTCTACTTTAGTCTTTTTGCCTGCTCCCCTTCGTCTCCATCGTGCACGATGCTCCCGTCTGCATTGATGGGCAACGACGTCGTTGACGCGGCCCTGAAGCTGAGTTGTCTGTGCCGTACTACCTTTCTTGCAAACTTCTTTTATAAACTGAAACATACAAGCAAAACATTCCAAACACTCCCAAGGCCAGGGCTGGTTGTAAAGCCGCCGATTGTTGGCCAGGCAGGCCTCCGGAAACATTTTGGAGAAAAACATCTCCGGGGGAGAACTTCCTTCTATCGAGAGCAAGAAAAGGCTCCAGCAAGAAGAGGCGCGAAAAGCAGGTGGCCGAAGCGAGTGCTACGCGAGAGGGGCTTTGCAGCGGATGTTCGGCGCCCCCTCGCTTCGGTCCTCCGTATGGCACTCCACGGCTGGTAAGATGATATGGGCAGAGCCAGTGTCGAAGACCACACGGAAGTCCTGGACTCGAACGGACTCGCGAACCGTGGAGGCATGGACTCTTCGGGACATATCGCGGGGTTGAGCTCACAAACTTTACCACAAAAGCTCCCACCTGCGGAGGGTAGCCGATGCTGACGACCTCGGGGGAACAGATGCGGCCAGTTCCCGCAATCCAGGCTTCGTGTTGGTCTCCCTTTGTAGTATCATACGGGCCCTGATATTGGTATTCTCCAACACAAGCAACATAGTTTGGAGAAGTGCACCTAGCGGATATCTTCTGGCTCTGGCTTCGGCCACGGAATCAGATCCAAGTGCCCCGCTCCAGAGTAGGATGTCTTGAATGAAGCGATCTTCCCCATTCGGTAGATGGGGACCTCAGGCAGCCAAAGCTTGGGTGGCTTGGGGCCATCACCATCTGGGGTCATATGAGTCACATGCCATATGTGTTCTAACCGATTCTAACCAAAGCGTCGCACTTTTGACTTCGGATGCAGCGAGGAGGCAGATCAACGATGTTCACGACACAGTGCTGGGCTTCCCGGCGCTTTCACGGCGTAAGCCTTTGCTTGGCTTGTTTTTTGGCGGAATGTCGAGAATAACTGCAGAAGGTACACGAACAAACTGTCCCAAAGACAAAACACTGCCAGGTCCTGGTGAGAACATGCGAGAACTGAGAGTCTTCTGAGGGGCCCGGCCAATTACGTGCACAGGTTCCGAACTCTCGTCGAATTCCTCATCGGCATCCTCGCAGTTCAAGAGTAAGATATTTGTGAACTGCTGCTCGCTGCTGTTCATTAATGACTTTTCATGACTTGCGCCACTGAGATAGCAACATATAGCCACGCGGATTACTTCAAGTCCCCTCCTGCCCAGTAACCACAGGTTTCTGCAGGAAACTGGTGGAGTCTGAACCTCGCCAGAAGACATCGTGGCCGGACTTTGAAGGCGGGGGGATGGCATCAGTGTGAAGTGCCGAAGGGCTGCTCTCTCAAAACTTCTCAGTGGTCTCAGCTCCAGTCTGGGTGAGGCGTCACTCCCCCCGGCCTGAGGACACCCCGCTGCTGGTGATCAACACGGAGGAGTCGTAGGCAAATGCTGCTGGCCCGAGGGCCGCCTCAGAAGTCAGAAGGGCTGGCATACTGTGGAAGCGCCCGAGAGGCCGCTGCTCAGCAGGACATACACGAACGAGACTCTGAGCCGGCCACCACCAAAAAGCACAGCGCGCGAGGCATTGCCTTTTTTGACCCAAAGCAAGTTCGCTTTCTCACGCCAGAGCACGTGCCGTCCCTCCGAATCTAAGGCCTGGGCTACGTGAAGGAAAGTACGATGGAGCGTGATGGTTTAGAACATGTGAGGCTGATCGCCCCTTGTGCCCAAACATCCACGACAGAGATGCAGAAGCTCCCTTTCGAGCTACGCAGTTCAGGGTCCCACAGCCATGCAAGCGAGGATCGACACGCGCAACACGCAGCCCACTTGTGCTGATCGACCATCTCGCACCCTCTTTTCTGCCACGAGCTGCGACGATGGAGAACTGTTCTCAGGATCGTGGCTCAGGGGGCCTCGGGCCTAGCCGCCTAGCCGCTCCCTAAGGCCCTGAGCCCCCCTTAGCTTTCACGGCATCGCCCTGTACTCAGCCTCCTTCAAAAGCTGCGATATCGCGAGTCCTACGCCCGCTTCCAAGATTTTCGCTTCAGCTCCTGGGAGCGCCAGAAGCAGCGCTTCTGCTGTCGCTCCTCCTTGTCGAAGTATCCGGGGCAACCTGCGGCACTGAAGCGCCTTTACACATTCCATGGGATGTGAACTTTTTCTTGACAAAAATCTGAGTCATATGCTGAATGTACTCCACTCAGCCGAACGTATTTTAAACACATTGCTTCCCACAAATACCAAGGCCAAGCCACTGAACCAGCCCCCCAGGCGGCTCCAGTGCACTTGCCCATGCTTGCAGCGTGGGCAAGATGGCAAGGAGCCGAGCACCCGCCCTTCTGCCACGCGAGAGACCAACTCCTCCTTCTTGCCGGTTCGGGTCTGATCGTTCTTCTGGAGCTCAGCAATGAGTGTGGCAGTAGTGCAGGAACTCAGCTGCGCCTCCAGCGCCTGCACCTTTTTAAACTGCGCTGGCGTCAGGACGCCCTGAACCGAGGTGAGCTTGCTAAGGCTTGTTGAGCTTGTTGCCGCGGCTGGGCGCTTCAGAGCCTTGCTCTTGCCGGGCGCATCTGCCTCGGCCTTGCGCTTGCTTCCCTTGCTTTCCTTGTCGCCCAGCAAACCTTGCATGCCTTTCCACAGGCTCAGGAGCTTCTTTTGGTCAGCTTTCTTGAGGTCCTTGTAGCCATCCAGTTTCTCAGGCGAGGCAGGAAGATTGGTGGCCATCCACTTGGCTCCCTTCATTCGCGGGAAACACTCGAAATGATGCCAGCGAACGGCCCCGGCCATGGCCATCATGCGCTCATCCACCTCCTTCCCGGCCATGGTGAGGTCATTCTCGGCCTCTAGCTGACTATGGCCCACGCGCAACGAGTCCTTCACGATCTTCGCCATGCAAACCCGACAAGTGCTCATGCTGGATTTGGCATATTCCGTGGAGAAGCAATTGGTCTTCGGCATGGCGCAGCGCAGATCTACTAGCGCTTTGCAAGAGGCCTCCGTTCATGCAACTCCCAACAACAACTCCCAGGTGCATCGTGATGTTCCTGCAAGCTGAACAGCCTGTTTCTTTGGCAGGATAGTGAGATGTTTGGAGGCTTGATGCTTACACGACTTATTGCCCCTTGTGCCGATTTTGCGCCAAGCAACTCTGCGCAATCTCGATCTGATGTTGCATTTCTGTGTGCTGGAGCTCAGGTGTCATGCGTCTCGTGTCCTGTGAAGTATGGTGCCGTGTCCAACAAAGCATTGAGCTTGCTCATCTGCTCAACTAGTGAAGGTTTGCGATCTCGATTTCTCTCCTGACGCACAGGTTCGAGGTCAAAACAGCCGGGGGTCTTCTCCGACAGACCACAGTCGTGGCTTGGACCTTCGTTACATGTACATGGCGCAAGATTGCATGATCCTATGCCAACTCCGCAAAAAGGACCTGGTCGCAACATACCATTTCATTGACCCACCTGCAGGCGCATTTCGCTGCCAAACTTGATGATTTGATGGGTGGGGGTTCGGGTGGGGGGGTGGGAGCAGTGAAACAATCGAGCTCAAGGGCTCGGCCTCCTATGCTACGCCGCATGCTGCTTGGCAGCAGCCAGCCTGTGCAATATACGCCTCAAACCCAACAAGAAGGGAAGCCTCCTGTTTTCGGACATCCTGTTGACCTTGTGGTATCACCGTGCAACTACTCCGGGAACAACAGATTAAACATAACAAAAAAACACGAGCGCTTTCAGATTCTGAATTCAGCTTCTCTCAGACCCTCAGGCGGGTCCCATGCTCCTGCACAGGGGGCGTCTCAAGTCTTAGATTGTGCACCTTCATGTCAACGAGACCACTGAGAAGGAGATTGGGAGCCTCGGCAAGCAGCAGCTTGATCGTGGGGCTGATGTAGTTTGCGGCCAGCGAGATGGACAGCTTGGGCTTCTTGTACAAGGCCTGCAAAATGCGAAACGAAGGCCAAACTTGCGGAAGGGATTTCAACAAATATCTTAGAGGTTTTGGAGGGCTTTCCCGGTCAGGTGCGGATGTCAGGCTGCCTCCCCGGCAATGGAGGCTGTGAGGTCGCTGAGCTCATTTCCTTGAGAGGGGAACAGAGAGGGGGAAAGAAAAGGTATGGCGAAGTTCAAGGTGCAGCGAACTCAGCGAACTCCAACTTGAAGGACAGTTGGGGAACCCCCTCCCCCTCTTAGAGGTTAACAAGGATGCATGGAGCCCCACATCCAAAGTACCGGCCTTTTAGCATCTGAAAGCATTGCGGTGGACAATCAAGACTGCCAACAGACTCTCTGACCACATCTAAGAGGTCTACGGGTTTCACGAAGGAATTGAAGTGCCTCCGCTTAATTCCCCCAAGGCGCCCGAGAGGTCCAGAAACGAGATGCTGCCCGGCAAAGCCAACCTCAAAGTACGCATCCGACCCACGGCCACTGTCGTGGACAGCAAATGCAAATCCCCAAAACCCTAAACTTAGCATGCCAAACGTACGTCAGGTCAGCAAAGCCTCTTGGCCTCGGAGCGCGAATCGAAACGGATTTTAATCAGCGAACCAGACTCTGACCGGATCAGCGGATCAGCGAGCCTACTGCGTAACGCCTGGCGGTGGCTTGGAAACATGCCACAACAAGGCGAACTTGGCGTTCCCGCTGCGCAGCCCGCGCAAAAGCAGCACCAACACAAAAAGACGGAAAGACCACCCTGATCACCCTGATGACTCAATACTGACTCAATCCTGCAAAGTCCAAATGTCCAAAATCATTGAGTGCATCTGGAGATGTTCAGATCGTGTTTGCAGCCGATTCCTTTCTGGGTCTCTCGTAAAGTCCCCGAAACATGGCTTTTGCCCTCCAAGTGTTTCAAAGAGCGGCAGCAGGGCCGTGGCGTCCTCGTCCGCCAGATGGCCCCGGGCCACTGACAGGGCCTCTCCGTAAGGCAAAAGCGAACTCACCGAATTCCCCCGGTCGCTTGCTCAGCACCATGGCCTGGAGGACACTCTTCGGGATCTGCTCGGCAAGAGCCTGGAGGCAACGTGCACTCAAGTCTCGTGCTTTTGGCAAGTCTCAGTGGTCCAACTTTGGAGAGGAGATGGAACGGAGATGGGCAAGGGAGGCTGGTGCCTTGGCACCTGCTTGGCCGACACCACAGTCCTCCAACGCCAAGGCCTTTCGGGGCCACTTAGGGTTCGTTGCGGTTTGGAGCTAAGGGCGCTTCTCACACATGCTCCAGGATGTTTGTTGACACAGAAATTGTACACTTCAGAGCCATGTCTCTCGAGCGACCGATGCCTGGAGCCGTGTCGCACGGTTCGCGGCGGCTCTGGGCATCGCGTCGTCCAAGGCCGACGCCAAAGCCTCGAAAAGGGGAGAAAGTGCTCGAAGGCTCATACTGGCGGGGGAAAAGGCAGGCAACAAAAAACATGCAGATCTCGCCATAGGGAATTCCGGGCTCCGAAGACACTGCCTGAATCGCACAAAATCACAACTTATCTCCCGTATCCCCACGTGCCCTGACCTCACCTTTAGTACCCTTTGGCGCCCTTTATAGTGACAGCTTCAGTGCAACCTGCTGATCTGAAGTTGAGATATGAGATCTAGGCACAGCTGCCCCCAACCCCCAAAACCATGCAGAAAGTCGCCTGCACCCCCTCCTCGCCAAGCGGGTTGCCACCCAAATGAGTGCCCATCACCAGCTCCTGAGTAAGGACTCGAGAAGGCAAAACGGCGTCCGCAGCCGGAGTCATCGAGTTTCAACTCTTGCCGAGGTTCCTGAAACATCCCGAACAAAGGGCCATCAAGACCGTAAATTCAGCAAATGCCGCCAACGCTCCCGCACGTTGCTTCTCGGAAGGCGTGCTGCCAAAGCCTTGCTCCATTCTCGCCCTATCCTCACTCAAGGTGCCTAAGACCCACGACCTCATAAAAAACCCCAAACCGCCTTGGCACCGAGGGCCCCAATCTTGTTCCTCTCCAACAACCTCGGGGCTGCTCAGCTCCCGGTGCCATGTGGTACATCACATGGCACACGACACAACTGTCAGCCGCCTACAAATAGCCTTCGTCTGTCTGTACACTTGTAGCTGCGTGTGTACATGTACATACATATATATATATACATGATTTTTTTTACATATATGTAGAAATATCTGTGTGTGTAGTTGTCGGTACTTGTCCACTTGCTTTGCACCAACCCTTGTCCTGTGCCCGTGACATGTGGTTCTGGGGCTCCTGCAGCTTCTCAAGGGAGTCGAGCCGAGGCAGGGCGTCGGCGAGCTCCTCTGGCCCACCACAAGACAGAAACAGCTGCAACCCAATAAATGGGGAAATACATGGGCGAACACTGAAAAGAGGGACCTCTCCGGAAGCGTCCCTAAATCTCGCCGAGCAGCTGCCGCGCCCCCGTCTCCAAACTTGTTGGCGCTCCTTAGACTGCCAGGCCTACCGACAAGAGGCCTTAGAAAACCGGTTGAACTCAGCTCCGGGGCATGGGTTCCCACTTGGCGGGTCTCGAGTGGGCATTCAGGAAACGACGTGTGCCCTGAAAACCAAGGACATATCCGACGCCACATCAGCCCTACACAATCTTAATGATGGCGTGGCTTCTGCAACTTGAAGAAAGAAACTCAGAGCATCTCATGGCTTCCTACGGCATACTACTACATGCTCCTAACTCCCAACACGACCACGCCACTTCCCAGCTCAGCCACGCCACAAGTTCAGTTCTCTCAGCCCTGAGGCAGGTTGCCGAGCATTTGCCTGAGCTCTTGCAAACCGGGCTCGGCGGCTCACTGGTTGACATTGAAACGGACAAGGATACTCATAACTCATAACTCATAACTCACTACTATCAGTATGCAAGACAACCCTCCCTCCCCCCCCCCCCCCCCCAAAGGTAATAATGTTGGGACATGTTTGTGTCGACGACAGGTAGTCATGTGGCATCGCAGACAGCAAGACCCGCACTTGTAGCTGATGAGCTGGTCTGCAGGCACTGCAGGGCAAGTTGCCAACAAGCGCGCCACGCCGGCCGCAGCAAGATCTCCGAAGCCGCACTCGACAAGCCTTTCCCAGAACACGAGCGGTTTGGGCTGCGCATTGAAAGAGACTCTGACATTGATCTTCGGCATATACCTCCAGTGCTACGCTGCGGACGCATCCGTCGAAGGAGCTCTAGAGGATGTGGCGCCTGCAAATCTGCAGCCTGGCACCCCACGATCTCACGAAGCCGCACACCTTAGGAGGCAGTTCCAGAATTCATCTAAACCTCCCCTGAAAGTGTAGCAAAGGTAGATACCCGACAGAGAGATCTGCTCTCTGATCAACTCGGAACGCTTCATATTTGAGACATCACTTGTGTAGTATTACACTATTACATTTGAACATAAATTTGGAAACAAAAAGATACTGCAGTCTGCAGTATTCAATGCGATGGTCGAATTTATGCCAACATAGCAGGAGAGGGACCTCTTGGAAGCTCCGTGGGAAACATCTTCACACACATCTTGAAGTCTCAGGGGAGGTCTCGTGAAGACATATCAAGCAGGCAGCAACTCTTCGTCCGCATCCACACATCTATTCTATGCGTATGTACATAGGCGTATGTATATGCACGTATGAACATCTATTTACGTAGGTATTATAGGTAGGCTGTTCGGGTATCATCAGCTTGTTTAACTCTTGTAATGTTTGAGAGACTTAGCACACCCGCGGCCAAGGCTCCAAGCTGCAACCCGGATCTCCCAGCGGAGACCGATGAAAGATCACCTCGCGACTTTTTCGGGAGGGGGCGTGTGTGACGAAGCTGCCCGTGAGCCGGGTTTTTTGGCCTCAGCCTTGGATACCTTGAAGATCCTTTAAGTACGTTTCTGTGCTCTGAAAGGCTGCCAGGCGGCCTCTTGGGAGCTGAGCCTGGCAAGACAGAGGGGGAGGCGTTTGTGCGTCGGGGCAAGCAGGGCGCGGGGATAATTGCCCCAACTCCTGGCCTGAGCCCTGCCAGGGAGGTACTGCATATCCCCTCGTCCTTCGGTCCTGCGAACAGCACACTCCGAGGACGTGGGCATATGTCGAGAGGCAGTGTAGGCCCAGCAAGGCATACGTGTAAGCTGCATCTCAGCACTTCCCGTCTCCTTTCTCGAAGGAAATGGAATCCACCTGCCCAAAAAGCACTTCAAAACGACTCGGTGCTCAGACTCGCTTTGGACTGAGCTTGGCATAGCTTGGCTACAGTGACGACTGCCATGGGGAAAGAAGGAAACGACTTCTCCTCGCTGCGACCTCGCTGTGTGAGGCGGCCAGCGCCTCCCCGAAGGTGCCGAGCGTCACCTGCTACACTATCATACACATTGTCTGAGCAGCCGGTATCAAGTGTTTGGACTCCTTGGACACGCGACGAAGTAATCAGTCTTTAAGTGCCAAGTGGAGTTGCACCCTCAGGTTTTTCTCTGCTTTACTCTGCTATCTTCATGGCCACCAAACCGGATGGCCACAAGCAGCGCGTGGAAGCGCTGAACAGAATGCGGCCCGAGCAGCCAGAGTCGCAGCGGGCAGCGCCAAGGGCTGAGAGCCACCTGGGGATTACCCTAATTCCCTACCCCTTTCCCCCCCCGTTTCCCCCCCCCCCCCGTTTCCCCCTCTTTGCCTGTTCGAAACTTGCAGCGGCCCCGGTGGCGCAGCAGCAGCTTGGCCAAGGCTTCGATGGTGGAGTTGTCAGCTCGACGCCAATCCTGGGGGCCAAAGCAATTTCCGATCCCGGAGAAGCGCTGGTGCGGGGTGCCTCCGGGCTCCACGGAGCTACTGTAGAGATGAAGCTCCCCTTCTTCTGAGAGGGTGGGAAGCCCCTACTTCCGGTCAAAGGGGAGGGGCCGGAGGCCAAACTGCAAGACTAGCAGGCTTCTTCCCCCGCTCGAGTCTACATCTTCCAAGCCCAGAAGTTCGCCCCTTCTTCCTTGCGAGGCGCTGCGTCAAAACTGATCGTCAGTATGGGGTACGTAGCCAGGAGGACATCCAACCTGACGAACGCGCCCTTCGTCTAAGATCGTGCATTGGATAGTCATGAGTCCTCAAGGAAGCTGGGTCAGGCTAAGCCGCGCGAAGCCCCCTGATCCCTGAGAAAGGACAAAAGAAGACGCTACCCCATCACCAGCTCGAACGGTTTAAAACTTATGACTGGCAGCTCCGATAACACGGCCACGCGTAAGCAGTTGGAAGCCCAGAATGTCCTCAGCTGCTGCACTGCAGCATGACTGCAGCATGTGCGGGGCAAAACTGGTAGTACCATTTCTGCTGCATCAACGAACATCAGGAGAAGAAGCGCGGTCAGCGAATGGCATGTGGTCCAAGCCAAGAACTCGCATCAGTGTACTAGCTTTACCCTGCATACCCCTTCTTCGCTAATGTCTCTGCACGGGTTCAAGGTCCACCCGGAAGACCAGAACCTCAGCCTCAAGCCTCAGCCAGCGCTCAGGCAAGACACAGGCAGCGCCCGCGGCTGGGAAGTGCTTCAGAGGAGGCCTTCGGCTCACATTGGAGCTTGCTGAGCAATCGCGACCCCCCCCTCAGCGTGGCAAGCTCTCTTCCTGCAAGGGGGGGGGGGGGGGGGGGGAAATCACTGTCACGGGGCCTCGCTTCGAAGCGCAGCGGCCAAAGCGCGCTTCGCTGCCTCGAGAAGTCGAGAAGAGTAAGCCAGGTCACTGTTCAGATTACATCTGTATTCTCAGACCTCACGGCATCTCACCAGCTGCTATCAGCGGTTCCATGCATCCCGGGCGATGAGCCTCCAAGTCGCTAACGTTCACGACGCCTGCCTCAGTCCAAAGCAGAGGGCCCAGGGGCTCCGTCTCTTCTCTTCTGGCCGAGAGGGGTTCCCCGAAAGTGAGTCTCGACCTCGGCCTCTCTCTATCCCTCTCCCTCTCTTCCTCTCCCTGCCTTGGCAAAGTCCCACTGAACTGAGCCCACCTCAGTTCACCCGAAAAACGAGGTGGAAAGAAGGACAACATCTGCCGCTCCCGTGCACAAACTCTCTTGCCGGCAGCACCTTGGATTTGAACATGCGCGAGTCGAGCGCACTTTGTGGCGCCACGTGAACTCTCCTTGGCAGACAAAGAGACCATCATGGCAGGTATTCTCCGTTCCGCACGACGTGAACGGCTATGAGACTCTATCACATGAAGTCCGCCCCCTGCCAAAGCTTTTTTGGCCCCGGAGTCTGCAGTCGGCGCCGGCAGCGGCGGCCCAGGAAACAGCAGAAGCCCAGCAGAAAGCCTGAGACCAGGATGATGGCCAGCCAGATCACCACGCCTTACTCGGGAAGGCGGCAAGCGATGGTCGGGTGCCGTGGGCGTCTGCTAAAAACCACTCGGTTGGGGCAGATCGGTGTCAGCGTCTTGTGTGCGTTCCAGAGAAAGCACACAGTTCGATCTCAAGGCAAGCCACTCCACTCATCGGGCCACCAGGGAGCCTCACAAAACACGCCTCACGACTGACCATGGCACCCCGCCTGTCTCGCATCAATTGAGGGCCTGTGCATATGATGCGTTCGCCTCAGTGTCCTTGAACTCTTGGAGCTTTTTGCGCCGAGACAAGGATGGCCCACCCGACCCTACTTCGGACCCTCGCAACTTCTCGCAAAGGATGTCGGCTTCGGTGACAACGGGCATCGGAAGCAAGGGAAGCAGCGCAACACGGAACGGAAGCGAAAAGCGCGCCTGCGAGCCACTGGAACTCAGGATCCCCAGGTCCGGCGCCTCGGTCTCCTGGATGAGAGCCGGCGAGGGAGGGAGGGAGGGAGGGAGGGAGGGAGGGAGAGAGAGAGAAAAAGAGAGAGAGAGAGAGAGAGAGAGAGAGAGAGAGAGAGAGGAGAGGAGAGAGGAGGGAAGGAGGGAAGGAGGGAAGGAGGGAAGGAGGGAAGGAGGGAAGGAGGGAGGGAGGAGGGAGGGAGGGAAGGAGGGAAGGAGGGAAGGAGGGAAGGAGGGAAGGAGGGAAGGAGGGAAGGAGGGAAGGAGGGAAGGAGGGAAGGAGGGAAGGAGGGAAGGAGGGAAGGAGGGAAGGAGGGAAGGAGGGAAGGAGGGAAGGAGGGAAGGAGGGAAGGAGGGAAGGAGGGAAGGAGGGAAGGAGGGAAGGAGGGAAGGAGGGAAGGAGGGAAGGAGGGAAGGAGGGAAGGAGGGAAGGAGGGAAGGAGGGAAGGAGGGAAGGAGGGAAGGAGGGAAGGAGGGAAGGAGGGAAGGAGGGAAGGAGGGAAGGAGGGAAGGAGGGAAGGAGGGAAGGAGGGAAGGAGGGAAGGAGGGAAGGAGGGAAGGAGGGAAGGAGGGAAGGAGGGAAGGAGGGAAGGAGGGAGGAGGGAAGGAGGGAAGGAGGGAAGGAGGGAAGGAGGGAAGGAGGGAAGGAGGGAAGGAGGGAAGGAGGGAAGGAGGGAAGGAGGGAAAGAGGGAAAGAGGGAAAGAGGGAAAGAGGGAAAGAGGGAAAGAGGGAGAGCGAGCGAGATCCCACAAAATCCCCAGGACTGGGGCTTGGGCTGTCGTGGTGGTGGGCGGCCGCGTCGTCATGGCCTTCCAGGTGCCAGATGCTGCTTCGCTTGCTCTCTACTGTTCTTACAAGAGATGACTCTCACAAGACGTATCTTAAGAGGCGCCAGACAAACTGGCTATAGGGAACCTCCGAAGCCTCACTGAGCCAGCGCTCTCCAAAAATCCCTCCAAAATCCCTCCCAGGTCTCGCAAATCTCTGTCGCACCCTCGGCGGCTCCAGTGCGTGGCAGCCCGTGACGGCCACCGACTCGACGCTCTTCACGTCCGGGCGCAGCCTCCGCACAATTGAGAGAAGGCTCTTAGAAGTCGGAAGAGCGCTCCCTTCAAACAGCTCCCAGCTAGCACAAGGGTTCCGAGGACCGCGCTGCAGCACATCGATGCACTGGTAATGCCGCGACAAGCAGACATAGTCCAGTGCCTCCGATGGAAAAAGCACAAAGTCGCACCAAGTGCCTTTTCATGTCGCCTTTGTCCTTGTCTTTGTCCGTGTTGCTGCTGCTTCTGCTGTGACCTCTTTCAATGGCCCTCAATGACTCTGGTTGCAGGCGGGCACAGCCTCTCTTCTTGGGATCTGAACACACAGGCCAGGTAAAGCTGCACAACTCTCACCACCTCCTTTCCGTTCCGCCCCGGAGCACAAAAGGATCCATAGGAGTTACCCCGACCCTGATGCCCTGAGGGCCCCCTTCCGATATCTTCCGATCCAAGCCGCGGCTGGAGAGCCACCGCTGCCGAAGTTCCAGGACTGCACCGCGGCAACCAATGACGGGCCATGATGAAGAAAACTTACAGAGGAAAGAAAAAGGAAAGAATAAAAGAAGAAAGAAGAGAAATAGAGAGGAAAGAAGAAGAAAGACGAGCAGTAGAGAGGAAAGAATGTGCTAGGAACTCGCAAGCGAACGTGCCTACGGGAGGACAGAACAGGAAGGGAGGGAAGAGAGAGAGAGAGAGGGCTTTTCTCTTCGGCGATCCTCGATTGTACATGGCGACCATGGACTGACCACAACTGATGGACCTAGCCCACACAAAGGAGCGAAGGCTGTCCTGAGTCTTTGACAGAGCCCACAGGCTTCGAACAAAGCCTCGAGCAACGCCCCCCAGAACCCGACTTGAATCGCGGGCCTGCGGGCTAACCTGGCAGTATCTGCAGCCCAGGTCGAAGCAACCATAGCCTCAGAGAGCCCCATCTCGACTCCAAAAAGTCTCAGGACCTATCACTCAATGTCCCGCCCACCTGTTCTCCAGATGCAGACAGAGGGGGCAGGAATAAGAAAAACACACACACACACACACACTCTCACAAACACTAGTTGCCAAGGCTACGGAGGCATACGGAACCCCGCGCGCACGGCCTTATGCGCAAGATCGAATCTGCAATGTGCCTACCATGTACGACAAGCAGTGAGAAGCATAGGTAAGCAATGTGAGGACAAGAACACCACCTCAAATCACAAGCAAAAGGAAAAACCAATGGCGGGGTAAGAACTGCAAAGGCGGCAAGAAGTTCAAAAACCCGATGGGGTCATACTGGTAGAACACATGGGCAATTCAGTCTGGTCCACTTGAGGAGAGTCACACAATGCCACACAATCTCACACCAGCGTATAATTGAATGAAATTGATGCATTTGGAACTTCTGCAGAAAAGCGGCAGTTGCGGGCGTAGAGCGCGCACTCGGCCTCGCTCCCCGCCTAGGAAGCCACACTTTGGGGGGGCTCTTGGGGGTGGAGGGCACATGAGGGCACCCCTGGAGACAGCAGAATGCAGCGCATCGAGCACGTGCGCATCTCGGATCGCCACGAGGGTGGTGGTGGTCTGTGTCTTGCTTGTCGTCTGAGTTTCCTAAGATGCCGAACACTCGACTTACTGTAAGCCACCCATCTTCAGCGAACGGGCGCATCAACATGCTGCAGGCATCTGCAAACCATGAGCAGGCCTCTCAGGGCACGACTGTCTCATTTTCCTCGCCGCTCATGGCCAAAGAGGCTGTGACGCATCGCCATTACATTGCGATGGACAAGTTCGTCCCACCTACACTAGGTCTCGTATATCACTGTGTGACTATATGATTCATGTATTCCACGTGGTCATGAGGGCCCTGTGCCTGAAGCGGTTCGCGCCTGCGCGTGTCTTTGCATACGTGCAGGGGGTGCAAATGGGCGATTTGGCCCTACGTGTATCATGCGCCAGGTAGGTGGGCATTGCACATAGGCGGGAGGCTATGTGGATTTGCATCTGCTTCGTTTGGCCTGACACATGGTGTGCATGGAGCCTCTCTACTGCAGCCCACACAAAGGTTTCCATAGCGGTGTGGGGGATGAGATCAGAGGGACAAACTGAGCTGTACCAGGGCCGAGGCTCAAGGACACAAGGAAGTTCAGGGCTGGGGGGGGGGGCGATGGAAGGCTCACGCGCAATCCACAAGCATGCACATCAGTGTGCAGCAGGAAGCGGCATCGGGCTTTACGGGAAGGGTCCTTGCAGAAAGCACTGCCTCCAAGATGAAGCAACAGCAAGGTCCATCCTTTTTCCTCCATGGCAAGGCTTCCCTCGACTTCCTGGGACAACGAAGTCTTCGAGGGCACCTGGCCGGGGCTTGAACAGGACGCAGGCTTCACTGTATTCTGCTCCTGTATTCTGCTTGTATTCTGCCTGAATTCTCACTGTCTCTGCACGGAGGTAGGGTAGGTGGTGCTACGGCCACCTCTGCGAATGGGTTTTGCAACCAAAAAATCAACTCACAATTGGGCCCCCCGGCTCCAGAACTCCCGGTTGCACACAGCGCGGCGAGCTCCTCCGGCACCTGCCAGAAGCTCTGGGCTTCGCGTGTCCTCTCGTGTCCTCTTGGCCAGTTCAGGAACCACAGTGAAACTCTGTACTTTAGGCAACTTTAGGCAACTTGGGGCAACCGCAGGGTCTTAGAGTTCTCCATGTACGCGAACCCGCTCTCAGCTCCATGCCTCCAACTCCGGGAGCCTGCAAGAGTCAGCAGCGCTTCCGAAGCAAAGCTTAGATCCTGTTGGGCTCTCTTAAAGCCGGTCTCGGTCACATTAGGGACTTCTCAGCCGCGGAAGGGCCTCGGCCTAAACTTCTGAAGATGCAGCTGAGGCCTCCGTCGGCCAGCCTGGACCGCCTCCGCCAGAGGAAGGAATGTCCCCAGCTCCTCTGCGAAAGTGATGCCAATACTAGGCCAAGGCTGGACAGCGCCAGTTGAAAAGGAATTTTGAACCTCTGGTGGCACAACTTTACAACCTGGAAAAATCATGTACCGAACTCCCCACACTGGTGGTGGTCCTTCTTGAATCGAGCGGGCTGCACTGCTTCAAAGGCAGCGCAAGCCTCGCCACGGTGGGGTCACAATCCACGAAGCCTTGTCAAACCGAGTTCTCAACGTGCCTTGACGATCAGGCTGAGACACTCCCAACCTGCAAAGAGAAGGGGCAGAAATCACAGGCAAGTGGCACCTTACATGTACATTTCAGCGCAGAATAATCCACAGAAGCCTTCTAGCCCAAGGCTTTGCGAAACAGCATGGCACCCGAAGACTCAATACAAGACACTTAATATGGGCAGAAAGGACACACAACAAGGCCCCCTGAGGGTTTGAGTTGAGGCACGGGAACATGCCAGGCCAGCTAAGCGGGCCTAACAGCGCCTAACACCTATAGCTTAATGAATCTCGACAAACTTCTGAACACGAACAGCTACCCCTCATCTGCACGTGCCTTCTCCGTCCGCCAGCTGCCGACGCAGCGCGTCATCGAGGGCCGAAGCGCTGCGCCACGCAGTCCGGAGAGCCTCGCAGGACATGTGGTATTCATGAATTAACCTTTGAGAATGCCTTCATACTCTTGAATCTCTTGAATGCTTCCAGACGCCACACGCGTGCACGCAAGAACTAGGTCAGCCAGGTCAGCCATGTCTGGACTCGTGATTTGGCATCGCCGCAGACAGGAGAACTCTGATCTTCGTGGAGGCTTTGCCTGCCATTTTGATACAGGTAGCTAAGATCTCCGTGCTGTCCACTTCAAGCTTCAAGCTATGCACGTGCCGTAGCAAACTCTATGACAGTCCGGTGGCTCAGACACTTTGGAGCATTGCCACGCCTAATACCCTACAACACCCGACACGATGATGCCTAATAGCGCAGTTCCAATAACCAGTGCGTGCCATATAAACCGTCCATGTTGTTCCTTATGCCTGAGCCCTCTGGGACACCTTTGACACCTTCGGCAAAGGGGGTCCCCGAGTCGCATGCAAGCGCCCTTAGCTAACGGACGCAAATGGGCCCAAGCTGCCACGAAGCCGTTCCCAGCCACTCACTAAGGTGAAGTGGGCGTTTCCGACATCCACGATGACTGGGTGTTGTTGAGGTTCCTGGGCGCACAGATTCAAGAACCTGCTCCTGCCGGCCTCAAAGCTTTCCCAAGGGTGCTTGGGAGGCGTCAGTTCAGAAGCGCTGCCGTGAACGCCCCCCAAGACCAAAGCTGCCAAAAGCTGCCATGGGGCTGGTTCTTTGGCGTTTGCTTGACCCTGGCCTGGAGAGCTTTCTCCTCACTCGGCACGTCTAGCCCAAGGTGCCATCTACAACGCGTCTATGCAATTTCTAGCAAGCAGCATGCAACGAGTGTCCCGAACAGGCCTGACCAGCTTAGTGTAACCTCAAGCCCATGATGTCCTGGTAGTCCTCCGAAAGCGCGACGTCGCCCAACTCCTCGCAAACTGACGCGAGCCTGAATCGAGACTTACAACAGCTGCGCCCGTGGAGTTTCTGGTCTGTGGCGCCTGGGAACCTAGGGAACCCACTAAAGGGAGGCACTCAGAAGAAAGTGCGCCCTTTACAATTCAAGTATTCAGAGAGCACATGGAGCCCGCAGCAGAAGGCCAACCTGATGTAGAGGTCGGCCGCTGGCGCTCCAGTGACCTTTAGCCAAGGAGTCCAGCGGAGCTTGGCTGTCAAAGCTCCCCAGGCCGGCCGAGGCTTTGAAAAAAGTGAGAGAAAATGAGAGAAAGTGACAAGCTTGACGAAAAAGGCACCCGCCACAGAAAAGGTATGAAAGGAAACGAGTTCTGCGAAGTCCTTCTGCAAGACTCCCTCTAAAGCTGCGGCAAAACGTTTCTTATTCTGCCCCCTTATAGCTCTCTCGGCGAAATCCGTCAATCTGCATCCCCAGCTCCCCTTGCCATATGCAGCATATGCACTGTCCCTCAGCACTCCTCTCGATCTCTTGAAAAAAGGCCTTGCCCAGTGCCGCGCGCAAAGCGGCAGCCTCGGCCCAGGCCTCTCAAAAGGCGCAGAGGACAAAAGGCCACAAAAGGCCACAAAAGGCCACAAAAGGCCACAAAAGGCCCCAAGGGCCCAAGGGCCCAAGGGGCCGGAAAAGAGTGCATCCCTCGTTTGAAAGAGTGCGTTGAGAGGAAGCAAGGAAGCAACCTTTGCAACAAAGTCGGCCTCGAAGCTGCCCTTGGCATCCCCGCGCCGTCGCCGAAGGTCCCCTCGCAACTCCAGCAGCCTCTCCGAAGCTCTGCGGCCGCTAAGCCAAGCGATGGCAAACACTCAGCACTCAAGGGGTTTTCAAGAAGCTCTTTGGCACGTGTGTCTCCGATCGCGTTGCGAAGTTTCCCTGTTCTATGGCGTCCGATTCATCTCCTCAACAGTATGCTGGGTGCACCTGGCTTATCAGCAAGAACAACTTCTGGCAGCTACTTTGCCACGATCAACTGTAGAGGTCACGGACCCGATGCGAGCTGGGCACAGCATGGTCGCGAGAGTGCGCATGAACGTGAGGTGCCAGCAACCACATTGCAAGGATCACGGGTGTTCACAGACACGGCCTAGAGGGGAGGGTTTCAGAATGGTTCTCTCATGTTTTCATGTTCTCGCGCTCTCCAATGCCCTCATCTTTTTGGTGCGGCGCATGGTGCGGCGTCGTAGGCGGCTGACGGAGTGAGGCTTCCTCACTGCGATCTAAGAATTGTCGGAGCCAAAGTGAAATCTCTCTGGAGGGGCCTTGAAGCTTCCCTTCACCTTCACAAGCCACTCTGCTTGCCATACGCTGTGCACACTCCTATTTACCATACAAAAACTCGGCAACCAACTAGCTCAACACACGAAGCCAGTCGCATGTTGGAGACCTAACACGCACGAAGCCAGTCAAGTCGCATCTAGGAGCTAACGTGTTCTGATCTTGACTTGAGGGCCATTGAGGGCCCCCCTTGACAGAGAACTTTAAGCTGGCTCCGAGAAGGGCGACCTCGACTGCGCCCCATTCGGGCGCCGAGCTCACTTCCACAATAACTTCGACCATGGCCAAAGCATGGCAACTGTGGCATTTGACGCAGAAGCTGCTTAGTGCCCTCTCCACCCATCAATCCGGGGGGCTTCGGGGCATCTTCGAAGCGAAACAACCTGACTTACGAGAGCCAAAACCGCACCGCGGCGCAAACTCCAGCCACGAAGCAGCGCTTGACGGGCCAAAATCGCGTGCACGATGTCGAGTTTCGGTCGGGCGGATCAGGAGGATAGGGGCTCAGGGCATCTGGGAATGATCTTGGAGCTGCTGGCCAAGATGCAAAGATCTCTTGACATCGGTGCACCGATGCGGTTCGAGATTGTTTGTCCAGCTCTTTTTGCGGACAAAGTGGAAAAAAGGCGGATTAAAGCCTGCGAGCAGGCCGCAGAGGATAAATCCGGCCGCTCCCACTCGGCATGCGCCATGCACTTGCCTTTGCCCAGCTACAGTGAATGCACAACACTATGGCTCAGGAAGCTCGGGAGGGGTCGAACAGCTCCTCTCTGTGGCTCAGAACATCCGTAGCTCTCGGCGGTGGAATATGTCCACGAAGTTGAGCAAGGCAACCTCAGATGCCCCCACTCTCATTGCTCCACTTCTTCTCGTGCACTTTTAAGAGCACTGACAGCCCAAGGTCTCAGACTGTGGAATTGCTGCGGATTCAGCTTAGAAACTGCGCCTGCGATGAGGCACATTCGATGTGGGTAGTTCATGTAGAAAACAGACGGGCCCAGCTCCTGTTGGAAAAAGCTGCGCATCCGAGCGTCTTAGATTTGGATGGGTCTAGGAATCCAGGATTCAGGAAATCAAGACTCGCTCAACATCTCTCAACACGGCCGCCCTTCTTGCATCTGGGCTCGCTAACGGATACCACTCTTTCCCTTCTGAGTCATCTGAGGATACGAGACAAACTTCGAAAACATGCGAACTGGACGTGTGCGGCGAGCCAGTACTTCCTGGCTTCATACCAACGGCCACCCTAAACCCTAAGCCTTAAACACTTCAAACCCTAAACCCTTTCAACACTCAAACCCTTCAAACCCTAAACCGCTCAACGGTCTCCTTGTAGGCGGTACGCCACGCCTCCGTCGTGTAGTACGGAGCCCCTCTGGGCTCGTTAGTGGCGGCCAAACGTCCTCTGCCCAACAACGCCCCCACACTAAGCACCGAGAGGAAAGCTCTCATATTGCACACACAATCGCGGCTTCTCTGCCTATTTGTCTACATGTATTGAATGATTTTATATAGAGAAATAGATAGATATTAGGTAGCACATATTCTCCATCATATATGTTCTGGGTCGCATGCTCGGGGGCGCGATAGATGCGCGGCACCATGTCTACATTCTGTCCTGCGAAGAGCGAGGTGTTGTGCATCCACCTTCGCACATGTTTGAGAAGCTTCTCTGGGCCTGCGAAGTGTCTTCCCTTTCTTGGGGGCAGATTCAGAAAGGCCTGTCTGAACTGGATGCGTTGCAGGGCCCTTCCTAAAATGACGTCTGGACTCCCTCATTCGCCCATCGAACCCAACTCGTCCCACGCCGAGGTGCTGCGTCCCAAAGGCTGTGCAGGCGCCCGACAAGAAGCCAGAGCCAAACCGCATCATTCCCTGCAAAACTGTTCAACACTGCTTTCTTCGAAGCTCAAGCCTCGTTGTGTGGGATTCTCTGAACAGCCCTCTAGACAATTCTCTCTTCCCTGCAGTGCTTTGGAGCCAACTCCCTTTTGCCATGAGCCCCAAAATCCTGACGAGTGGGCCCCAAGACACATGTGAGATAGGGCCTCAGCCGAAGTTCGGTTCGGAGCATGGGGCCATCCCTCGTGCTGCGTTTTATCACGCAGGTTTCACTCTATGAAGAGTAGGGTTCCGTTGCCCAACTCGTCATAAAAGCTGTCCCCGCGACTGTCCCGACTGTCCCCCCCCCCCCCTCGTCTCTTGGCTCGCAGCTCTGAGTCTCTGGCGTCTAAACACAGTCTAAACAAGTCATGGGCAGGAGCTGCAACATGCTTCTTGCTTCAAGGTGCAGGCTTGGGACAGTTTGGGGACGGTTGCTGGGTTGCAAGGGACAGCAGGCCAAAGAGCATTCCAAAGCAATATGTCTACATGCATTTTATTTAAGTATACTATTGCCATGACTATCGCCATTGCTAGTTCCATTTCTATGACAATGACTATCAATCACTACAATTTTTCGAAGCTTTATATTCCCCCTGCGTCGAGTGAGAAACGAGTCCAGCCTCTGAAAGGTGCACGCCGGCGATGCCTCGGCTCTCTCTCTCGCTCTCTCCCCAACTCCTTTTTGAAGCGCCCTTCAATGGGGCCCTGTCTCTCCGCCTTCAGGGGTGCCCCCCCTTCCCCCAACTCCCCTTCATGGTGTGCGATAGAGATGCGTGCTGCAAGGTTCTTGGATTCGGGTCTAGCATGGTCTAGCGCGGGTCGCTCTTATGCGAGCGGCCCCAACACAACTGCCTTACGCTTCGATCCGAGCAGCGGTGGTCGCCCTTCTCATCCCTCAGGGATGCGCCGAGCTTCTCTTTGACAACAGGGCCCAGATACCTGAAGAAAAAAAAATGGTCACAAGCCGACTTACAGATCCCCCTACGAAACCCTTGGCCCTTGCACAGCTTCTGCCGAAGCGGCAGGCCGGCGCCCATGGCCACGGACTCCCGGCCAAAGCACCAAACGATGCCTTGGAGCGGTTCGGTTTGTTCGACTTTTCCTGGCTTCTCGCGGGGTTTCTCCCAGCTTCTCGCTCATTCCCGCAATCCGCAGTTTTGCCACTCTAGCAGCTGAGGCACCTGGTCGAATGCCACGCACCAACTCGCGCATGGTCACCGCCGCCTTCTCCTACGATCACCCCACCACAGCAGTGAGGCAGAGGCTGCCCAAGGCAGACTCAGATGGGGCCAAGCTGGGACCCCGGCCTTACCCGTGTAGATTTTGTACATCTCCGAGATGAGGCTGTTGTAGATCACCGATTGGAAACCTGACAAAGAGGAATCCGGGCGTGGGCGTTGGCATGGTGCCTTTGAAAAATCCAGCTCCGTCGAATGATAGGTCTGATAGGTTGGGATGGCAGAAGAAGGCCTGCTGGCACCTCCTGAAATGTAGCATTCCTCTTCAAGTCTTTGAAGCTCTCAGCGGTCGCAGAGAACCAAGCTTAAACCCTTTGCCAGGAGACCAGTGCCAATCACGCCAAATGCCAGCATTGTTGACACGGCTGGATGGCAAACCTGTTGGACCGAAGCTTCTCACAAGTGTTGCAAACTTAGAGGATGACTACCTTCACCCGAGAACTCCCCCGATAACTTGAACAGCCAGCGGGGGCCTGGTCCAAGGTGAGTTTCATCCTCAGCACAGCTCCATGCCATGCCATCACATCGACCCGTTTAGGTTCGGCGAATGTCGAACCTAGAATGTAACGCAAAAAAAAACATCTTCGAGCTCCCTTTTATCGCGACCTGGCTTCTCTCGCATCACAGCGTACTGTGCCGCTTTGAGGCCGCCCGCCAGCGGTGTGATCCGGAGACACATTCCTTTGTTGAACGACAGGGCTTGGTACGTTCCACCCTAGCACCCTAGCAGTGAAACTTTCGTTTCTGCGACCTCCCCAAAAAAAAGGACAATGAACATGGCAGCGGAACACTCAGAACACTCAGAACACGGGGTGCCTTGGGGCAAACTGGGCCATCTTGGGCCCCCTGCGGATCCACATCGCTCGCGAGATCTGCGGCATCCTCGGGCGCCCCCACACTTGTCTCGTGGAGAGTCGAAAGGATCACTGCGGGGGGGCGGGGAGTGTCTCGAGGTGCCAAGGTACACAGGCCCTTCTTGTTTGTGTTCTTAGGCACTTCTTAGACCAAGGGTCAACCCATCTGATGTCCTCACCACCTGTGGCATCGTGGAGTTCCTGAGTGCAATGCGGACTGAGCATGTCTCGGTACCCTGTGGCTGCAATATTTTCCGCGTGAAGGCATCGTTTCCTTGAGGAAAGCCCTCGACCTCCTTCGAAGTTCGCAGAAGTACGGCAGCATGTGGGCTGGGTGAACAAACTCATAGGGGAGAAGGGAAAAGTCGTAGCCGAGATACACCAAGATCAAGCCAATGACACCTCCGGCCACCGACACGCGAGGAACCACTTCGCTTCCTGACAGTCTGGTCTCTGTGCCCAAATTAGCTTAAGCTGGCGTGTCGTCACGGATCCTGCTACGTCCGCCTGTGGTCTTCGAGATGGTGTAAGGCTCGTAGAGAAGCAACTCACACTGACATGCTGGCCAGCAAGAGCTGCCCGAAGAACCCCCGCAGAACACCCCACAGGCCCCACAGGCTCCCACGGACCACACTTTATTCGTCCCCTTGCTTAGTTGAGCTCAGGTGCCCCAAACGCTGAACCAGCGGACCGGATCTGAATTACAGAGACGGCCCAGAGGAGCATCTGACCTGAGCCAATGTCGGAAAAAAAAGGGCAAACAAAAGGGGAAAGAAGGCAAAAACTTAGGCCCCCTATCCGCCGGCCCTATTGATGAAGAAGGGGGGAGAAGGTGCCCCTCCAGGGACCAACTCAGAGGCTTCTGGGATGCTCACAAGATTTGGTTTCAGGTTCGTGTCTCACAGCTCATGAGGCATTACACCACTTCGCTTCCAGTGCACCTAGCAGTTCTCCCACATGTGGACTTCCCCCGCGCCTCTGCGCTAGCTCCGGCATGGTGGCCACGGCCCCCGAGGGCTTCAGCAAGGCCGACATAAGCCTCGGGGATCCAAGAAGGCCCTCCCCCCTTGGCGTGCCGCCACAACGGGAAAGATGCTGGCCTACGGGCTCAGTTCATGCCGGGAGGCGTTGGCAGTGTGGTCGCCGTGCCCTAAACCCTCGCTTGGGCACCGTTTGGCTGCGGGCGGCTTCGCAGTTGCAGATGTGCAGCTACAATTGACTCGGAAGATCCACCAGATCTGTGTCTGAGCTAGGCCCAGCTCAGGCCACCATGCAAGCCCCAGGCCAACAATGGAACTTTGGGGGGACATGGTGCTGCTCGTGAGAGTTTGCTTCGGTACCTGTAGAGGTGCGATTTCAGGATGCTCAATTGCGTTTGGGAGTTTGTCTTCCCTTTCGGCTCGACAGACCCTATACTTTAACAGTTGACAGTCAACACCTATAGTCTGCAACCCGCAGATGTTCTAACCGCAGCCTGTGTCACACATGTGGACAACCTACACACCCACACACACCTAGTTCATGAACGTACGCGAACAACATTGCCAGGCACGCACGTCGCGGCTTGCACATCATTGCAAGCTGGCACCTGACTCCAGGCATCTTGGAGCCGTCGCCCATCGCCTCCGCCACTGCCCTCGCCGCCTCCCAAACCTTCCAACACTGCATGGTGTCCCGGACCCGTCATGCTCGGACTTGCTCGGACCCCTTGCGGGCATGAGACCAAAGACCTGGAGGCATGCGAAGTAACGAGCCTCCTCGGCAACATCGCACTCCTCCATCTCCGCACGCAGGTTGCACAGGGAGGAGAGGAGCTTCAAGCCTGGAACGGTTTCCGGAACGCCACTCACCACGTCTGCTGCAGAAGGTACAGTATCTGCTTGCCGGCCCAGGTAGCCAGATTCTGAATGGAGGGTCCTCAGTCAGAAAGCCAGGATGTCTCGCGTGCGCTGGAATCTTCTGCACAGCCCCGGCCTTCAAGGTAAACCACACACTCCAAGCACTTTCCAAAAACCCCTCCTTGAACCTGGAGCCAATGAGGCCGGGTCTCTCGGAGCGGGTGCGAATCCCCCAAGCTTCCTCCAAGAGTGCCGCCGCCTCGCCGCGGCGGTCGCCTTGGCCGAGCAGCTCCGCCGCCTTCAACAGCAGCTTGGCGCCGGCATCGGTCTCCTAGGCGATGCAGAAGCCCATAGAGCCCCGAAACGCTGTGACCATTTGCAGAGCGTTTGCCCTCTTCTGGTCTCCTTACTGCGAACTTTTCCCTAAGAGCCCCCGCAATTTCGAAAGCCAGGCATTCGCTGTCGCTGACAGGACTTGGGACGGTTTGACGAGACTTGATCTCAACTCTGGCAGCCTGGGCACCAAGGTCTCGGACTTCTCGCGTGCCTCCCGTGCACGCGCATACCACGAAAGCGCTTCCGTGGGATCTCCTGGCAACTGCAGGGCAACGCCATTCTGCTTCTTCTCCACAGCTCTGTCGGCTCTGACGGCATCTACTGTTCGCATCCGATCACAAGGCGACCAGAACAAAAACGAAAGAACCAGCCGCTGAACAGAGCCAACGTGGGCTCCCTTCTAAAAGTAGAGCAAACGAGAGAGGGGCGATCCTTGTTTCGCGTAGATGCCTCCAATGTGTGACCTGCATGACCAATGCACCAGGAAGAGACAGGGGCTTCGACAACAAACACTATAGCTACATCAGAAAAGGTTGAAGACCTCGGGGGCAAAAGGGTCAACACTTTCGTGCAGACGAAACTCAGAACCACTGCTCCGGCTGAGGAGTCCAAGGTGCCTGTCCTCAGCGGCTTTCGGATATTTTCAAACAGTTCAGCAATGACACGCTTCAGTGGCAGCATGAGCGTTGCCATTCGGATTCATCCGCACATGACAAAGGTGGCAACAAGAAATGAAAGGGAATAATTTCGAATACTCTCCCAGCATCTTCTCGCGAATGTCTTTGGCCTTCAAGTACAGCCTCTGCGTCAAACAGACTGGGAGAAATCTGGAGGCATAGGCATGCTAAGTTTTGCGTGAACCCGTACCCGGCAAACCCCACAGTGCAAAACCCACAAACTTGAGCCCTGCTAGTCTGGAGAGAATGACTGCATGTTTGTGCTTTGCCGCGTAGCTTAGCAAATGTCGTGCATGCGAAGGCAGTCCACTCTCCGGGCCTGAGCTCGCCCTCCGTGTCTCCGAACAGCTCCTCCACAACATCTTCTGAGACTCTAAGACGTCATGGGGTGCCGGGCTGGGCGTGAAAGAGGGCTCCAGTCTGACCGGATATACGCATCGTGGCATAGAAGCTGCCTCGACACCCCAAGGCCCCAAGGTGCAACCTGCAGAATGGCGGCTTTTGAGTCTCCTGGACATCGGCAATGTTCGTGAGGAGAGTGGCTCCGGCCGAGGTCTCGACAGTGCCGGTCTTTTCCTGCTGATCGGACTGTAGGGCAAACAAGATTTACGTTCACGACACAACGCCCTCTGCCTAAGCGTCTTTCAGTAGCCGGCAGAACGTAGAAAGCGAGAGAGACGAGTCCCGCTGTCTGCAGAGTTCAGCGGTGAGGAATAGACCAGCCAAGCGTCTCGAATGGACAGGGCCCGCTCGAAAGCCTGGAGCTTTCAAACGGAGCAGAGTTTGGCAGAGGCGGGAAAGCACACTCATGCTCAGCACGAAAGTATTGCTGGACGCATTCCGCCGCAAAGGGGTCTGAAGTCAGCGGCTCTGGCACTGCTGCCAGCGCCCAGGACGCCCAGGACCCCTTTCAACCCCTTTCAACCCGCCCTGGTACCGGCTCACTGCCACCCTCACCTCTCGCACAAGACCTGAATTGAAGAAGATGACACTCTCCAACACCTCGGGATTAGCCCAGCGTGGGCAAAGCCTGCTTTGCAGCTTTCTTCTTCCTCTGCCGGAGCCGCGCCACGCCAATGTTGGAGAGCAGCCTTGTTCAGCTGCACAGTACTCTTGTGAGAAATGCAGCCCGACACCACCTATACCCTCAAAAAGCCCGCTTTGCGTTTTGTGAGCCCAACTGTGCTTGAAAATGCGTTTGGGGTGATCGAATCGGCACCAAGCCCTCCGGCCTGACTGCTCAGTGACCTCTGAAAAACCCTTGACTCCTAGACATGGCCCGACCTGTCTTCGGAACCTTCCGGCCGCCTCGGGATCCTCTGGTGCCCGCTAAACGGTACCTCGGCACCTACGGAGACTTCGGGGGGAGGCGTCCTGTAAGCACAAGACCACAACTTATCCGTAGTTTCTGCGCAGCGCAACATCATCGTCTTCGTGGTCATTGGCGAAAGCAGCTTGCTCAGAGCATGTACGAAGTACACAAAGATGTACAATGGAGATGTACAAGACAAACTTTTCTGCTAGGCATTTGCGTTTCTATGTGTATTTGTTGCCCTTGCCCTTGCCCTTACCCTTACACGAGTAGTGGCCTTGCCCCTTGCTCTTTGGTCTTGCTGTTGCTCTCTTGTGGCTATTGCTATTGGCTTGGGCTATGGCTATGGCTCTTGCTATTGCGAGAGCTAGTGTAGTGTTAGTGTTCGCGTTGCTGCTGCTCTTGCTGTCGTCGTTCTTGTTCTTCTTCTTGCTGTTGTTGTCAGCCTTGCGGCATATGCAGATACCCGATGCCGAGGGTTTTGTTTTCAGCCCCCCTCCCCCCCCCCCTCCCGACAACAGAACAAAGGACGAACCCCCCACTCTTCACCCATACCTATATAAGTCCTTGTCCCCTTTAGGCTTGTGATGGCCTCTTACCCACACGAAAAGGTTTTTGTGGGTTTATTCCAAAAAACAAAATACAATCAACAAAAATCAAAAAACACTCGCCCAAAAACACAAACTCAGAACCTGCCGAATCCCAGAGACTCAGAAAAAGATCTAATAAAAACCAAGAACAAAACGGAGCCTGGAGCCGGGATGTGGCTGATTGCTTTTTTGATTGTTCTTGGTTGTTTTCTAAATATTTTGACTTTTATGGGATTTTCGGGCGTTGATTATTTTCTGATCATTTTTTGATTGTTTTTTGATTTTGCTGATAATTTTCTGAACATTTTTGATTTTTCTGGGGCTTTCGGAGGTTGACTATTTTATGATTTGTTGTTGATTGTTTTTTGCTTTATATTTGTTGATTCGGTTTTGTTGTTCCTCTGAGTCTGTGTTTCTGGTTTGTTTTGTTGGGCTGATTTTTTGGTGATTCTTTTTTGTTTTTTGAATATTGGACAGGCAACCCTTTTCGTGTGGGTAGAGGCCATCACAACTTTAGGCGCAGCGCCCTGCTCTAGAACCGATCGCCAAGTAGCGTGGCGCCCTCTGGCGAGTCCAGTGTTTGGAGCCGCCTCGGTTCACGTCTTCTCGCACGCATGCCGAGCTGTGTGTACGAAAGGCCAACAAAAACGAAAGGCTCACAAAGAAAAACACAAATCAAGGCCCCATGGAGCACAGGCTAAACCTCCCGAGCCGTGACATGCACACGCTCAGGACCCCCCCGAAAGCCACTGCACCGTGTTGCCAGGCGGCTCGTGAATTCGGAGCGCTTCCTCATAAGCTTGCACAGCTGCCTCCATGTCGCCCGCCTTCTTCATGCCACACAGGAGGGGGCAAGGTTTCCAGGAGTTCTTCAAGTTTGCGCGCGCCTGCCGCTTCGCAGCACCAATGGATGAGAGGAGCACAGTTCCTGGAGAGGAGAACATTAAGCCTTAAGCGCATCTCGCAACCGACGAAATTCGCGGGGGTCTCGTCAGGGTAGTGCAAGTCTGTGAGTTGCTGAGGGGGGGGGGGGCGGCTGGGGCAACTCGAAGCTCGGAGATCAGAACAACCAAAGCTCATGGCTTGGGTGGTACTGCGCTAGCAAGAACTTGCCGCTTGCCGTCAACCTGCCGTCTGACAACCGCCGAACACCGCCATGCCTTCTGTGGACTCCAAGGCATCTGCTAACTCGCAGATCCGTCGTGCCTGGCACTGCATAGCACCCCCTCGTGTCAGACCACAAACAGCAGAAGCTCCCGAAAAGTCTGAGAACAGCTTCCTCTCCTTTGCCACCTTTACTCACTTTTGCGCCTCCTCATAGAGCCTCAGCTTGCCCTCCAAGTCGCCTGACAAAGGGAGATGGTCACCGAAAGCCTCTCAGATCCCCGGTATTCCGCGGTTGCGCCTCGCACTCCGAGGAGCCGTCCTGAGGGTGCCGGAAATGATGGAGAAAGTCGGCAAAGACTCAGAAATATTCTGACACTCAGGGAAGAACTCGGGGAGATGGCTCGCGACATCTGTGACATCACCCCGGGGCGGTAAAACCTTGGGGCCATCTTGGCCAAAGTGGCCCTGGCGCCGCTTCAGCGCCGCGTAGTCCAAGGGCTCCGGGGCCGAAGCCTCCGAAAAGTAGTCGGAGATGGAGATGGGAGTCATGGGGAGTGTTGTGATCTCTTGTTCTCAGACTCTCCCTCACCATTCGATGGCCCTTGCTTTGGTTTTGGCCACCCGCCACGCAGGGCTTTCTGTGCTGAAAGTGCGCCCCAGTGTCAACGGCATATCTCAACATGTCTCAAACTGTCCCTGCTGGGCTCTGGGCAGCCGCGAAGCACAGCGCCGCACGCCTCGATAGAGACGCCGGGCACCCGGCAGCAGCGCACCCCGCCCCGCACAAAAACACAAAAGTAATTCTGGGGGACCCTTCCTGAACTCAATCGCCCTTCACTCTGTGCCTTCGAGTTGCTCATAAATCTCGGCGGCGACATCAAGATCCCCTTGGGTGAGTGCCACACGCTCCCAGCCCTGCCGATGCTAATCCACAAACTCTCAGATTGTCAGCCCAAACACGGAACGCCATTCCTCAACACCAATCGAGTCCTAATGGCAACCAACGCTGCTTATGTGCGCCATGTCCAGCCATGCCCAGCCAGGACGATAATGATAATTTCGCTGCGACTGCGGTGCCTTGTTTCTCGTGGATTTCGCCCAAGTTAGCCAGTAAGTCTGCGCCCGGACTTGTCCCCAACGTACCAGCATTCTCGTACAACCTGGCGGGTGCTGTCTGCACTCTGCACCCAGCCATACTGCGCCATTGCACTCTTGATTTGGGCGCGGGGAGGCGGTGCACATGCGGACACTTGTGGGTGCTGCACACGTGGGCCTCAAGCCCTCCTCCAGCAAGAAGCGAGCTCTCTCCAAGTAGCCCAAATCTGCGAGGAGGCCACCAACCTGCGAAAAGTAGCCCCTCAAGGCAAAGGCCCCTTAAGGCACTGCTCGTAGCTGGTCTTCCACCGGCGATTTGGTATGCGCTGAGAATAAACTGCTTTTCCCCAGCTGCTTGCTTCCCCTCCACCGATTCCAGCTCAGCACACGACACACTAGGAGCTCTCTCCGCGCGAGCCTCGTTGCAAAGATTCGCTATGGCAGGAGACACTTGGTCCTCCTGGAGCGCCCGGAGCAAATGCCCCTCGCAGGCTTCCAAGATCCTCGGGGGGGGGGGGGGGGGGGGGGGGGGTCAATTTGTCAAACAAATGCACCCCCTCCTACGCATACATATGTGTATGCATGTGTATGCACATCTATATCTCTCTATCTATATCTCTCTCTCTCTCTGGACACCTGTGCGCTCCAGGCAAGTCACCAATCTTTCAGATGCTCCGCAATAACCTCGGCTAGTCCATGGTGGCGCAGAATGGCTTGGCCACGTGTGGAAGTAAACTAGTCACAGAGGCACTGTGCACACAACACTGTTGCTGCGCGTGCTTCTGTCGCGCTTGGAGAATACCGCTCGATGCTGGGTGACAGTCAGAGCCTGTCTGAGGAGGAGACGGTGTTGAGCTTGTGGGCGCCGGGGCCATCATGAATCAGCTGTAGAATGAGTTCCCGATCCTAAGAGGCCACCCGTCGGTTTGCTGTGTCAGCACGTTTCCAAGAATCCAAACCCTCTTGAGACTCTGCACAAACAGTACGAAGTGCTCTGACTTTTTTCTGAGTGGCTCTGCTGACGGAGGCCTGGGCTTTCTCGACGTCGAGGCGTGAAAGCACATTCCACACAGCCTTCACACCTGCCGGCGCTTGAACAGGCTCACTCGCGGTGCTGTGAGGTCGAAGCACCTCTTATCGATTCTAAAATTTAAACAGGGGTCGAAGCACCGAGTATCTCAGCTAAAAAGGCCTCTCGGCTACGCGAGTCGAATCTGCTGGCCTTGGCCATTGACGAGCTCCTGGCGCAGGTCCTCTGCCTCGCGCGGTGGCATCACGATGGTCACCTGCGAAGGCACCCAACATGAAAGCCAAGAAGTACTGAGCGCAGGCACGAAGATCCCCTGATGCTTGGCGTACTTGCGAAGCTGGACAGATTCTACACGCGCTCTGAAAGCCTGTAGACACCCCCAGCTTGCGCAAATGCTCAAAACATCTTCATCTAACGGCTAAGGTTCGTCCAAGGTACCTGTGACTCGGCCACATGCTTGGCCGTGAACATCTCCTCGGCCAGATTGGCCCCCTCTTAGGGAAGCCAGGTCCACTATTCTTTGGGAAGTCGCGGCAAAGGCTCCTGTGTCAAACTTTATATCATATATATCCGCATCCAAGCCTAACAGACCGTGTTGCCGGTTGCCGATAGTTTTTGGATGTCTTGTGTTCGCCGTCGTTTCGAGTGGAAGGGACAAAGCAAAAGGACCTGAGAAAGGAATGATGCTGGCTTGCTCGCACAAACGGCTGAGATGTGCCACTTGCCAGCGGCAAGGGAGAGATAGGGAGAGACCCATTGCCATGCTGCATGCGGCTCGAGGGTCGAAGTCGCACCTTGAGGCAGTGCGTCCAAGCCAGATGCAAATGAGACTGCATGTACCTGCTCCACCAAGGCACCAAATGCGGGAGATGTAAAGAGGCTCCTCAGCATCAGTGGCGCACTGTGGCAGTGCTGCTACCACTAGAACAACTAGAACAACTAGAAACCATGATGAGGAAACCAAGGGCTTTCCTAGCTCCGCCATCCACCAAACGGGACTTCCTGCTTCTGGCCTAGGCAGCACGATACATCACGATACTAGCAAGATTGATGCCGCCGTGGCACGTGCCAAGGAGCCATCATGGCGATGATGTGGCCAATGCCCGAAACCCGCCTCAGCATCTGGCATTCCCACCGTTCCCACGCGCCCAAGCCGCGCATCCTTGCAGACTCACCTTGAAGGCCCTGGAAGGGCTCGCATGCACTCGTGGACTACATGCAAAGCCCTTGGGCTCTGAGCCGAACACTGGCCAAAGGCCTGCTCAAAATCTTCAAACGGAACGACGTCCCCGGACTCCTGAGCAACGCCATGCAACGCCATGCAACGCCATGCAACGCCATGCAACGCCATGCAACGCCACATCGGCAAGTGACAAAGACATCTGCAGCCTTGTCCTTTAACATGTGGGGCTCCCAGTGCTGTGCTGTGCAGGCACCGAGCACACAACCCCGTGCCCGAGCCAACCAAAAACTACAGTACTTGAAACAATCTCATCGCACTCATATGAACCATTCTGAACCCCTGTCAGCGCCTGTGCTTCTTTCACCCGGTGCTGGTTGATGCACAGGCCTGGAAACGAAGTTGGAGGGCGCAGCGCGAAGTAGGGAGAATAAGAGCAAGGGGGGGGGGGGGTTGGGCAGAGCATTTCCACGCGATTCCTGCTACGGGGCCCAGGCAGCAGATCCAAATGTAGGTCTCCTCGGGTTGTTGATCACGTGAGAAGCAGAAGTCAGTCAGAGTCTCCACAATGTCTTTGACCTGCTCACGGCTGACGCAGAGTTTGCCATCGCCACGGTCCGAGCGGCATGCAATTCTGTTTCCTCAAAGACCGACTTGTGCTTTTAAAACCGGCCATGGCTAAGTTTGGTGCTTTTGGGGGCCCTTCTAAATGGGGCCCTATGGGGCCCTTGTGATCACCACAACCACAACCCTGTTGGGGGAAGTCCTGTCGGATCCAGGAACTTTTGCACCGCAACACATGAGAGGCCCCTCTTAAGCACTGAACATTTGACCTGTGGACGTGCTTCGTTTAGGGCCTTTTTGTTAGGGTTTGCTTTTGTCAGAGCTTTAGTCGTTAGGGTTCTAGGTGGTGCCTTGCAACCACCCCGCAACTGCGGGACACGGCTTTTTCTCAACGCAGCCACTGATTCTTGCCAGAGGCTCAGGAACATGCTAACGGCCAGCATCAGGTCTCACACACCCCTGCTGACAGGATTCAGGGCTTGGGAGCTGCTAGCGAATCAAGATTCAGGGTTGCTTCAGGGTTGCTTGGGTGAGATGACAGGAACATCATGGGGTCGGACCTGTCCTGGCCAGCATGCGAAGTCCCGGGAAGAACTCCCGGGGCCGAAAACCAAGATGGCGATGCTCGCGCCACGTCGTTGCAGCGGTGTGCAAATGGTTTTCGATACACCCTGCGAGCAGCGCGCAAAACTGCAACACCAGCATCACCCTCTGCTCCGAAGGCCCAACCCACACCCAAAAATGTCTCTCAACATCGCTCCGGCTCAAAGTCGACAGTCGGATCTGAAAATGTCCTTTGCTTCTGGGCATTTTGCTAGGGGCTCAGGGAAGGGAGTCCGGCTAATGGCGTACATGCCTGGTGTGTAGCAAAGGGCAGGGGCGCCCCTTCTAGGGCCTACAGTACCCAATACTCCGAGAACTGCACAAGCAATGACGCGACGAGTAGGCTGGAGAAGACCGAGAACCTACACGTTTTGGTCTCCATCAGAACTCGTTCAAAAGGGGCCAAGTAAAGAAGCCCTCTCCCTCCCGAGACATCCTCTACCCTGCCTCACAAAACATTCCTCATCATGAAACCCTTCCAACACTGAGAGCCCCGCATCAAAGAGGGCTCGATGCCTCTGAAGCTTACAGTGGGGTCCCAACATCAAGGAGCCTTCACGGACGCCGGTGTCGAAGCAGGGACGACGTGAGGTCTGGGTACCTAAGCTCCGAGGAGCATTCGCACAAGTGAGGCTCTGCCTAAGACCTGAAGGGCTCTTTTGACGCAACCATGCAACCACCAACCACGCAACCTCAAAACCACTCTTTGCTTGAGACGATGGGAGCCCTTAGCAGGTAAGAGCTTCCACAGCCACACTCAGGAAGACACTCCGACTCCGGTGTCCCAGTTGCTAGGGTATCTGGGGCCTACATTGCGGCATAAGCCTGTCCCTTCTCAACCGCTGGAGACAGGAACTACGTTGGTTGACACAACTCAGTATGGAGAAAAAAGCCAGGGAGCATGTTGGGATTCAGCTCGTCACCGACTTCGCTCTTTTTGGCCTTGGCCTCCTTCCAGAATGTATGCAGAATCACAGCAACTTTCCTGGATCTGCCCCTGAAAGTCCCAGCACACCACGAACTGTAAAGAACATGACACGCTGCATGGCATCTGCAAAGACTCGAGCGGGTGCAACGCCGCGAACCGACCCTTCGACTGGCAAGCCCAAGAGTTGCACAATTGCTAGCCTTTTACTAAATTTACTCACCCTCCCAGATTCTCAACTGGCACTTCTTTGCAGGTCCTTGGAAAGGACATACGCAATGCAAGCGAGCACGACCGTCACACCAGCATTGAAAACGGTGGGGTCGTACCTGGCCCGGTCCCCAATACGTGAGGGACCCACGAAAGACGCAGAAGCAACACAATTCCAAGACAAAGCTGCTGTCGTAAGCTGCTACTTGCGTTGCCGAGTGAGCGCAGTGAGGCGTAAGGACATGGCGACATGGCCTATACCTACAGGACTATCCAGAAACACTTCAACACAAGCAGAATGACATAATGTTGCTGCCCTTACTTTCCATTGCTCTCCCAGCTCCTTAAGTCAACAGGGCACTTCCCTCCCAAGAACATCACGCGCCCAAAGTACACGAGGATCACGCCAATCGCCTCACCATGTGAGACAAAGCCCGCACTGCCCGCATTGCCCGAAATGCCCGCGTTGCCCGCATGTTTACATGGGGCTTTCGGCCTCGCGCACTACGAACCTACGAACCCTCGAACTGCCTCGAACCCTCGGCCTCACTGATGTTCTTCCAGATGGCGTCCAGGACCTTGAGCAGGTACTGATTGAAGAGCGTCCTAGGCTGCCAATGGCTGCCACTCCGAGTTGACGCGCGCCAAGCGCTCCCTGCTCCCTCTTCTCAGGCATGAGCCTTCACACACACTCACTCGCTGATAAGAAAGCATCAGTCTGTGGTACGGGTCCCACATATGTAAATGGCAACGGCTCGTCACAGCCCAAAGCCGAAGAGAGCGACGGCCCAAGAGCCAGAGCAGGATAACTCCACGTAGCAAGATTTTGCACAGCTTTGCCTTATTCTCTGCATAGTACAAAGTCTCACCGAGCCGCTTCAGAATGAAACCGCAGAAGACGAGGACCACCGTGCCTGAGAGAAGGGGAAGTATACCTGTTGTTTGTTGCTTTCCTCGAAACGCTTTTTCTCTGTTCCCTGTTGCACCAGCGACTCTTCCTACTCTCATGTTAGGGATGTCCTGGGACATCACACCACCGAGGCCAGTCACCCTAGTCCAAAAAAATGCGAAGAGCGGCGGTGCGTCCACTCACCAAACATACCATCGCCCAAGATGCCATCCTTCGCAGGCACGGAAGATAGAGAATTAACCGCAGCCAAGAAGAGCTCTCTCAAGTCCTTCACGACCATGTAGACCAGACTGGCCATGGCCCAGGAGACCTTGAGGCAAGAGAACCTCAGGTAGGTGGACTCGGCTCTTTCCGAAAAATGGAAGGGACAGAAGGGAACGGACAATGGACGCATATGGACGCTGGTGATGGGGTGAAAGGTGAAATCCGCATGGGGCCCACAACACCGTCGGCACAACGCGCAGCCCAGGCGCTGCACCGGAAAGGGGTTGCTGTCCCGCTTCAGCGCTTTGGTGTTCAGGACCTGACTTTAGGGCCTTCCAGTGCCTCAGTGCCTGACTCTGTGATGGTGGGCTCTGTGTTTTGCGGATGCCCAAAACCCATGCAGTCAAGTGGGCTGAGATTGGCCTCCACAAGGCCGAGCACGCACAGCTTTAGATGGCATTAGGCATGTAAGCTGCCTAGGAGTGCACCAAAATCCTTGGACCATTTGGGGGTCTTCCTGACAGCAAAGAGCACACGACTTGCCAAGGCGCAGCCACATAGCAGCTAATCATGACCTCTCAAGGTCACGCACTGTCGCTCCAGAGTTCACCCACCGGATAGCTTTGGGCACACTGACGCTTCCTTACTGCTTTTCCAGGGCTCGGGTTCGGGATCGCTGCCTATCGCCCCGTATTGCCTAGATGGCCCGGCATACCCTTCCCTGGCGCCTTGACCAAAGCAAGGCAAACGCCGAAGACGCTGAAGGTCATGGCTCCACCCTTGGCCTTTCCCACCAAAACATACCTGGGCGTCTGAGAGAAAAGCTGTCAGAAGAACTCAGTCGGACTCAAAAAGAACGGTGCAAACGGAGATGCGCAGCGTAGGAATAGGGTCCCAGGCAGACATGTGCAGACCCTAGCAGAGAACGGCGAAGCCGCCACCCCGGTCAACTCTGAGATGCTCGAGCATGCCCGAGGAAGTCGTAAAGAGGATGAACCACTGCATGACGCTCTGGGCGGAGCCTCACACACCGGACAACGAGGCCAGCAAACAGAAGTGAAAGAGAGATTCCCTACTGAGCTACTGGAAACCAAGTGGAAGCCGAGGAAGCACCGGAACTCCTACCGTTTTAGCGCAGAAAGGAAGCCATCCAGGAGCCACATCAGTGTCGCTGTGATGATGAGCTTTGACTGGGACAGCACCGTGTACGTGGAGGAATCCTGGGATTCCGCACACATTGCAGCCTATGGTAACATCCTTCATCACGAAAAGCCCCCCAATCTCAAAAACAGAGAGATCCAGCACCAATGGCCAAAACTAGTAAGAATGAATTGGGTGTTAATCCACGGAGATGACGACTAGCGACATCCTAACCCCGACCAAGGAAAATCTCCAAACATAGCTCCAGGCTCGATATAGTTCACGGACTCCATCTCAAAGATGTCTCCCAAGGCATAGATGAGGCCAATGTGGAAGAACTTCGTCAGGTTTCCCACCTTTGGACAAAGATGGACTAGATTCGGTAAACTTTGACGCTCTCAATGGCTCAACCTCAGTCTCGGACATCGAAGCACTTCTTCAAGTCTTCTTTCCCACCAGTGCTGTGGGCCAAAGTCCAGCCAATGACAACCTCGACAGTGGCCATCGGAGTGCCACGACCCCCCAACCCCCCCCCCCCCCCCCCCACATCCCCCACCTCCCTCAGGGGAACTTCTCCAGTCTCCCCCTCAAAAAGCATAACCATGGCTTCGCATTATCATCGGAGTCACGCAGATGATTTGCGCAACGAAGATCACGCTGGACACGGTGTACTTGGCCTCGGAAAGCTCAAGCAGTGCAACTCTCAGGGCAGATGTTTGTGTTACCCCCTCTTTGTCGCCTTCCGAAGTTTGAAATGCTTGGTTGTAACTAGCAACGGGAACGGTTGGCTTGGTTCTCGAACAAGCTGCACAGCAAGCACATGAGCGACGGACAAAATTACTTTACACGGTGCGAGGTCGCGGGATACCACGTTATCGCTTTACGTGGGGCCCATATCGCTTTACATGCGGGACCACATCAAGCAAAACAGGTTGAAATGTGGTAACTAAGGTTATCGGCTTAGGTGGGGCCCATATCGCTTTCCATGGTTTACTGATGTTCGCAATAACTCGTGTCCACCGTAGTACTGGCTTCAAGAAACATAATTTTGGCAGGCGCTCACATGAAGAAACATCAACATGGTAAAAGAATCGTGCTGCCGCAGCCGACTATCTCATGAACATCGTTTGTCAGAACATAGTTCGAGCACGATCATGGTTATCGCCAAAGCACGTGTGGCGAATCGCCCTTGGCCCACTCGATGAAGGAGTTGTGGCACGCACGCTGCACAGTCACCTTTCTTGAGCAGACCACATGGCTGAACATACATGATTTGTGAGTCGAAAGGCATGCAGCCTAAGAGCCGCTAAAATGGCAGCTACAAGTGGCAAGGGTCTTGCATGATATGGTTCGCGTTGGACCAGGCCGAGTTGCAGCAATAAATGCCGCGGCTTTGGTCTGGACATCAGCCATCTGACACAGGGCGCTGCTTTCCTTCACCGCACGAGGTTTTTGTCAGTGAGGGGAAGTGTCGGAGTTTGACGAACAGGACCAACAGTGACCCCCGGAGCATGCGCCTCTCCAGCAGAACCCGCCAATAGAAAGAGAAGGCCGGTGACGGCTCAAGGCTTTTCTTGAGCCGCAATATGCAGCAAGAGATGGGGCGATGCAAGGCGACGCGCAAGGGATCACACGGGGACACATGACAGCGGGAGGTTTGGGTACATCTGCCGAAAGCGGGCACGGGAGCAGCTACACTGGGGTGATGACAGAACTGTCGTCGACCATCTGCCCTCGCCTTGTAGCCCCAAGTGTAGCTCAGCATGTAGGCGGCACCTTGACAGAGAACACTTCTGGAGATTCTCCGAATGTGATTCTGATAGAGCCGTGGTCTGCTGCCTCCCGCATTCTGGCGTCCGAAGATGCTGTCGACATATGCTGCGCCCATCCTGCTGCAGCATTCAAGAGGCTTCAACCCCGGACTTCCCCCCGAAATTCAGAGAAAACTAGAGACTTCCCGGTCAGCTTCGCGACGCTTAGGGCCATCACCATTCATATGATACAGAAAGCTCATGTGTTACAAGATCTTATACGTAATTCTATACATCAATCTTCGGATCTATGGTCCGCTCACACTTAGCACGCTGGCATCAACCCCTAGTCCATTTCCCAGCGGCTCCTACCATCTCGTAGGCATCGGACAGCAGCCCCCTTAGGCCGGATGACGTGAGGCCTGCGCCGTTTCGGTTCGGCAACAATTGTTGGCACCTGCTAGCCTGGTGGCAACAGCAAGTTCCCGCGAACTTGCAACGGTTTGCAGGTGCAGATGGCGGTGAGGTGCGCCGCACTGCGGCTTTGGAAGCCCTGCAAAAACACCCTGAACCCTCGGCCTTCGAGTCCGACATCGCCACTCTACCGACAAAATCAGGCAGTTCAAAGAATCCAAAATGTGAACGACAACAGAGAGGTGGTCTTGGGATTGAAAAACCGCAAAGGGGTTGCAGTCAAGCTGCTCAATCTCATAGACACGCGCATCGCTGCGTAACCCACAGCGCTCCACCTGACAAGTGAAAAGCAGCCGGTGCGGAGAGCCACCATGGAAAGGGCCTTTTAGGCGGCTCAGCAGAGTTTCCCCCTTTCTTTTGCCCAAAGTTAAAATTATTGCATAATCATGAAAGGGCAAATGAAAAAGCTGCGGCCTCTTGGCTGGCCGCTGACCGGCTACGGCGCGGCGCAACACAACGTGTAGCAACTCATTGAAGAGGCTCCATTTTGCTTCGTTGCATGGCCTTGCCTCGGGAAGAAGGGAGTCACGCAAGTGCGCGACGCTGACCTGAGCTAGCGCTGTGGAAGGGCACTCGGAGGGCATTCTGAAGGCAACACTTTCCTGAGACTCCGAAAAGCTTTCCTCTGCATCCCACCTCTGAACAAGCTGATTTTGCTGACACCATTGGCTCTCGCCATCCGGCCGAGGGTCTCCGCGGAAGGGGTGTCCCAAGCAGCGGTCGAAGAGGAAGTTGCAGAAGTCGGGAATCCGAGCCTCGGAAGGTCTTTTTCCTCGAATGCTCGGTCACGGCCCCTCGCATCACCTTGCAAACCCAGCTCGCTAAAGCACATCTGGTCTCCGAAGTGCTGATCGTCACAAAGATCGTGCGTGTCGAGGTTGCGTTCGCTTTTGGAGCCTCGACTTGTTTTCTCCACGTCAAACGCGCTGGGCGCTTTGCAGTTGCGTGTCCCGGCTTTTGGACTCGGCTCGGTTCTGAGTCTCACCTCTGCACGTCCTCTAGCTCGGGTATTCCCGTGTCGTGTCCTGGCACGCGTGCGTGCTCATGTCGTGTCTCATCGCGTCCTCATCTCGTGTCTGTGTCTGTGTCGGTCGGATGGTGTCATGTCTTGGTCTTGTGTGTCATGCCTCAGGTCGTGTCTTCGTGTCGTGAAACATTGTCAGCGTATATCTAGATGTATGTGTGCACCCCCGCAGGCGGCTTATCTTGAGGAATTGTTGTGGTTCTTCAGAACATAATGGCCCGGCCACACTTTTCGCAATGTTGACCTCGATTGTCTGATGGTCGTCTGGACTGTGGGCCCACGTTCGTCCCCAAAGTGCGAATGACCTCTCTGACACGGAGCGTGGCCCTGCAACACTCTTTTGAACATCACGACACAAGAATCGTGGACTTTGCGCAATGTTGATCTGAGACGATCTTCAACAGCACACTTCCCCTGACTCTCCATGCCCGACTAGAAAAAATGATGCCTCGGACGCAAGGCCTTCTCGAACCCTTTCAGGTCCTGACGGTCCTAACACTTGTTTCTGAGTCGTGACACGCCCTTCGCTGATGATGCCGCGCGATGAGTGCTTTGGGACCACCCCTTGACATCCCTTGACTCTTCTGCTTTTGGCCCAAGGGCGAGCTCCGCATCCTCGGACGGCTGTCCGGCCTTCCAGCTTTCGAGCTTTGGGGGGGGGGGGGGGGGGTTTTTTTTTTTTCCCCAGCGGCGGGTTGCTGTTTCTGTAAAGCAGGCTTCGTTCGAAGGCAATACGGAAGCATTCAAGCAATTCATAAAAGAAGGTGGTTGGAACGAGTCGATTCCTTGCACATCGCACAGCCAGGCTCTGGAAGCCTTCTATGGTTAGGGCAGGGCACGTGCTCCAGCATGAGGCGCATGGAGTCATCATCGACCGCTGCGTCCTCACCCTCACAATGCACTTTTTCCTCTCACAGCTAGCGGCTAGCAGAGGCTTGCACTTACACCACATCACTGCATGGTTATCTTTGCCCAGCGGCAACTCGCTGCAAGACGCCGCGAAGCTGCGCGATGCTCAGAGGTTCATCTCCTTGGCTTGCAACGCTCAAGCTAAGGGCATTTGCGGCATATTGCCCCTGCCCTTCCCCCCTTGCCCCTTCCCCAAAACTCGCAAAAGCCAATCGGGTAATGGTTCTTTTGCCCCTCGATACGTGCACAACGGGCTTCCGAAGATCTGCAGGACCTTGGCAGCCGCCTCCATGGCTCCAATCATGGGCCTTTAAGCTGCTTACTTGGAGACTTGCGGGGCTTCCTCTCAAGGCAGTTGCAGCTGGTTTCAGACAGCCACAGATGTCTCTTGTTGGGATGACTCTCGGGATGACCACACATGTTCTTGCATGTTGTGCTCAATTGCTCTCTGATTGCTGGTGGCCATCAGTCCCTAGAGCAAGAAGCAGCAACAGCAACATGCAGCCTCACAGCCTCAGAAAAGGGCAACCAGTCCCAAGCCCCACGAGAAGGGTTATAAGGAAACGAGGTCTGATCATGTATGCTGGTGACTTGGACCAACTTTGAACAGCAGCCCCGAACTCAAGTGACTGTTCCGACCTCTGCTTCCGCCGACGCGGCCTGCACAGGACTCACGCAAGACGAGCGCTCCACTATGTTCCACTCTTCCACGTGTCTCATCGCGTCTCTGCGTGGAACCCAGAAGCCTCCACAAAAAGCGAAAACATCCGAAACCCACACGCACTGTGTGTAGTTGCAGTTGCAATTTGCTCTTGCATCTCCACAGCAAGCTCAACGACATCTTGCGGCTGCAGCGCCCCTAGCCCTAGTGCCATTGTGGCACCTGCACCGCATCCGCGCGAAGAGGGCCCTGCCAGCGCAAAGGCGCAAACAAGCCCTCTCCGAAACCCGCCCCAAAGTACTCGCCAGCACTTTTCTCGTATGTCACGGTACTGAGGCGCCAAGGCTTTCTCCAAAGCCTCTTTCTGACTGTTCTGGCCGTCTATAGGCCAAATAAACTCCAGAAACACCCAGAAACACCAGCTTGCTGTTTTTGTTAATCAAACTGGGGCCTGGGGCTTTGGCCGCGCGTCCTCGGGCTGCCGCTCGGCAGCAGAAGCCTCCGCGCGAAAAGCGGGAACGAAGCCGCTTCTCAGGTGCAGGAGCGACCTCCCCAAACTCCTAGAGTTTCGACTCTCGCACTAGCACAGGCAAGGCTCCAGCAGGTCAATCTCGTGAGAGGACACGAGCAACAGTATACACCCAAGACTTCCACTCAACCAAGAACCCCGACCTTAGACTTGCCTTAGACTTGCCTTGGCTGGACCTTCAGGTTGCGGGCCCATTATGGGCGGGCTACTTGTGTCCAAGATAAGACGGGCAAGCAAGAGCCTACGAAAACCTGTACAACAAAACTCTTTGGGATTTAGGGTTTAGGGTTGCCTCCCCTCCCCCCGCAACTGTCAGGTTCATCAGGTTCTTCTTTCCAGACACTTTCTCCAACGCGCACTTTATCGAACGAACTCTCCGCAGGGGATCTCCGGGCCCCCCGACGGGCAGCAGCTCTGCGAGGCAGCGCAGCCTGGGGAAATTCTCAACACGTCAAGTCAAAAGCCAAAAAAAGCAAGCGGGCACCGCGAACAAAACCTGCAGAGCCCTCACGTTCAGGTTCTTTCCACACAACATCTCAAGTGCAACATCTCTACACAACGGCATATTGGCAACACCAAGGAGGCAGGACTCTCAAGAACCAAAACTTGTAAAGAAACAAAAAGAGTTGAGGCCGCAAATTGACGGCCGGCCACGAAGTGGCAGCCGCCGGGTGAGCCGGCGCCGCTTGAGCCGCAGAGGCCAGCGCCAGCAGAGGCCCCGCAGGGAGGCCGAGATGCCAACTGGGACGGAAGACCGGGAAGAAGGTCTCGGGTTCTCACGGGTCTAGGCTCCTTTTTGGGTCACCTCATGGAGTTTTTTTTCGCTACCCGCACTGCCAACGCCGAAGCACGACCGCAACACAACACCCCAGAGGACAGGCGGCGAAGTCCTCATGGGATGCTCATTGGATTTGTGGTGTGGGTATGACATGGTATGACTCCTCGTGGGGAATACGAAGCATGGACTCGCCAGCTGTTTTCGTGCCGACGGCCGGGAGTCCATTGCCCACCCAGCCTGGTGCACCCCTCCAGAACAGCGCTCACCTGCACCAAAAGGGCTGTCTTATCGGGCTGATACGGGAAGCGCCTTTTGATCCCCAGTCGTCTTCCATCGTCATGGCAAATCACCAGCAGTGCCTGGTTCGCTTGCAGCCTGTGTGCTGCCGAACCGGCAGCGCGGCCAAGGGCGTGGAGGAGCTCCGCCGACCTGGCCGCAAAGCTTTATCTTATGTGTCGGTGTGTACGCCGGTTTCATCGCACTTCTTGTATCCAATTAAGCCTAGCTTTCGCTGCTCGTGGAACTGCTGGTCTTGAGGTCCATTGAACCCCCACCGAAGCAGTCATACATATGTGCTCGCATGCCCAGTGCCAGGGAAGCAATAACGAATTGAGAGAACCTGCGAAGACAAGCACTAGAAGTCACCAGCAAGGCACATCGTGGCATCCATGATGAATGAAGCAATGGCAATTAAGTCCTTTGAGCCTTTGAGCAACGAGATTTCGCATTCTTCCCCCCGCGGCCGAGGCTTTGGCGCCACTGCTGCCTCCATGGCCGCAAGGTCACTCCTCGGAGCACATAAGGCCCAGGGGCCCTGAGAGCCCGTCAAAACGCTCAAAAGGCTATTAAGCCAGCTCTAAACGCCACTCCCAAACACTCCGGTAACAGAAAAAATCGGAGAATTTGGGCTGGGGGTTTACGAGAATCAGGGACCCTTGCAAATACGGACCCCAAATAGTAGGACCCCAAGAAGGTACCCCGAATTTCGGAAATCCCCATTTCGCGCTCAGAGCTGCGAAGGGCTCTTGGCGAGGAAGTCGGCTGCAGTGGGTCCGAAGGTGATTGCAGTGAGCCCAAGCCTCGCAAAAAGGGGTTTAAGGTTTAGGGTTTTTTCGCTCCCACATAGCTGGCTGCAAAGAAAGTTTAAGTCTGTTGTGCTTTGGGAAAATGTGATCCTGGTGTTGCACCGACAGTCATGATTTTCAGATCCAAGCTGCTCGTATGGCAGCATGAACGAAGCCTGCTCGGTTGCCAGCAAAGCAGCCTGCAAAGGCGTGCTGTTGCATGATATTGGCAGACTTTGGGGTGCCTTAGAAGTGCCGCGAAGCACCTGCTGATGGGGCTATATCGTGCTCTTTCCCCGTTCCTTCATGACCCGTCACACTCGAAGCGCTTGCCCCACCTCCTTGATAAGCCCCTCGGCGCCCTCCACGCCACCGGCCACCGCTGCCACCACGAGGTGCGACAAGTCAGCGGCCGAGGCCTCCGACTCTCTGGCTTTTCCATGGGTTTTCCCGTGCCACGTCGGTTCTGATGGTGCAAACCATGAAAAAACACCCACACACAACAGGCTCAAAGCCTAGCAGCCTAACAGCCCAAATTCTTCACTCCCTCATTGCTATTGGATATAGGCGAGAAGCAACCATGTTGGGGCGAAGCGGGGCTTTTCCTCTTAGCCGACTGCTGTTTGTCAGACGAGTGAAGGCACAGGGCACGGGGACCTTTTACAACCAGGCCCATGCAAGACTTGCGGATGCCAAGCCCTGGCTTACAGCGCATGAGTCGCCTCAACCGGTGCCCTCAGCCCCTCTGCCACTGGCAAGAAAAAACACCATCCTGCATCGGCCCGCTGCGCCCGCGACACGACCCTCCCCTGCGCAGAGAGTAAACTAAGGAAACGGGCGAAGGTCTCTGCCTGGTCACTCCGCGCCTCGCTCAGGGTGGACTTGCAGCAGGCGACGAGCACAGAGACGTGAGCTGCGTCGTGGAAGCGCAGGGCGCTGTAGGCTCGGCAGACCTTGCGGGAAGGCGGGCTTTGTGCCGATTTTTGGAGGTCCTCTCCCTCCCTATTCTTGTGAGGCATCGTGGGGAGTTTACAAGGTTCATCTCCCAGAACGCCACTCCTTTCAAGAGGTCCAAGCCCTCCGAGATCCTCCGAGATGCTAAGCCGTAAATCTCTCTGAAACACTCCACACGCCTTCGCCAGGTCTGTGGCCCGGAAGCAGTCGGAAGAGAGCCGCGCCTCTTCTCTTTTTGTTGCTGAGCACGCGGCGCTTTCTTTCTGGTCTAGAGCTGCGGGTCCGGGTGCCGTGTTTGGAGCTGCAGGGTTCGCAGCTCATGTGGGCCGCGTACGTGAAGAAAGGAGGCGCCTCCAGCTGCGGCGCAAGTGCAACGAGGAGCTCGCCTCTCACAAATGGCAGAGAACATCTCTCGAGAACATCTCTCGAGGTCATGAGAGAGGCTCTTTGAGAGCTCTCTTTTTTCTTCGCGAAACAATGTCGAGCTTCCCCGCTTTATTGCAAAAGGGCCCTCTACTCTTCTAGAGGAGGTGAAGAAGCAGACCTTTGAGGTACTGCGACTCTGGCAACATCAAATGGCCAGGATGATCGGCGGCCTGGCCATGCGATTTCCATGATGCGGCCATTGCTTCGACACGTGCTTCTCGTCTTGGCATGCAGCTGACCAAACAGAAACCGCAGAAATTCCGCAGAAATCCGTAGAAATCCGTGCCTACTTGTTCACGCGACTGGTTTCGTTGAACTCGCAAAGTTGACAACGGCCTGGCG